TATTCGTTACACAGCTTATAATGCTCACTGAATGACCTCCTTTATTTCAGAAAAATAGAGAGTATTTATAATAAAATTGTACATTTGTACTATGTGAAAAAGTAAAGAATAGGACTGTGGTGTTTTACATTAATATCATCTTTCTTTTCCATATTCAATTCTCGAATCTCAACCCCATAATATGACAACTTACTCACGTATCTTCAAGATTTTTCTCGATCTGTGCGAAGAAAAGGATGATATACCATTACTCGCTGATTTTATTGAAAGGCACAGTCAGCACGTAAAAGCTACATTGGCAAAGATCAAGATGAAGAACATAGCAAGCTTGAAAGTGCCTTTTCAAGTACGCCAATTCAAGAGGCATAGAAGCTAAGAAGGGTGATGCTAAGACAGCCTGGAAAAAGCATATCAACCAGCAAGCAAGCATTGCTATGACAGCAACAACAACCAACAACAGAAAAAACATGGTCTTATGCCAAGTCATGGTGAAGAAGAAGGTGTCTTTGGTCGCTGGTCTGTTGGTGATGAAGACTTGATAAAAGTTCTTCAACAAAGAAAGAAGACGTATTGTTGAGCTGGTGAGGAACAAGAAGATGCTAAGAGAAAGTCAATACTTGCTGCTTTCATTTATCTTGGAAGTGCCAGTTGCTGTTGAAGGATTCTGCCTTGAAGCCAAAAACTTCAAAAAAATAAGAAAAGCGCTCACTCCTGCCACAAAGAAGAAGCAATTCGAGCATGAAATTCTAGTCATGTTCATTGACTTGAAGACACAATGGGAGCTGGAGCAAGAAGAAAAAAGAAAAAGAAGAAAAAGAAGGAAGAGAGAAGAAGAGAGAGATGATGACGATGATAGATATGACGATGAAGAAGAAGAAGAAAAAGATGTGCAGTACTTGCAGTACCAGATGTCGCGGTATGCAAAGAAATCGAAGAAGGAAGAAGAAGATGCCTTGGTACGAGTTGTTCAAGAAATGCTTGACAATTTCGAAAACTGGAGGACTGAGTGTAGAACTGAAGAAGACTTCATTGACCAAGCATTGTATCCGTTTCTGAGAAACATACTCTTGCGTGACAAGAATGTCTCATCCACACGGTCCTATGAAAAAATACCATATGGCCATCCCAATTCAGACAGCAGCAGCAGCAGCAGCAAAGCTAAACCCGATTTTTTCGTCTTTCTGCCTATCGACGATAATTCTTTTGGGTTGCTTTGCGTGGAGGTCAAGAAGCCTGGCACCAAGTCAAGTCAAATTTTGAGTGATCGCTCTAAGCTGGCTCTAGAGTGCAAACGATCTATTGATCATCAGGTGTCTCTTGGTGTCCGTACACCTAAGTGCTTTGCGTTGTTTGTTGATGGTGAAATGTGTTCTTCTTTTGTGTGTGAGTTGACCTCACATGGAATCTACACTTTTGTGGAACTTGATGTGTTTTCGCTCCCTCGCGGAAAAATGGATCTGGGCTCTTTGCCTGACACCGTCCTCTCTTTCTGTTGGCTTAAAGAGCTAATAAATGAACAAATGTCTTGTATCTACAAGAGAAGAAAGACAAATTCTTTTGCTTCTTTGACCAAGCTTGTAACGCCTACAGTTGCCCTGCCTCTGAAGAAAAGCAACCTTGAACAATAAGCCTGTTTTCTTTTTTTTTTCTATTTGCTTCGTACATATAAACCCTGATAATGATTTTATTTGATTTAGCAGTATTTGGCCCTTGAAAATAATGAATGACAATCATATTCAGAGCTTATAAAAACACACTTTGAATAGGCTACTTCATAAAGAAAATAACTTGATTCACTAGCTGTATTTTAAGAAAGAAGCACAACCAAAACCTCATCTTACAAAAGTATTTATGCCAAGAACATATATATCTATATATCTATATATATTGAATCAATACAAACGTATTTTATCTTTCATTACTTCAAAATTATGAAAGCGAGATGCTCTTTAATACGGAGCTACAGTTCAACCCTGCAATTCTCTTTCTAGTAGAGTTCCAACTTAACAAAGCCATCGTGGTAATCTGAACATAATAAATGTCTTCTCTAGTACCTTTAGTAAAATCATTTAAGCTGCAATTTTTGTTTATAAAAAGGAAGCACACCTAGGTCTGTCTCATATTGAAAACCTGTTTATTTCATAGACATGCTAGCTTTTACCCGAATTCAATTTAAACATAGCAGTTTTGAATAATACAGAAGCATAAGCACATTAATGATTTATCATGATTATATATGATAAGAAAAGAAGGAAAAACGACTTGTTTATTTTTTAATGATGTGTAAGTAATTTCATATATTAGGAAGAGGCAATTATTTTGAAGAAGAGGTCCGAAGAAGAGGTTTGAAAAAGATTCACCAAATACAAAATAGAGCCAGAAATAGAACCAGAAGAGTAAAGCCATAGAAAGAGAGCCTTGATGAACCAGGAAACAAGTAACTAGAATGATGATTAAAAAAAAAGCTTTCAAGCATATATAACTTACCAAAAGACCAAAGCCATCATGCTACCCTCTAATGTGCTGATTTTCATAGCCCACGCGGCTCTGCGTAGTTCAGAGCCGAATGAACCGGCCCAAACTGGCCCTGCGTAGTTCAGGGCCGAATGGATGCATCGCCGACAAGAAGAGGGCATTTGGAACATCACTGTACGGAAACAAGTGGTTCCCTATAAGAGAGTCAGTAAACGTGTCTTTTAGAATAATTATCTACCTCCTTGATGGATGAGAAGAGGCTAGTAGATTTGCATACGAGGCCAAGAGAGTAGAAGAGTAAAGTAACAGAAAAAAGAAGAAGAAGAAAAGGGAGGAAAGAGGACATAATCATACTGATATCATTGTTTATATTGAGAGAATACAGTCCAAGTATTCCTTTTATTTTTTAGACCTCTACTTTTTGTTCTTTAAAGAGGTATACATAGATAGCAATTTATTTCCTTGTTGTATTCAAATATGAGCAAAGAAAAGTTAATCTTCAAGAGGGCATTACGCGTTTTAAAGAGATAGACAATACGATGTGTATCACTGTTCAATTGCATAACACAAACAAAACAAACCAATAAAAAGAAAGCTTTTACTGCTTTCTAACCTAAGAAAAGCTTATATTTAATCAGTTGCTGTTTGCCATTTGATAAATAAAAAGATGGCGATAGGAAAGCATGATGAATAATTATCACTTTTATTGCTAGCGCTATTTTATCAAGGCTTCAAATGGAAAAAAGGGGGATTTTTTTTAGCTTATTCAATCTCAGCAGACGTGAGTGGATTTAATCCATTAATTTTATTTAAGACTATTTTTGCCAATAACTAAAGATGAATAGACAATGCGCAAGCACAAGATCTAGTCAACCACAAGCACTGCTGTAAAACAAGAAAAAGACAACTATTACTTACATTAAAGACACCATACAAAACCTTCTTCAGTCCAAAAAAGAAAAGAAAAACAAGAGAAACAAACACTAAGCTTGAGGAATGCCTGGAATCAAACCAACATTGAGCATGACAGTAAGACAAAAAGAAAAAAACCTAAAGCTTTGGCTAATCAACACCACAATGTTTGTAGAGTATACACAAGAGAGGGCTTTTTATAGCTTCTTTGGAAACGATAAAACACGAACTAAACGAACAGCATAAACGGAAAAACACCTAATCTATCTGTAAATACAACACAAAGACAACAAAAAAGAAAAGTACAAGTTAGAAGGAGAGGGGAGACACTAGTAAAAAAAAACACAGCACAAACATATTGGGATCTAATCAGGGTGATCAAACCTAACTAAATCCTCTTCTTGCTTCATAAGAGCTGATCAGACCCTTAAACAGAAACAAGAAGACTCAAAGAAGGAAACGCACACCATGAAGACCTGTTGAAGCCTTGAACAAACACCTTGGAAGGCCAAAGAGAACCAGAGCTAGGAAAACCAGTCTTGAAAGTCCAGTGATACTTGTACAAAAGACCTTGCAGATACCTAAAAGCCAATGTAAGTAGAGTAAACCTTCGCCATCTAGAAACTTACGGACTAAAATAGAGCATTATCAGAGAGAGACAGTTTTGAGGTATCGGTACGTTTTGATGGATAGTCTTGAAGACGCCTAGGGAACCAGCTTGAGTAGAACAGACCTTGTGATCGTGGAACTTGCTGACCACAACCAAGCACAACCAAGCACGACCAAGCACAACCAAGCACAACCATGAAGAGACGATCGAGAGCCAGCAGTAAACATGGACAGATAACCTTGCAGATACCTAGAAAATACGGTGAGTAGTGCAAAGCTTGCTGTTTTGGAACTCACTGACCAAAGTAGAGCACAACCGTAGAGGGAAAGTCTTGAATCAGCAGTACGCCTTGCTTGATCACCTTGTAGAAACCTAGAAAAGCCAACTTGAGTAGAACAACCTTTGTCATCTTGAAACTAACCGACCAAAAGAAGCACAGCCATACAGAGAGTGTAGGAGAGAGTCTTGAACCTACTGTTTGTCTTGATGGATGACCTTTCAGCCACCTAAGAAACCAGCTTGAGTGGAACAAACCTTGAGAACTTGAAGCTCGCCAGCCTAAAGAAACACAGCCAGTGTACCTTGATGGATACCTATGAGAAAAAAAATCGTAAGTAGGGTATGCATTCTCATTTGAAACTTATCTATGGAAGGAGAGCATAACCACAGAGAAACACCAGTGTACTGTGGATTTGATTAGGATGATCAAGCCTAACCAAACCCTCTTCTTGCTTCAATAAGAGCTGATCAGACCCTTAAACAGACAAGGCTGAAGAAAGCAGACGGCATTGCGAAGATCTGTTGAGTCCTTCAATGGATATCTTGAAACGCTTGAAAGAACCAGAATTAAAGGGAGACAGTCTTGCACCAGTAACACACCATGATGACCAACCTTGGAGACACCTTAGACACCACCATAAGTAGAGTATACCTAGGGATCTTGAGCTTGCTAACCATAACAGGGTAGAACCAGGGAGAGAGTCAGTCTTGGACCAGTAACAGACCTTGATGACCAGCCTTGCAAACACCTAAACAAAAGGACTTTAGTGTAATATACTTTTAATACCATTGGAAGATACTTACTAGATATCCACTGAGCCATGAGAGCCATTCTTGATTGACCTTGAGACTTGCTGAGTAACCTTGGAGACACCTGAGAGAAAGCCTTGTCGATAGAGAAAGACCAGTTTCAGCCTAGAAAGTGACACCATGCCTTCTTTTTCCCCTTTGTGTATACAAGTACCCCGAAGTACAAGTATTTGCAGTAGTTTGAAGATAGCTTGTCTTCTATCTTTGTATGTATGAATGCTACTGCGCATTCTTTTTTTTCCCTTTGTGTATACAAGTACCCCGAAGTACAAGTATTTGCAGTAGTTTGAACAAGCTGACCAGACTTGAACAAATAGATTTCTTTTTCTGAACAAGAGCTACCCACTCTCTTGAACAGAGTATTAGGCAACGGTAAACCCAATCTTGAGACAAAAGATGGCTAGTCTTCTGTCTTTGTATGTATGAATGCTACTATAGAAGGCGGACACTACGCATTCTTTTTTCCCTTTGTGTATACAAGTACCCCGGAGTACAAGTATCTATGTATTGAGAATCAGTAAACCCAAAAACCTGATCTCTGCAGCCAATTAGTACGTACGTGTATAAACAATCGCTATTGTCCCAGCTTTTGGTTACACAGGTCTTAGTACAACGTCATATCCAAACAGCGCCAAAAAAGCAAAACACTGAACAGATACAGCTACACGGCTGGAAGGTAGCACTCTTTTAGTTCCATAGGTTAGCTAGACAAGAGTTTGGGTACCCTGAGCAATATGGTCTTTATTTTGGCAACAATGTAAAAATAAAAGACAAGGGTTTGAAAAAGAAAAAATTTTTTCTGGAAATAAAAATACCATATTCGAAGTCAAGTGGCTTAGCCAATCAATCTGTTGCCTTGGACACTTTAAGAGATTGGCCACTTTAAGAGATGCATGAACAAATGGCCTTTGTGTTATTTTCTTATCAGATGCATTATAAAGTTGCTTGTTGTACACCAAATGATAGCAGGAAACTTAGGGTTATGCATGCATAGGTAAGCAGATTGAGCCTTCTAACAGGTATAAAGCTGCATATATGGATAGATAGAATCTATAAGAAAAATATAAAGGTGTTAAAAGTGATGAAAAAAAAAAGACTTGTCTTGTGAAACTCTTCACCAAAGCTCAATCAATAAGGCCAATAGTTGCTTTGCTTTTAAACAGCAGTTTAGTTTTGGCTGTAGATAAAAGAGGACAAGGGTTGCTTTGGAATTGATAGAGCGATTATTGATTCGTAGACAATGTTTTCTCACATCAGTGACGACCAAAAGACATGTTTACATGACTAGAAGAGAAAACCAATTCTAACCCATCATGTCTTATAAAAGACTTGTAGTCTTAGCAGCAAAAGCCAAGATTTGTCTGTAGTTCCTCGCACAAGCAATATATATATATTTTCTAACAGCCCATAATAAGGAAATGCTTTTCTAGCATCAATAAATATACTACAAGAGAAAGTATAGTTTTGTTTATTTTATTTTATTTTACTTTTATCTATAGATTCTCTCAGCTCTTTAACAATCTTCACTTTCAAAGGAAACATGCTTGATAGTAAACAATCGAATCAAAGCAAAGAAGTATGCATCTAACAGCTTTATGACAGGGCTATTTTATGATCCTGCTTATCTTTGATATCGCACTATAGGACATATAGACTTAAGGCTAAACACGCACATACACACACACACACACACACGCTTCAGCTACTAGCAAGTATTTGGATAAAGGTTGCAACAGCCTTCATTCAAACACAAGACACACTTACCTATCCCATACTAGCACTTGTGCACTCGGAGACCAAAGCTTAGAAACTCTCTGTAAATAATCAACAATCCTCACTCTACTGATATTCTGATTTCTGCTCGATAACCTCATCAGCTTGCTCAGATTCACTATATGACTGTGTTGTGAATATCAAAGCTTCTTCTTCTTCTTCTTCTTTTTTGGGTAGTGGCTCCTGATTTGCACCAATACAACCCTCTCCTTTTAGCCTCTGTATCTCTTGTTGTAAGCAGTAGTGGGCTTTCTTGCTTTACCATCAGGACTCATCTTTGATTAGATCTTGTCACACTGTCTTTAACACACTATAACACCACGCTTCGAGTTTGTGTACTTGAAGTCTAGTGGCTAGAGTTTTCGTCTTCTTGTTCTTATTCTTATTCTTTCTACCAACTTGATCAGACAGTCATTACAAGTACTAATAAAGAGAAAAAAAAAAGCAATCTGCAGAGCAGAGAGCAACAATTTGTACGTAAGAAAAAGTAAAGAAGAGCGGAATTTAAAGTACCTGATCTCCTTTTTACATGCCATTCATTGTTCATCGTGTCGTAAGCTGCCTTTTCGATCTCAAGACTACCAATTATTGTAGCATGCCTTTCTCTTCTATGCCATGCGTAACAAATGGCGCAGAAAAAAGAGCTCATTTGATATTTGATATATACTAAAATGAATCTCTTTTCAACCAATTACAGTGTGCAACAAACTTTGAATGCAGATCTGAAGACAGTGCTCAAATTAAGTCGACTTTCTTAGCTTAGTAAACTCGCTTTCTTTTCATCAGAAGTATCTAGACATGGATTTATCTCATTCCGGTTGTATCAGACCTACATTGGGGTCATTCTAAGAAATTCTTGTTTCTTCTATCTTCACGAACCTTCGTGGATCCTCTTGTGATGATCTGAGCACTTTTCAATACAAAATATAATAAATAGTCTTTCATCATATAAATGAATAATCACTTATAGCACTATACATCATAAATATAAGGTAAGCATTGTATAATGACAGTAAATAACGATAACTGGGATAATATGGATATTTACAAAAAGGAAACCATAATGGTAACTTTTAGATTAAAGGAGAATCTACATAGTCAACTCCCAGACACAAGCTGTCAAAGTATTAAGTAAACAATAATCGATAATCAATAGTCACAGTTAGTCAATAAATCAGGTAGTATAAAAGACAACCTGAAAAAGATATATCTTAGAGGATTATCATTTATTTTTGTAATAAAGAAGTACTGAACAGTCTCACTGTATTTCTTTGTTTTCTTTTCTGTTTTCTATATTTCTTTTCACAACCTAAACACCACAACTGATATAGGCTAACTTAGAATCACATAGGCTGACACAGGCTGACATAGACTGACATAGACTGATATAGGCTGATGTTGTGAACATATATGAATTCGTATGCGTAGATCAATAAATTATGATCATGGCAAAAGACCAGATCACATCTATGGTAATTGCAATGGATCTATAGTCACTGACATTCACTCATTCTACTAGAAGTATTACATCGTCCTCATAGTCAGAGATTATGAATCTAGTGACTCTGTTATTATCAATGGCACTCATAAAGTGACAGTTAGAGCTGACAAATACATTAGCATTGGCATTTAACAAATATGTAATAGTTTATTCAAGCTCAGGTCAGATCATGTACTATTGGCTGAGCTGATAACTTCCTCTAAAGGCATTTCTCTTAATTGCTCCTGTTCTGACAAATCAATCCGTAGTCAAGAAGCTAACCCCAAAACAATACTTTGACCGAGAAGAAAAAGTATGGATACCTCGACATTTTATAGCAATTGAAAATGATCATATTTCTTTTGGGAAATAAAAGCCTATACAAGTTCTAACGGACTTTCTCTGTGTTCTTACCTTTTCTCTTATTTTACATCTATTCTCTCTTCATCTCACAACAATACATGTCGTTGCAGTATTTCTAGATTATTTGGATCATGTACAAATACTAAAGCATTATCTACATAGCAAAGAATTTTAGTCGTTATAGTAGCAGGGGGGGGGGAGAAGAGTCAGGTCTTGGTATTTGCAGTCGAAACTGATATCCTTTGAACCCACCATCTTGTATAATCGAGCGTAGAGATAGATCAAATGTCAAGTTATACAAAACTGGTGATAGTGGATCACCTTGTTTTGATCCTCTTCGTTTCTTGATTTCTTTGTGAAGAACTCATTAACGTTAATTTTGATCTTGTTTTTTGAGAGCATTTTTTGTATTGTATCAGCAATCACTTCCGGGAAACCATAGCCTATCAGCTCTCTTTTAAGATATGTAAGGTGTACCCGATCATATGCCTTCTCTTGATCAAGTAAAAGCGTTAAATCGTGGTCACTACTTCCGCCCTGTGTCGTATCTTGCTGCACTCTGGCTAGTGCGTCCTCCATTATAGTCTGGATTATTATTTCATTTTCTGCGATAAATCGTCCTCATATAAAACCAAGTTGAAATTGAGTAATCAATTGTGGAGCAATCATCATTATACGCCAGTTTAGCATCCTTGTAAAAATCTTATAGTCCGTGTTAGTCAGTATAGTCGGTCCATAGTTCTTCATATCGGATAAATTGCCCTTCTAAGGTAGTAACACCATCAATGATTCATTCCATGACATTGGAGGACTACCAGCTAAACTATCATTATACACATCCATAATCAATGAATGAAGACTTGGGTGTTTCATGATAAAACTCAAGATTTCATATGGAAGATCATCTGTGCCAAGGCTACTTTGTCTTGGAGTTTGTTCGAATTCTTCAAATATTTCATTCATAGAGATACTCAACATCATAGTGTCTCTTTGACTGTTTTGATGCAGCGGGAAGAAGAGTTGGACTTGTTTCCATTTTCAATCTCCGCAAGCAGCCATTCTGTAGATTTCAAGCAATAGAAGACCTAAAAAATAGAACTGCTGAAGCTTGCGAAAGCATTGACGTAGAGACTCTTCGCATCGTTGTTTAACATTTTGTCAGTGAAATTTGGAGATATCTCGAAAAAGAGCCACTTCATTGAATGATTGTGTATCATTATAGCCTAGGTGACACACTTAATTTCTTTTGAAGGAGCATCATCATTGGTTGCTAATGGCTGCAGCAAGTCAACTCTTCTAATGCTTGATAAGAGACTGCAACTCTTCTAACCTCAACGAACAGAAAGGACCCTTTGTGATAAAATGGTACTTTTCTGTCTTTTCTGGTTGTAGGCGCTCCCTTGCCCATCTTCATCATAAAACAAAAAGTGAAGCATCATAATATCGAAAATGTTCGATAAGGTTTAATTTTTTTTCGTCTATAGTCAAACTGTATAACAATAAGGAGACATCTTAATGAATGATTCATAAGCAGATTGTAAAAAAAAAAAAAAAAAAAAAAAAAAAAAAAAAAAAAAAGGAAGAGATGCTAAGCGCTGATTTGTTGTTATTTAAAAAAAAAACTAATCTCACAATATAAATTGTTTTACATTTTACTTAGTGTTCTCAATCCTTCATTTATTTTGCAGAGCCATTGAAACTTGTGAAACTTATATTGACTGTTATATGTCTCAAATGAATGAAAAGGCTAGCACCTTCTTGTCAATAATTGATAGGAAATTGAACGGCATCTAAAAAAGACATGCTGACCTGAAGTGTAACACCTAGTTTACGCATGGTCTCAATCCATTTTGACTATAATACCCGTTACACCTATTGCTGAAATCCACCTTAAACTCCTAAAAAAAATTATTTAAATATTTTTCTCTTTTTTTTTTGTTCTTCTTGTTCCCTTACCATATTCAGTTCTTACAACTTTTCAATTCAAAACAAGTAACCGAGAACAAATATAGCCTAAATCATGGCTGTTTCAACAAATTCACCAGCCACACATTCTATTGCAGAACTTATCACAGAATTCCACAAAACAACAGGCGATGTCCCTCCCTTACTTATCGGTGCAACAACCACAATTATCAATGACCACGTTTATTTGTTTGGGGGAAGACTTCAGTCCACTCGACAGATTTCTAACCGTCTCTATGTATTATCCCTGAAGACCAAAGTATGGATGCTTATTCAACCACAAAATAAACCAGCTCGACCTCGTTACTTTCACTCAGCAAATGCTTATGGCTCGCACCATATCATCTTTTTTGGCGGGATGGTTGTCGAAAAAACACAAAAAGAGGGCGATAAGTTAATTCCTTGTGATGACTTAGTATTTTTAAACATTCAGACACTTTCTTGGGAATATCCCAACATGACAGACCAATCATTGCCTTCACCTCGTTACGCTCATCTGTCTTCTTTAATTGATGGTCGCCTTGTTATCATGGGTGGTCAAGACATCAATAACGAATATTTTGAAGACATTCATGTGTTTGACATCGATAAGCGACAGTGGTGTCCTCCTCTCTTCTCTCATCGATTCCAGTATGGTGCTTATCGTTCAGCTGCGATTGCTGTTACACCAATCCAACTGACTCCGCCTTTTGCACCAACGATAGATGCTCTTTCAGAGAGTTATGAAGAGGTAAACACTACTTCTGAAGACGCAACAGAAATCACAATTCATGCCTATTCAAACTTCAGTGGAGCCGAAGTCACTCGACAGTTGCATACTTGGAAACTCAACCAGCAAAATGAAAGTATAGAACTACAGGATCAATCAGATAGCATCAACCTAGGCAATGCATTACCTCCACCTTTGCGATTCCCATCTGCATTTATGTGTGGCCAACAATTTATATTGGCAGGTCCACACTTTTCGAACACAGGCAATCAATTTCAAATCTGGGCATTGGATACAACGAGCTTTATTTGGACCAAAATCGAAGTAGGGCATGTATTAGCTCGAGGTTCTTGGTTAAGAGGCATGTTATACGAAGACAAGAATCGATTTGTAGTATTCGGGCATCCGGCTAGAAATATGCAGGAAGACTATAGAGACCGTGCACATTGCTTTGAATACTTGGCTAGTGTCGATATCGAGATCTTTGGTATCTACAAGCCTCCTCAATCTACTTTTAGTGCTTTTGGTCAAGGCCTTGGCCTTGCTTTGCTCAAGGATCCAATGATGGCGGACCTCAAGATTGTGTCAATTGATGGCCAACATGTCATGGTCAATTCAGCTGTATTGTCTCAACGCTGGCCTTCTGTTCAACCTTTATTGAAGCCACTTCTTGATCCACAAAGCAATTTTGAAGGGTTAGATTTCGACAAACGAGAGCTTAGTTTCCCAGATACTTATGTGGTGCTAATTGCTTTTCTTCAATTTATCTATACTGATCACCTCGTTACTGCTCAACAACACCAACCTCAAATCTTGGCTCGTCTTTTGTTTATTGCTGATTTATTTGATGTGCCTAGACTCAAAGCACTTGCAACACATTCACTACATCAAATGCTCAACATTCAAACAGCCACTATGATTTACGAATCAGCTTCCCTTTCTAACGCTATATCTTTGCAAGTACGTGCTTTACGTGTCATGATTAATGCAAAGAAGATGATGCAAAGACAAAAGCAATTAGAAATGCAGAATAGACAAAAACAACAGCAACAACAACAACAACAGCAACAACAACAGCAGCAAATGAGTCCAGTAGAAAGACCATTTTCTCCTCCTCCTACACCTGCTTCAGTCAGTTCAATGTTTTCAACTTCATCTCAACAATCGTCACAGCATCAAGGTTCAAGGTTCTTGCAAAAATATGACATTAGTCGCCAAACACAATCGCACAATGGCGCTATACCTTCTCGAGGCACACCTCCTTTATCCCGAGAGAATACCCGGACTAATACATCAAATGGCTTCCCATTTTCTCAGAATGCATCACCTACTTCCTCTCAAACTCTTCCACAACAGCGCTCTACTTCTCAACGTTCGTTGTCTACAGAGACTAGCTCTGTTCCAAGCATACCTACAAGCACTATGAGTAGCATAAGCAGTAGCACAAATAACAGTGGCAAGTCTATTAAATTGCCTAATTTTCGTTTGCGACAAGGTCCATCGTATGGCAGTGATACAGAAATGACTGTGTCGTCCTCAACCTCTTCAAAGCTCACTTCTAACTCTAAATCAAGTTCCTCGTTCTGGAAAGGATCTAGTTCATCAACAAAAAAATCACCTCATATGTCAGAGAGTAAATCTACCAAGTCTGAAGGAAGTGGCCGAATCCCTTTTATTTACTAGTTAATAATGATAATAATGACAATAAAACTGGCATAGAATACACATAGAAACTGGTTTTCTATGTTAATTACGTGTGTTACATTTTTACACGTTGTTAAAATCAGACGAGAATTAAACTTTTTCCTTAGTTCAAAAATAGATTTATTGTTGTTTGACAATCTTGATTTGAAAAGTGCCTAAAGGTCATGTTAGTGATCATTGGCAGCAACCATTGCTTACATTGAGGAAGATTGGAGGTTTCTGCAACAACGACTGTAGGAACACCCAAACTTGAAAGTGCACCTCGAATAATACCACAGGGAAACCAAACATACTGATTGACATTAGCTTCAATTTATCTGCTTAACTTACTTACAGGCATTGCTTTCTTTGCTGAATCAGCTCCTCCTACATCGGTGGACATACGCATAAACCATCGAAACCCATTATCCTGCAAAACATAGACACCCTTTTTATTAATTTGAGTTAGTATCTTGCTTCTACAACACTGTCCTTACTCGATGATTTGTTTTAAGATTATCAATTTGTTTTTTAAACATAACTGTCCAAAGATCTTTACAGATAAACTTAACGACATCTAAAGTATCAACAAAACGAGGACGATCTCTAGTAAACCGCTCAACAAGACGCTGTCCCACTGCAAATCCGAGTGTTTCCAGTTTGTAAAAGACAGCATCACTATCTCCATCTGTCTCTGTTGTTATGGTTCGGCAGATGGTATCCACCATTTCAATCAAAAACAAGTCCATACACGTCTCACTTACAAGACGCGTCGCAAGCAAGTCATCACTGTTTATGCCCTTAGTTATTGTACTGTTTGTGTTCATATTAAAAGAGAAAGAAGGGAGGGAGGAGCGGGAAATACACTCAGAGTGCTAAAAGATATGCCGCTCATGGGTTTATCTCTCTCTTTTTCTTTTCTGCAATATGATCTCACCTTCAAACCACTCTCAAGAGTTGTATGAAAATCCTTTTGCTTCTGCTCAGGATAGTCAAAGTGCACTTATAGAACCTGACATTGACTTGACAGGGCAATCTACACAAGAACAGGAACCACCTGCTGTGTTGCCCACAAGTCAACCAACAGAGATACCAACACAAAGCAATACATCCAATGTTTATTCTGGCCAAGATACGCTGGATGAGCCAGTAACAACTACTATTGTATGTGTATATCTACCAATGCCATATATCAATAACGCGCGTATTAGATGCGTGACCTGAAAAAAGTAGGTAATAAGCTACTTCAAGTCTTGCAGCCTAATGGGGATCGTCGTGTCTTGAAAGACTGTGAGTGTTTGTGTTGTTGCAAAGAGTGTATATTAATCATATATATATAAAAAAAAGGGGATCTCTGGGGCCCTCTTTTGTTATGTTTAACATTGGCCATGTAAGTAACAAATCATATCAAGCTCAAATACCTTACAAGTAGATTAGTGTATTGAGTGTAAGAGCACCAGATAATCAAGCAGTACCTATTTTCACTGGTATTTTCGTGATTGTGTGGGCTGGTGCTGCTATTGTTACTATCAATGCCAAATTATTAGGTGGTGCTGTCAGTTTCTTCCAGTCTGTTTGTGTCATTGGTTACTGCCTATTTCCAATTGTTGTCTCTGCTATTGTGGCTACATTTGTATCACTGATTTGGGTTCGATTACCTATCAGTATTGTATCTTTTGCATGGGCGACTTATGGTAAAAGAATCTCTATTTTTTTTTTTGACATTCAATTCACATTGTATGATAGCTTCTGTTGGTTTTTTATCAGAATCACAAATACATTTGCAGAATCGCCGTGCATTAGCTGTAAGTTACAAAGTACTCCTATTGATAATTAACTTGTGTTGTATAGGTATTTCCTCTCTTTTTGTTTTATTTTATCATTACATGGCTTGTATTAACATCTTAGAAAAAAATATTTATTAGATTAAACTCTACACAGCATACATGATAATATCTTAAAGCTTTCTTGAAGGCATCATACTTGGGGGCAGTTTATCAGGCAATTGAGCACCCAATTGAACTGCCTTGATCAAGTGCATTGCTACACCAAACTGATCTGCATCCAAGTAACCATCATTGTCCCAATCTGATAAGCGCCAAATATCAGCTAGTAAATTGTTGGGCAATCCACTATCTTCTAATACTGGCTTTACATGAGCACCAGAAACCATACCATCTCTAGGACGCAAGCTTTGAAAAGTCGGCATATAGCTGCTTTTGTCCAAGTTATTAAAGTCCCAAAAAGAAGGAGGCAACTGGCCATTGACCACTTGTTCAGGGTTGGCTTGTGGCATATCAAAAGGATTCAATTGAGATTTTTCTAGTTCAGGATTGCCTGTAGGAAAGCGACTCATGATTTTAGGTAGATCGACAGCAAGAGCTTGATCAACTTTTTCAAGTAATTCTTCCTTCAAGTTCTTAAACTTGTCCATATCGTACAAGGCCAGATTCTGCTTGAATTTCTCGGGGTTGGGGAAATCACCAGCAGGTAAATGGTATTTGTTTTGGATCTTGATGAATTCTTGATCAAGATTTTTCAAGATGTTTTCTCTCTTTTTCTTCTTACCAAACATGGATGGCATTTCCTTACGAATATGAGAAATAATAAGAGCATGCACCTATGATGAATTCAGTATTTACATATACGCATGAGGAGTCCTTACTCTTGCTAAACGAGCACGCTTGACAATCTCATTGACCTTTCTAATAGCTGCATTTCTTCTAAGCTCTTTTAAATCACGCAACAAATCCTTTGATTCTGCTTCAATCAGTTCCCGACAATCCTCGAAACTATTGGGTGGCTTCTCGGTCCAGAAAGAACTGATATACACACGCATCACTTCAGGTGTTTGAACTACTTTGCCCAAAGACCACATCATAGCACCATACACACGCATCAATTGCTGTTGACTAACCATGTCTGACTTGTTAAGCACCACACGTACTTTTTCTTCCTGTCCACGCAAACTATGGATAGCCATCTTGAATTCGTTCGAGATATCCAATTTATAAGAATCAAACATGAGCAAAATCAAATCAGCTCGTTGAGCAAACCATTCTGTCACCTGAGTGAAATCATAGCCTCGTTCGATTCGTTGTTTATCGCCTGCTAAAATACCCGGTGTATCAATGATTGTCATGTTTTCTAGTACAGGGGAAGGTGTTTCTGAAACCTTTTGAAGTATGAGTATCCCCTGTGCAACAACTTATTTTATTTTACCTGGAACCGAGATAAAAATGCTTGACCAAAATGATTGAGTCCTCGAAAAGGTAATTCTTGATTGACAGCAGCTGCATTGCCTGGAATAACACGATCCTCTTGACCATTCATGACTGCAAGGAAACGGTCTGTTGTTGGTTCAACACCAATGTGTTCACCCGGATACTTTTTGTCCAACAAGTAGCGAATAAAAGTTGTTTTACCCTAGATAATATTTGTGTTAGTATCATGTTAATCATGTCAATGTTGCATACAGTAGAATATTGACCAATTAATAAGACCATAGGCTTAGCTTCGATATCTGAGTCGGTCAATGGTGCTGAATGGAATCCTATATCATATAAAGTCAAAAGTCCGATCCTCAGACAAGGAAAGGGTTACCTTCAAAGTTATAAGTTACTTCTAAAGGCTTAATTTTTGTTCGATAAATTTTTTTAATATCTTCTATCACCATAGCGTATTCGTCGTCACTCCAGTTTGTAGAAGAAGAGTGTGGGTTAGGAGTACCATTGGCACTACGCAGGGATTTTTCTCTTTTACTGTTGTTTTTAAACATGAACGAAAGAAAAAAGGAGAAAGAAAACGGATTTTTTTTAATTTCGATATAGCTTGCATTTTTGTTATGACGTTTAAGATCTCAAGAAAAAAAAAAAAAAAAAAAAAAAAGAAAAGCTTGCGGCAAAATGTTTTACCCGATAAGATCTCTCAAGCATAGTAGAGTCGCTTATTGATTTTTAAGAGGATAAAGGTTTTCTTCTCCTTCAATGCCAAACGTGACACGTTTCTTTTGGTTTTTTTTAAATATGCCTATACGGATCCTGATATTCTTTGCACTCTTAAAAGCATTCGAACTACCCAAATAAGAGAATTCATGCAACTGAGTTTCAGCGAGCGGTGTCATGCCTGTAGCCAATAAAGCGATTTGAGAATTACCACGAGCAATGCCTTCCGTCTCTTTCATACTTATGAACCATACGCATACCCACCAAATGACAGGTAGGAAGAGACAAAGGCAAAGAGCATATGCACCTAATTTGCTTACAGAGTATGTTGGTGTTGTCGTAAAGAATGCAAGGCCTTCATAGGGAGATACATCTAATGAAGCAAAATCTTGCGATACATAAGGTGCTTGAAAGAATGCATAATCGAAGGCTATAAGCGCATCTTTCATAAATAATTCAAACTTTGGATCAGGGTTGTTTATGTTATACGCTGACATGTAATCTGCCATTGAATAGTATTTAGGTGTCGTCAATTCAACAAGAAGAGCTTGTTGCATAATATAAGCATTCACCATAACAGAAGTGCTTTTGTTCTTCAAGAGTTGATCCGGAGCTAGAGCAACATTGTTGCCCAAGACATTATCATAATCCATTACAATGGGTGTAGTTGTGTCAACACTAGCTTGTACCAATGTGCCATTACTTGTTTTCCATGTAGACTATTCTAGTTAGTGATCAAAGAAAACAAATAGCTCTTTCTTACTAAAACAAGGCTAGAATTGAAATGGCACTTTTTGAAAGTAAGTTCTGTGTAATTGGAGGCAACGCCATATGCTATATCACTGTTTCTATAGGCTACAACAAAGACTTGGTCACCTACATAAGGCCTGTATTGCGGATCATATTCTGTGGTAGAAGCAAATATCATGGGGATATTCAAACCAGGCATCAAAGGAGCAGTATAGTTTAACAAATCATAATACGTTCGCCCAAGCATTTCAGTAGCATAAAGAAATTTGGGAAAGACCATCTTCTTTCCTTCAGAATTATGAGTGATGTTGTCAAACGTAAAATATTCTTTCAGAACAACAACTGTTCTATTTGTACCCCATCGATTCACTATGGCTGTGTCGTTTTCTGTCACTTGATTACATGTCATTGTGGTGGATATGTAACTAACGTTGTTGAAGATGCAATAATCAGAACCAGAAGGACACTTGAAAAGAGGACTTGCAGGTGAACCATTGGCTGCTTGGGCGAAACTGGATGTTGTGATATAAGCGTTTTTTGTAAGACCGTTCATCTTGGGAGGCATACCAGACGACTTTAATTCTCCACGATCTTCTATATAGTAAGGTTTGTAAGCAAAGAATCGAACATCAATACCCGTCTTATTGTAGCTTGAGGTCATTGGAACAAGGACTTCTTGAGTCAAAGGATTGTAGACTAAAATCCCAAGATGAAATAGGAAGGCTACCAATAATACAAAGTCAAAATGCATTGCTCTTATTGTCAGTGAAAAACCTAGTTAATTGCAACGTTATTTTTTTTTTCCTCGAGTAAACCCAATACAGCAACATACCTGATAAGCCTCTTGTACATCCATCATATACATCAATCAAAGTCAGTTCTGCACCCTTTTTTAAATGAACCCATTTATACTCTGCAATTGCTCTATACAAAAATCAAAAAAAAACACAATCGACGTTAAATAAACAATCAAGAAAAAAAATAAAGAGAGACTAACGTAGATACTCCACTAATAATGAACAATGTAGTAATGTTAAGGAGGAGAGAGACAATTGCTGGTATTTTGAGCCCTATGATGGTGTATTCTATACTCTTTCCATTTGCATGTAGTAAAAGGAGCAATAGGGCAATGATAAAGAAGCTACTGATACAAAACAAAGGTAAAGGCTTAAGGTAAAGAAAGGTTTTACTTTTCTTTAGCTTGTGAACATCATAGTCTGGCTGTCGCTTGTCGTCTCCTTGTAAAGTGTCTTCCAACATAAGGCAGTCATCATGTTTCTCCTCTGTCAATACTTTGTAAAGGGGTATGTCCTCTGAAGTATGACTGTAGGGTTGCTTCTGCGAATCCATATTGGATTTGTAGACCTCCAGATTTGAGTTCTTTTTAAGTAATTAAGTAAAATTAAAATAAAACTGAATATATTACCATTGCCCGAAAACAAAAGAAAATGAAAGAAGGAGAGGAAAAGAAGAAAAGGAAAATTAGGGAACCCAAATCCAATCAATGTTGCACAGAAAAGGTAGTTAATTCTTTGATCTGCCAACATTGTACTACAATGTGATAAAATTACTGCGAATCTCAGCATGTAGCATATGTATTTATAATTCACAAGCCTCGTCTTTTTATATCTAACGTGAGATCTCGCAAGAAATAAAAACAATTGAGAAAAAGAACAATAGGGAGAACAAACGATGGTACATTGTTAGAAACTATAAAGTAACTATAGAATACATTTGATTTAAAGAGTAAGAACAATCTTCTTAGCAAGAGCTTGATGGTTCCAATTGTTACAGCCCTTAAGACCTTTGTCAATGGAGGCATTGACAGTTGATTTTGCGCTAAAATTAGCTGCTAAAGCAGCATTAAGTTTAGCAGACTTCAAACCTTTTGCACGAGCTTTTCCTCTAGACTTTCCTTTTGCCTTTCCTTTGCCAGGGATTTTCTTCTTGATAGTAGTAATACCAGAGCTGACACAGCCACCTGCTTTCGTCTGAAGCGTGCTACCAATCTTTGGAAGTTGAGTCTTGATCAAGATGTTGGCTTCTGCATAGATCTCGGCCAAGATGGCAATGAGTTGAGCGTCGGTTAAAGTCTTACTACCACATTTCTTGCGAAGACTAGATTCGAGAATGGCAAAGATTTTAGCATTGATTTGGGCATTCAAAGTAGCACTAAAGGTTGATTTCAAAGTAGCAGCAAAAGACGATTCAATCAACTTGAGGCTTGCATCACTCAATTCATAGGAGCCAAGGAGAATAGAAGCAATATTTAAAGAATCAAAGGCCTTTTCAGAAAACTAAATAGAGATCAGGTGAGTAGTTGTCATCCATAACTTTGAACTTACAGTAGAAGAAATGAGCGAAAATACACGGACATTAAGATCAGCTTTGATGGAGCCCATAAGAGAATGAATGAGGGCATCATTCGTTTTGCAAGGACAGAAATTAGTGCGTTTGACCAACAAAGGAGTGTCATTAACAGACCTTTCAACGTTTTGGACTTCAAGTGCAGCAATGTCTTCAGTGAAAGGAGAAGCAGAGACAGAAGAAGCACAGAGAGCGACAAAAACGAGCAAAGAAGCAGTAGAGAGTTTCATGGATGAATGGAATTGGGAAGACTTGTAGAATGATAGAGACTCTCTACAACAAATAAAAAACCCATCCTATTTATATGAAAATTTTTAATATGTTCACTTGTTTTTTTCTTGCCAAGTTTTCTTCTTTGACAGGCAATGTGTTGCTTACTCAAGTTTATATTAATTTAATACTTGTCATGCTGTACCACCACAAACCCAATCCTGTTTTATTAAAAAAGTGATGCCAGATCATTGGCTGAGAAGCTGATCACCTCAAGGAAATCACTTTTAAGTACAATGAAAACGTTTTAAATTGACTTCAAATATTTTCAAACAAGTACTGGTGTGTACACTCTTAAAATAAACTGATGGTAACAGCTAATTTGATTGCATTGCAGTTCTAAAGTTACAAGTAGTATCCTGTTCTTTTTTCGAAATAACAGTTTTGCTTGCAACATCTAAAGCGTTTTGACACAGCATAAAAAAAAAGAAGTGTGTGATATAGTTCACGTACGTCTCTTTTGTGAGGACAGAAAGACTTAACTCAGCAAAACAAGTTAATTTTTTTTTACTTTTTTTTTCTTGTTATGAAAATACCTGGGATCACTGCAGAGAGACTGAATGCGATCTTCGCAAAGAAAAGCAGTTTATATCAAACAACCGAGACGTTTGATATTAAGGCTATTGTCAATAAAACTAAGCAAGAGAATCGTTTTGCTTTTATCGCAAGTAAAAAGAAACTAAGTAAACTGGCTGTTATTCGAAACAGAGCCGACCGTCGATTGAAGGCTGCTGTACAGTCTGAGTATCCCAACCTAAAGCTGAAAGGCAAGTCATATAGTTTACATCGTCTTATTTTAATATTATCAGGCTACGATTTTTTGTTCTTTTTAAAACCACCCATCATTACTGCACCCTGGTCTACAGTTGTACAGGAAACAGCAAAATCACTAAGAGATTTAGAGAAAAAAACGTTAAAAAAGAAGTCCAAATAGCATGAGTCAATGTCATTTGTTTCTTGCTTAGGGCACCAAGACATGCAATAGGGGCTCTATGAATGCAGTCGTGTTTTTAGACCGAACAAGTGTCTAGGCTGCTTTTTTGATGGAAATAAACTTCATGCGTAATTTAATGGCATGATATATACAATTCCCTTGTACCTGAATTACTACCAAATGGTTTTAATACTTGCTTGTATCACCTTTTAAGCGCGTTATTTGCATTTCATATTTATAAGCATTTTTAGGCTTATTCAGGTCGACAGAAAAAAAAAACTAGTCTGCCTACTCTTAAAGAACAGTGTCAATTTTCACTTTTTGGCTCTGCATAAATCCATCTTCTCATTCATGTTATCATTCTTTAGAACATGACTACATTTAACTTTACTGAGGCAAAGCATTTAATGGAAGTAAATTGGTCCCTATGGCATCATTTATGTCAAACGTCTCACATATAATGTCATTTAAAAAAAAAGAGAAAAAAGAACTGCTAACCTTTCATTTCATCTTTTTCATAAACAGTGCTGGAATATCTTTGATTATTTTCTTGTTGCCTCATAGTTTTCATTGAAAGCCATAGTTGCGAATATATGTTTGGCTTTTCCCGTAGTCAACCCAATTGAGACGTTTAAGGTTTGTAGTCAAGTGTAAATCCAACCGAGAAAGGTTTGTCTCGCTAGAAAAAGCCTATGTAAACAGACCATCATTGTTCCTCCCTTTCTTTTTGTACAGAATACATAGTTTGAATAAGGCATACACAAATAATGCTTTTGGCTCTCCGAAGTTCTGATGACTGATGACATATACTATGCCTTTCACATGCATTTTTTTTTCTCTTCACCATTTTATATAGCATTCAAAACCTAAAAAAAATTCCCATATCGTTTTCTTTTCGTTTTCTTTCTCTCTCTCTCTCTCAACCCCCTACTCTTTCTTATCATGCCTGAATTGAAGACTTTTACTAGAGCTGAAGTAGCCAAACACAATACTGAAGATGATTGTTGGATCATTATTGACGGTTCTGTCTATAATGTCTCCACCTTTGCTCAGCTGCATCCTGGTGGCAGTCAAATCTTGATTGAATTAGGTGGCAAAGACGTTACTGGTAATCTATCAACGCGTTTTTTCTTTATATTAACAAAAAACAAATAGAGGACTTTTACGGTCTTCATCGTCAAGAAGTATTGATCAAATACGCTCCTCGTCTCAAGATTGGTACGATTGAGAATGAAGTGTCTCAAGTGAGCTTGCCTTCTCCTGGTGATCTCTCAGCTGTTCCCTATGGTGAGCCTAGTTATTGGATGGGCTTCAAGAGTGCTTATTTCACGTAAGTTGCATATAGAATATTTCAAATTCAGCTTACTCATTCATTACCTAGTGAGAGTCATACACGTTTCCGTAAGGCATTTCGTGCTATCTACGATGAAATCAAGTCTGATGCTGTTTTGGCTGAAGATCAAGGTACTTATCCTACTAAGGAATTGTATGCCAAGTTAGGTGAAGCTGGTGTATTGGCTAGTCAAATCGGTCCTGGTCCTTGGTAAGATACATACAACATACATCCTGTATTTTTTAACTTTATTATTTAGGCTTAAGGGTCTTCAATTACCTGCTGGTATCAAGCCTGAAGAATTCGATTATTTCCATGAATTGATTGCTCATCAAGAAACAGCTCGTCTTGGTACACCTGGTTTTGCTGATAGTATCTCTTCTGGTTACTCGATTGGTCTCCCTCCCGTCTTCAACTTTGGCAGTCCTGAATTAAAGGCCAAGGTTGTTCCTGAAGTGCTTCTTGGTAAGAAGCGTATCTGTCTGGCCATTACGGAGCCTTATGCTGGTTCTGATGTGGCTCGTATCCGTACCACTGCCACCCGTACGCCTGACGGAAAGCATTTCATCATCAACGGTGTCAAGAAATGGATTACCAACGGCGCCTTTGCTGATTACTTTACTGTTGCTGCTGTGACAGAGAAAGGAATCACGACCTTTTTTGTTGAACGCGACGATAACATCGAAACCAAACAGATCAAGACGTCTTATTCACCTTCTGCTGGTACTGCCTACATCACCTTTGAAAACGTCAAGGTACCTGCTGAAAACATTCTTGGTAAAGAAGGCAAGGGTTTCCAGGTCATCATGTACAACTTCAACCATGAACGTTGGTACATTTGTGGTGCTGTCACAGCTGCTTCACGCGCTATTGTTGAAGACTGTTTCAAATGGGCTGTTCAGCGCAAAGTGTTTGGCAAGCGTCTTATTGACCAACCTGTGATTCGTAACAAGTTGGCTGCCATGATTTCTCAATTGGAAGCTGTTGAGAACTGGCTTGAGAACATTACGTACCAAATGTGCAACATGAGCTACCAAGAGCAGTCTGTCAAGTTGGCTGGTCCTATTGCCTTGTTGAAATACCAAGTGACCCGTGTGGCTCATCATATTGCTGACGATGCCTGTCAAATCTTTGGTGGTCGTGCTATCACCAAGACAGGCATGGGTCGTCAAGTAGAAGCATTCCAAAGAACCTATAAGTTTGGTGCTATCCTTGGTGGTTCTGAAGAAATCATGGCTGATCTTGGTATCAGACAAGCCATGAAGCAATTCCCTACCAGTGCTAGACTCTAAAATAAACCTTTTTTTTTTTATTGTCCTACATTCTCTGCATAAAATTATCCTTTTCTTTCTTTCTTTCTTTCTTTATGACCTATTCTTGGGACCATATCAAAAGTCAAGTAAGACAGTTTAGATCCAACTTACATTCTATATACCCTATTCAAGTTTGGAATATCACCAAAGACTTTACCATACATCAAAATACGCTTTATTTTCTTTCAAATAACCGTGATCCCACCCAAATCACTCCAACAGCACAACTCCAACTACACAAGATCAACTTGACACAATGTATGTAACAAAACCAACTTTATCTTTCTTTCTTTTTTTTAACGATATTGTTTAGTTGATACGATACAATGTTGCCAACCTACAGGCATCACCGTGAAAGATTATTTAGTGTCATTACAATCATGTCCCATCTTGAAAAAGGAATTGGCCATACCTGATCTCAATCTCTTGCCTGAGACTGATCCACTCTATCGTCCTAGTATTTCTAGTTTCGAATTAATAGACAACACACTTTTGTTTACTTGGCGAGAAGAACACTACATAATTCCTGATATAACAGACAAAGTAAGAATGAATGAATCAATAGAGTCATAACTCTCTAGTGTAGATGATACCCCACTTCATACCGTCTTTTGGTGATCGACATGACATGAAATTAGGTCAAGAGAAGATAGCTTTTATTCGAAATAGAGATATTTGGATCACGGATCTGAATGGACAAGAGACTCAGCTTACGTTTTGTTCGTCCAATACACACGATCCAACACGTCAATGTGGTACAGCAGAATACATGATGCAGGAAGAATTCCATCGATTGACTGGGTATTATTGGAGACCCCATAAACCAGAATTTAAGGAGGATTGTATACTCTATCTAGAGACATCTGAATTATCAGTAGAACAAGTGTTTATTCCAACCTCCTCTGTCTTCAGCAGTAGTCCATTATCACCAGGAACAGATGCAGTACCCGCTATTCATACTGAATCCATCGAATCCATGCGATATCCTCGACCAGGATACCCTAATGCTACTAGTGATGTCTGTCTTGTTCATTTCAGAGTCAAAGATGGGAAACCATTGTATCTAGAACATACTACCTTATGGACATACCATCAAATCAAGACTCAATTCCCATGGATGGAATATATTGTGCGGTTTGGTTGGTTACCTGATGGACAGAGGCAAGTTGCACTCTTTTTTTTTTTTTTTTTTTTTTTTTTTTTTTTGTATTCATAAGCCTATAGTATTTGGCTTCAATTGCTCTCAAGAGATCAGAAACAAACAGCGCTAGTAAAACTAGTTCTGACATCACATGCGATAGAGATATTATGGCAAGAAACAAATTCATCTTGGATTAATATTACAGACGTATACTACTTTATGCAGACACTCTCTTCTGTTCACCATGTCAAGTTGATCTGGAGCTCAGAAAGAGTGAATGGCTATCGGCACTTGTTTCTTGTGGAGAAATACAGCCATGAATCCAACAGTAGAATCACACAACTCACACAGGGGGAGTGGTGTTGTGTGGATAGACCTTTGTTTGTGGATGAATCACGTCATCTTGTGTATTTCTCTGCTAAGATGCATACACCCCTTGAATCCCATTTCTATGTTGTCTCCTATGATAGACCAGAATCACCTCGACTTTTGACTCAACTGGGATTTAGTCATCAAGTCAGTATGGATTCTGCTGATTATTTCATTGATTGTTTCTCTGCACTCCATCATCCTCAAGTCATTTTGATTCAAAAGCTAAACCATACACCTATCTCAATAGAGAAATCAGCTCTGTTGATGCCTGTTTCCTTTAAGAAACAAGAACCTGTCTATACAAGACCACCACCCTCACCACCACCTTCTTTTCGATTTGAAGATGCTTTTTTATCGCCTGAGACCCAACTGTTGGACTATGCACTGATTTACAACGATAGAGTGCATGGTGAGATGTTTAGTTTTACTACACTGGATGGTAAATGGGTGGCATCTGATTGCGTACTGATCTGATTAGGCACGCCATTGTATGGTTGTCTCTATAAACCAAGGTATTATGAACCAGGTAAATCTTACCCTACTCTTTTACATATCTATGGTGGACCTAAGACACAACTGGTTCTGAATGAATTCAAGTTTCCTCGTTTGATGCGATACTTGATGTCTGTCTATTTTAACTTTGCTGTGGTGATTATTGACAGTAGAGGATCAAGTGATCGAGGGCTTCAATTTGAGTCTCATCTTCAACAGCGACTTGGCAGAGTGGAACTCAAAGATCAGATAGAGGGACTTGAATTCTTGCACAACACTCAATTTGGAGCCATTCAACAAGAAGGTGAACCCTTAAGGCCTGTGATTGATATGAATCGAGTGGCTATCACAGGCTGGTCTTATGGTGGATATCTTAGTCTGATGGGATTGGCTCAATACCCTGATGTGTTTAAGATGGCTATTGCAGGTGCACCTGTCACACAATGGGAGTTGTATGATGCTGCTTACACAGAGCGATATATGGGACTACCAGCAGAGAACAAGGAAGACTATCTTCACAGCAGTGTCCTGAACTATCTTGATCAGTTCCCCAACACGTAAGTATATCATATGGTTGCTGTAGGTTGGATATTGATAGAGATGTTTAGTGAACACAGACTGCTGATTGTTCATGGACTGATAGATGAAAATGTCCATTTTCGTAATACAGAACAATTGGTGGCTCAATTAGACAAACTCAACAAGCCTTATCGACTCCAAGTCTATCCTTCAGAGAAGCATGGACTTAGACATGCTAGTGTCAATGAACACTTTGAGACACTCATGTATTATTGGCTTTCAAATTATCTGTAAAGAATAAATAAAAAAAAAAGAGCGGAATTTTTTTATATGGTCGAATCAAGTGTGATCGTGGAGCAACGTGCCCGTCAGTGTGATGTTACACTCTGTCAGTGCTATGTTAAAAGCAACTCATCTATTTGAAATTCCGACATCGCTTTAAAAAAAAAAAAAAAAAAAAAAGAAATTCTTTTTTCTTCAACATACGCATATATATATATTTATAAAAATGAAATTTGGATCACAGTTAAAAGACGCTATCTATCCTGAATGGACAGAATACTATATTGATTATGATGGCTTAAAAAAGAGATTAAGAAAAGCAGAGAAAGACAAGCCATTTACAGAAAAGGATGAAATAGAGTTTGTTGAATTATTGGATAACAATCTAGAAAAAGTAAAGTACAGAAAATGAATGAGAAGTATACTGATGACTTTAGGTCTATGCTTTCCATCAAGAGAAAATGGAAGATATCAAGATGAAAATCGATATGGAGGATGACAAGATCAATACGCAAATACCCAGTCAAGACAGTGTGAATGAAATGAGTGCTATTCAAGAACGTATCAACTGGATTGCAGATGACATTAATCGCCTTGCTCGATTCTCTCGTATCAACTATACTGGCTTCCTCAAGATTGTCAAGAAACACGACAGACACACAGATTATGTCCTTCGTCCTATGTTTATGGTCCGCTTAAACCAATGTCCCTTTTGGAATGAAGACAATGATGCCTTGTTGATCAAGTTGTCTCAACTGTTCTCTAAAGTAAGAGAGGGTGGCATGACCATGTCCTTTAAGCCTGCTTCTCAAGCAGTTCATTTTATGGAAGATCGAGCCTCAGACAGTCGTCGATTGGTCGTCAAACGTTTCTTTGTCCAGACAGAGAATGTACTGGAACTCAAGACTTATGTATTGCGTCATTTGCCTGTCTTGGTCTACCGCGACAATAACTCAAAGAGACAAGACAATATTGACCCTCCTATTTCCACGCTTTATTTAGACAATGCTGATCTGGATTCATACAATTCCCGTGTAGAAGCAGCTGAAGGATCTCAAGTCATTCGTCTTCGTTGGTATGGTAGTGCCAAAGGAAACAGTTCTATTGCATTTGAGCGTAGAACATTGGATGAAGAGAACCGGGGGGAATTAAAGGATCGATTTACCATCAAAGATAAATATGTTGCTGGTTTCCTTCAAGGGGATTCAACATTTATTGATAAATCAGTCCGTAAGATGAAGAACAATGGCAAGAGTCAAGAAGAAATTGAAAAGCATCAACAACTGATTCAACAGATACAACATACCATTCGAGAAAAGGGAATGCAGCCAGGTAAAGTCAATTACTTAAATTCTCCTAGAAAATAACCTTCATGTTAGTGTTACGCACCTATTACCGTAGAACGGCTTTCCAAATTCCTGGGGATAGAAGTGTCCGTATGGCCTTAGACACTGACCTGTGCTTTATCAGAGAAGATTCTGGACTGTTCCCTGATGACAACACAGTACGTCGACCAGAGGACGCATGGCGTAGACCTGATGCAGATACCAATTTCCCTTTTGATCATCTCAAGAATGAAAATGATATCAACCGATACCCTTTTGCCACTTTTGAAATCAAACTTGAATTGGCACCTAATGAGAAAGAACCTGAATGGATTGTGGATCTTGAAGAGAGTGGTATTCTTGAAGAAGCCTTTGGTTTCTCTAAATTTGTCCATGGTATTGCTGTCATCTTTGATGCCCGTGTGCCTCTTTTGCCTTACTGGTTGGCCCAGATGGAGAATGATATACCATTATTGCCCTCACCTTCAAAAGGAATAAGTAAATCAGCCAATGAAGTGGAATCTATTCACTCAACATCACCCCCACGTGGGCCTACTTCAGCCAATGAACGCTCTGGCTTGTTGAATGCTGGATCCTCTTCTTATATGAGTACCACAGACCATGCACGTACCATTCAGCCTCAAGAAATTGGTCCCTCTCGTTTGATTGAGCATATCAATGCTGTCTTTAACACCTTGATCGGTAAACCTCAGCCTTCTTTACGCCATCAACAACAGTTTGAAAGGCAGTTGGATGCTGCACCTGTCATTTTACCCCCAGGTGTCAAAGTACCCAAAAAGGTGGCGACACCACTCCGGGTTGAACCTAAGGTCTTCTTTGCCAATGAACGTACTTATTTCTCATGGATGTCGTTTGGTACACTCATTTCTACCTTTTCACTTGCTCTGTTCAATGCAGGGGATGCGACTGGTAAGATCAGTGGTATTGTCTATACACTTGTGTCTATCTCTACATTGATGTACGGTATGGGTCTTTATTATCGTCGTCGTGAATTGATTCATAACCGAGCTGCTGGTCCTTATGATGAATTGATGGGTCCAACTGTCATTTGCTTTGCTTTGTTGTTTGCAGTGGGTTTGAATGCCTACCTTAAGTTTACCGTCAAATCCCCTTCTTTATTCTATCTTTAAATAAACGCGTTTTGCTTTATAGTTTGGTAGTACGATTCCATTTATTTTCATCTCCCTTTTTTTTTTTATTTTTTTTTATATTCGATGGACCCATTTCAATCATTTCCTATACAGTTCAATCCTCAAATCTATGAGAGTAGCAATGTACCTCCATCTACAGACAAGTTATTCTCTTTTAGTGGCTTCCAAGCAGGCTTGATGACAAGTCAACAAAATACGATGCCAAGCAGTTCAAACTTACAACCTCCTTTCCAACCCTCTCGACCACAAACATTTCTACAGCCACCTTTAGCCCAATCTGCTCAGAATGAAAACGGAAGTCGATATGCTGGCATGTACGCCAACACTGGATTTGATATGTTGACCTTATTATCGCGTGTGGTCAATCGACCCAACCCTCAAATCAGCTTAGGCCCTGTGGATTTATCATGTTCGTTTGTGGTGGTGGATGCGAAACAATATGATTTTCCATTGGTCTATGTGTCCCCTATGTTTGAACGCTTAACGGGTTATGCACCTCATGAAGTGATAGGCAGGAATTGTCGGTTCTTACAAGCACCTGATGGAAGAGTGGCTATTGGTTCAAGAAGAAAATATACAGATAACAGCACTGTCTATCATATCAAGACACATATAGTCCAAGGAAAAGAATCACAGTCGAGTATCATCAACTATAAAAAAACGGGTCAAGTAAAGTGCACTACTTTCTATTCTCATCATCAAAACTCATATTTGTATCTAGCCTTTTGTCAACCTATTGACAGTGATACCTATTGCTTGGGAATCATCTGATGAAATCGATTATTTTGTAGGATTACAAGTGGATCTTGTAGAACAACCAAATTCAATATTTCAAAGCATGAAGGGTAATGGAATCATCCTCCATTCAAATGTGTATTAAATGGGAATAAGCGGTTTTTTTTTTTTTTTTTTTTTAGATGGAACATACACTGTCAACTATAGAAGTTCTACTATTCCATCTGCCATTTCAGGTGAATAAATGAATTCTATATGGAAAACTAAAGGCAATAACGATAGGCTTTCCAATGAATCCTGAACTTGCTGAAGAGCCTATTGAAGAATGGCGAAGACCTGTTTCTCCTAAACCCTTATTGACATCCTCATCCAATGATCCTCCCATGGTGTCTACTGGCAGCAGCAGCCATTTGTCCTCAAGACCCTCGGATACAGAACCCCCATAGATATAGAAACACTGATCAAAGAAGCAAGTACAGATGAAGGCAAATTTAGACGATGTTGGCATGAACTACTGTTGGACCAGAGTCCTGATTTTATTCATGTCTTGACCATCAAAGGGATCTTTCTGTACTGCTCTGATTCAACACAGCAACTGTTAGAATACGAACCCTCAGAACTGATTGGTGAATCACTCAAAGACATCTGTCATCCCTCGGATATCACAACTGTCATGCGTGAATTAAAGCAGTCTTCCAGCGACTCAACAGAACCTGTCAATCTGATTTACCGTGCACGCCGTAAAAACTCGGGCTACATATGGATTGAATGTTGTGGTAAACTCAGGAATGAAGATGGTCGTGGGCGTAAATATGTCGTCTTGTCCGGTCGAGAACGTCCTGTGTATCAGCTGCCGCGTAGTGCTCTGGCAGTAGGCAACAGGGCCCATGAGGCACGTACACCTCAAGACGCATTGATGCCAGGCACAGAAGACCATGAATTCTGGGGTAAATTAAGTGCTGATGGCTTACTGTTGTATGTCAGTTGGACATGTGCGAATATCCTGGGCTCACCTCCTCCTGAACTGATTGGCACGTCCTTGTACCAGTTGATGCGTAGTAACCGTACAACCGATCTAACCCGTGCATTAGCAGAAGTCAAAGAAGGCAAGATTGTATATTTAAGGCACGCTTTGTTGAACAATGCAGGCATGGAAGTCATGGTGGCCACTACATTCTATCCAGACGGGAAAGCATCTTTACAAGAACAACCTACGTTTGTATTGATGCAGACAAAGGTGATTGATGATGAATCTACCTTGACAGACGAAGAGCCAGTGTTTGTCTCGATGGATCCTGATGTCAAAAAGAAAGGAAGAGCAGATGTATCGATGCCTAATCTGGACAGTCATGGTGTTGTCCTTCCCTCTGTACAGCGTATCCATACAGGTGAACGTATGGTGGATGAACTCGATATTGCTCGAGATGCAAATTGGCAGTATGAATTACATCAATTAAGGATCAGTAATAAGAAATTAAGAGATGATCTCAATATTTTACTTCAAAGAGCGAAACAAGTAAGTCTACTAGATTGTATCAAGACTGACCATGACAGGATGGTAAAGAAGAAGTTGCCCACTGTCATTCATGTTATCGTCGTTTACCAGGCACTTCAGAATTGGATTATAGTTCAGAGGAACCTCTGTTATGTAATACATGTTCTCTTCGTGATATACCAACACAATAAAAAAACGCTTTATTTATTTAAAGACCTTACCATCAACACAGTCTTCAAAGTCCCAAGCAAGATACTTGTAGAATTCTTCCTTCTTTTCTTCATATTGAGCAGGTTCAATCTTTTGGAAGTTGTAAGATTCGTAGTCAGCAGCATCGTAGATTTCATAAGGAACTTCTTGACCACGGATAACAAAGTAACCAGAGATGCTGTTGTTGTTGTTTTCACCACGAACAATCATGGAACCGAAAGCGTACTTGTGAGCACGTTCAAGACGAGCATAGAAACCACCGATCAAGTTGTTGGACATGAAAGTCAAGGTCAATTCATCGTTGTACTTGTAGTCAACCTTCCAGATAGAGTAACCCTCAGGGTCAAAGTGTTCCCAGAACCACTTGATGGCATCCTTAGTATCGTTGTTGGAGTATTCACGCTTCCAGGCATCCATAACGAAAGGAGAAGGAGGCAACAAATCCAACTTGGACTTAGGCTTAGGAGCAGGCTTGGGTTCTTCTTCAACAGCAGCAGCAGGCTTGGCTTCCTTCTTGGGAGCAGCTTCCTTAGGAGCAGCAGGCTTCTTTTCCTTCTTGGGGGGAGTGTACTTCAAGGGAGTTTCACAGAGCTTGATGTCACCGAGGTGCTTGGCGAATGGAGCCTTAGCAACAAGGGTGGTGTAGTAACGAGTGACGTTCTTGAATTCAGCACGGAAAGCCTTGTCAAAGACATTTACGAAACCCAAAACAAGAGAAGCAGCAACAGCAATATCAGCAAGAGTGACAGATTCACCAACGAGGTAAGTCTTGGTTTCGAGAATCTTGTTGAGAGCACCCAAAGCTCTCTTGACCTTTTCAATACCACTGTCAACGTTAGGCTTCATGTAAGGGAAGTAACCCAAGAGAGGGTAGACCCAAGTACCGAGGTTAGCAGCAATTTCGTTTTCAGAGAAAAGGATCCATTGAAGGACAAGGGCCTTTTCAGCAGCAGTGGTACCGAGAAGAGGGTTGTTTTCCTTTTGAGCAGCAGCTAGCATCGATCATCAGTATATATAAAAAAAAATTTTTTTTTCTTTAGATATGCACTCACCATAGTAAGCAATAGCAGAAGACTCAAAGATGTTGACCTCAGCAGATTCAAAAGTGGGGATCTTACCCAAGGGGAACTTGTTCAAGAATTCAGGAGTCTTATCCTTAGCAAAGTCGAAAGCTTCAGTGTTGATTTCAACACCGGTGTATTCAGCCTAAAAACACGATGTTGAACATTCCCTTCCTTCTCATACACTCTACAATACTTACAGCAATAAGAGCCTTAGCAACACGAGGGTTGGTGGGGTAGGACTTGATAGTCTATATCATCATATCAGCATCCATCTCCTATTCTCTTTAGGTCACACTTACACCGAGGGGAGCCATATTTGAATAAAAAGGTAAAGAAAGGATAAAGAAAAAACTTTTAGGGTGATAAATCAAAAAAGAAAAAAAATTTTAGCTGTCACAAAAAAAAAGCGCCACCCAAATGAAATCACTTTTCTTTTTTTTTCTTTATTTATGCTTGTTGTGGTTCTTCATCAAGCTGTTCGAATGCATCAGCTATTTTCATCACTGCTCTTCTTACAAGTGTATTTTTAATTGGTTTTTTCTAATGTTGACATATTAAGTTGACGTTACTTGATATGCTACTTTACCTGATCGATCTCGTGAATCATCGCTTGTATGGTCTTCATTTGTTCATTCGAAAGTTTTTCTAGTCTCAATCTGAGTAAAAAGTGGCACAATATCTTTCTTAATTCGCTTTCTTTCTCGGCATAAATCAACTCGAGTGTTTCAATGGCTAATCCACCAGAGACTTGGAATATTGCCTCATCATCGCCTTCAATATAATTAGGATCTTTTGATCTTGCACTATACACAACAGATCAGAACCATAGATATAGGAACTTAGACTTACGTTTGAAGTTTTTCAGGATCATTCCAATCAGCAAGCATTTCTGTGATGGTTTTGGGATCTACCATCGTCTCATCTTGAGCCAAATCAGCATGTACACGACAAAGTTCTTTGATCGAGGATAATGTGATATTGGAAAGTGATTTTTGGTGTGCAGGGGACGAATAGCAATAGACTGGAAAGAAATAAGCCAGGCATTGATGAATCGTATTGCAGGCTTCATCTACTTCTGTCTTGGGGAAGAAATACAACAAGATCATTAAACCTAGTAACTAAAGTAATGTCAGCAAAAATAGCTTCTAAAAAGAAAGGAGAGCTTACTTCATCATCTTCAAATCGATTAAACAGCATAAGTTTACAGAGTGCTTGTGTTGTAAATGATTGAATTTCTGTATTGTCATGGTCTAAGCCAAATTCAAACACTTGATGGATATCTTCAGACTACAAACAAGGCTTGAATTCCTATCGTTTAGATGTTGTACTTACACTTGATAGATATTCAGTCATGGTTTCCACACCATACATCAGCAATATATCACCAAAGACCTATCCCCTTCTGTTATGTTACTTGATGCAGATCAATGACTTACTTTAATAGCCTTTTTAACAAGGTCTTCATGGCCATGTTTAATACACGTAATGAATAGTTTAATGTTGTGCTGTGCAAGGTGTTTATCAAGCATACAGCATAGACCAAGGCAATGTAAACCTTCTTCACGAAACAAATGATCTCCACTTTGAACTGCTGGTACAATCAAATCATTCAATAGACCATATAAACTTGAGTTTTCTGTTAATGTCTATATACGCGTCAATTTAAGCCATGGAGTTCATGAACAACTTACTTCATAACTATTTTCAAGCATGCGTTTACAGATACTAAGGCATCTAAACCGCACAACAAGGTTTTCAATATGTTGGTCTGATCCTTGACTTGGTTCTTCATGCTCTGTGTTGTCTTCTACTCGAGCCCTTTTGGTAGGTGTCTCGTCTAAATCAGCTAAAGAAGCCATGGCTTCTTCTTCTTCTTCTTGAATGTCGGACACAATTTCAATAATCGATCTAAAGAAGTAAGAGAATGAATTAGCGTATATTGCTTACCTTGTAAAATCACGTTCATCAATTGAAATCATTCGGAACACCTTTACAATTCTTTCAAGGTGATCATCAATCAATTCTTGTGATTTAAGAACTTCTCTTAGGAATTCAAACATTTTGCGTCTGCCTACTTCATCAGCATAGTCTAAACAGAGTGAAATATCCAATAACTGTGTCAGGATAAACTCATAGTTGGTAGAAGCAGCATCTTCTGCATTGACATTGGCACGATACAGGTTGTAATAGTTTTCAAGGTTAAATACATGTCTTGTTACTTCAGGCAAAATGACATCTAATCTTTCGTCTGTATCATCTTTACTCTGTAAGAATTCAATCACTATCTTGGCTAATAAAGCACTTTCACCAGACAAATTATGCCAGAATTCCTCTAAATAAAATTAAAATTTGTGTGTGTATATATATATATATATATATGTATTCATACCTACCATCAAATACAATATCATTTACAATGTCCATTCTCTCTTTAAAAAACTCTTTCAACAGCTTTTCTACAAGTGGTGATAGAATAGATTTAGTAGCTTCTAATCGCTCCAAGAATTCAATCAAGTTGTTATTAGCATGGACAATCCATTTTTCAGAGAACAGTTTGAGAGCTGCTTTGCGTACAAGTTCTATTCTATCGTTCAATCCCCATTTTAATATGTCATGTCTTTGCTCGAAACTGAGCATCTTAAAGTCAGGAATATCGGATAATGGCTTGAGATAGACAACACGTCTATTGGTGTCGTCTGGATCACGTATACACTGGACAAGGTATGGTATTGTTTCAGGTGTAACATCGATATTAAACAAAACTAAACGACGTACTTCACTAAAGAATGGCATGTCAGTATACCAGGTCAGCATAGACATCAGACTTACGCGCTGGTATCTCGTCGCATACTCCACATCAATTTATCATGGATTGTCTGTTCATCAGAAGCATTGGGTTCTGTATCACTCTGTAATCGACATAAGGCAGTTACTGCTTGTGCTCTTACGCTGGCATCTTTATCTAAATGACCTTCAAATAAATGGGATTTTAAATCTTGATACAAGTCTTCACTATATTCATGTTAGATAATAGCCCCCCTTTTCTTATTGTTGACTTACTCTAATTCACCCATTGAACTGATACTCAGGGCAATGATCTGACAGCAACGAGTACGAACGACTACTTTGGCATCGGAAAACCCTTTAAACAAATGACGCAAAAGGCTGTCGACAAACCGAGAAGTGACTGTCTCGTAATCACCCTCCTCTTCCTCTTCTTTGTTATCTGATGCAGAAGCTTCTGTCATTCTTTCGTCTTCCTCTTGATCCGTACTCGATGTTAGTTGAACCTTATCTGCTCCTTCTTTTGCTTTGGATTTAGCTTCCTCATCTATCCATCCCATTGAGTGATTGAGCATTTTAGTGATCATGATTTACCTTTTGATTGAATGTATTGCAAAAAGCCAGCAATGAATCGTTGAACTCGATCAGCAGTAGGTTCATTCTTTTTGATAGGAAGGATCACATTGACCATCTTATTAAACAGTTTCTGAAATTGTGCTTCGCCTTGTGCATCAATGTCTTCAGGCTGTCCAATCAGTCGAGGCGAGTTCAGACAACAAGCAACTTGAAGATCGCGCAATTTGATAGCATCGGCACGAAGATTGGCATTGGGTCTTTGAGCATCCATAAAAATATTGCTCATTAACGACTTTAAGTCAGACAAGGCTGTTTCTTTATCTAGTGTCGACGTCTCAACCACATTAGGATCAGTTCTTCTTCTAACCATGTTATCGTTTAAAAAAGAAAAAAAAAGGCGCGTCTTGAACGCGATCAAATTAAATTTGACTCCGACAAACATTTGGCCAGTTTATGATGACCTTGAAAAAGGCTCTTTAAAGAGCCATATGAAATCAGTTAAGTACATAGCCAAAGCGAATGATGGAAGTTTTGATAACAATGGTTTTTCCTGTACATTTTGAAATTTTCATGAGCAAACATCTCCCTTCTTTAAATCAAAGAGAACCGAGCGTCCTTTTGATGAGAGCATTTTAACTAAATAAGCAACGTAATAGCATGACTCTTGTTTATTTAACAGAGCCACTATGTAAATTAAGCATTTTAAGCACTAAAAAGACGATAATTCAAACGTTTCTTTGTCTTTTTCAGACAAACGAGCGTGTCTTAGAGCCTGTTTATACACACACAGATGCTATAGAAACCTACAAACGCTGTTTAGTAACATGAGGTACATTTGGAGTTGGTTTGGATTAAAAAAAGAAAAAAGCGACATGTCCAAAATGGCCAAAATGTGCCTTTCGACCAAAGGGTACCATTCATGAAAATTGCTCATTTGACAACTCTTGTTTTACATTTGTAGTACAGAAATAACAAGAGATGGACAGAAAACCGTGTAAACATTTTTGCGCATCTTCTCAAGATTTTATAAGTAATTTTGCTGTGATGCATATATCAACAGAATCAGTAAATGAATATCTACAGCTTTTATTATTGCCACAAAGCCCAATAAGTGTGTTTTTGTGCAGTTCTCAGCAAAACCTCGATTCCGATGTGGCAGCAAGAAGAATTGGGGTTACCTTCCATTTGAATCTCCACGCACAGCCATCCTGCATCTCCCATGTCCATTTACTCCACATTTGCATTATAACATGCCCATATTTCTACTTTTCCATGTTCTTTTGACATACGGTATAACACTTTGGCTTTAGAAGAATTAATTGCAGACATATTTTATATGACATGCAGAGCAAAAATGCTCAAGACACAGCTTAAACATGTCAATCTTTGATGTACCATTGCTCGATAACCACACTATCAAAACAACCCATTTTTCTATTTAAAACCTGTTCTTCCAAGCCCAGGGACCGAACGATACTATTGGTTTGAAAAAAAAAAACTCAATCAGAAAATTATGAAATGATCCAACCGAAATCAGGTAAGACTGTCTCTATGTAATTCTAAAACAAAGAAAACGAAGTCTACTAAGACCAAAAAAAGCGATTTGATTTAGGCATTGCCTTCAAATCTGCATTCACTGTAATTGGTAGAAAAGAGACCGTTTTCAGTTGATATCGGTTATCAATTCGATACTTTCTATACATTAGCTGGTACACAAAATATACATAAACAAGTTCTGCTATCTTACATGAAACTTTTGGGGCTAAGGAGAGCAACTTTACATATAACAAATGATGAATGTCAGCAAAAAGAGTGTTCGGTGTTTCAAACTCTGATGCTCTTTTACCGTACATGTTAGATGTACTCTGCTTTGATGAGCATTCTTTTTTTCTATCACTTATTTTAGACGAACCTTCCAATACTCACTCCAAAAACAAACTATTACATTTGAAGTGTAGCAAATCTTTATACTTTATTCTATAATGCTCTCGGCTTAAACAAATAAATCATTTATCTTTAATTAATACGCATTTGACGAATTGCTGGTTTTTTTGTGCGACAAACAATCAAAATCTGTCTATTGTTATAAAATGACCTGTTGAAAATAATTTTTCTTCATTAAGAAACTGTATACTCATACAAAAACGGTTGTTTTTTTGGAATGGATAGAGTGCTGTCTATCCATCTCCTCTCTATCTGGTAACCTGCGGGTTTTGATTTGAACATGTCCCTAAGAAAAAAAAAGAGGGTGGTGCATAAGAAAACCGTTAAATCAAGTAAAAGTTTCTCAAGTAGAACTCTGCAAAACACTTCATACAAGTATGGATACCAGTATGATTGTGACCCAGTAATAAAATATGATACCGGAATCATCAAGAATTAAGTACAGCACTTGTAAGAAGCCTATTGATACACTATTCCTTATCGTCTTATTACTTCCTAACACAATATATAGTCTCGACCTGATTGAATCACTCAACAACCCTCTTAACGCCAAGACGCTTGAAAGGATAGTAGCTGTGCACACAAGCACAAACATCATAAATCGACTGTTTCTTTCTGTCAGCGATATTATTGAAATGAGTTGGCTGGAGAGGGAGTTTTATTCAACACATAAAGCGAAATGGGACAGAGTTCTTTTTAAGGTCGATGATCATAAGATCTCTCTTGGTTACGTAGAGTTTTCTGGTAGTGCAAACGACAACACTACTATAACAAAAGAGCGATGTGATTTAAAAAAAAATGGCACAGTAAGATGGTCGATATCATAAATCAATACTCTTCAAAAATAAAGAAAATTCTGTGTACTATTTTACAGTAAGGCCTTCCTTTTAAAATCAATATTTTCATAAATAATCCTCTTGAGTCAAAAGGCCATTCTGATCAAATTTTACAAATCAATTCCAAGGATAATAAATATAGTTTGCAGGTATTTGAAGTATTCATGCGTGCTTAAATAGGCTTTGCATCACCTTCATTTGTCTAAGAAAAGGACTAGAGGTTGACAAGCAAATTTTGGTCATTAGAATGATGTGCGAGCCTTCAAACAACCACTTGTAGATTTTATTCAAGTAAACCCATGTTCATCAAAAAAGTCATAGATCAATCGAAGCTATTGTGCAAATATGCCATCCTGAACACAAATTTTTGCGAGAAGTCCATAGAACTATGCTTGTTTTTCAAATCGAAGGAAATCCACTGCAATTTCTACATTCTTTTTCTTGTGAAATTTATACATCATTGGTACATCAAACTATGCAAGTCAATACATGTGTACTGAACATTGTGTTCTATACCTTTAGTTCTGCCACCACCTCAAATGTCACACCCCATTCTTTTGCTTTTTTCTCTATGTGCTATAGTTTACATAAGCATAATATTACATAATTAAAGAGCCTTACATCTCTTGTAGAAGTCTTATGCAGTGAATAAACTGCTGTACCTGCAACCTAAAAAAAAAAAGCAATCACTCAACTATCTGAACGTGTTTCTTTTTTTCTCTTTACCTCAACCGCTTTCTTTAACAAAACCATATCAATACCCTTATTGCTCTTGGTACCAAAAGGGGGATTCATGATGATTGTGTCTAATTTGCCTCTAAACTCATCTAACTTTGCTTCACTTAAATCTGTATTTATGAAATCCATTTCTACTTCAAATGCCTCGCAATTCTCTTGAGATATCTGAATGGCATCTGAATCAATATCAAAACCAATGCTATATCTATAATGACCTATTAGACAAACAAAACAGCATTTTATTATCTAACCCTGCTCCCAAAATATTGGCTGCGATGCTCAGAATGCCACAACCACAACCAAAATCACCCACTGCTTTATTCTCAACATCATCATAGACTGTATCAGCAGTATAGAGCATTCTGGCAGCCAAGTGAGGGGTTGTTGGGTATTGTTCAAATTGAATTTTAGGTTGTTCTAGCATTGTTAGGCATATACAGTATACGGCTAATAAGTTACCAAACACTTTGCAGTCTTGCAGAATGCTTTCTAATTCTTTCAACTTCATCGTAAACTTGATCAGGATCCAAAAAAAAAGAATTTTTTTATTAAAGGATCAACCCTTTTTGTGACGTAGAAATACGTTTAAGCAAAGTTGCACGAAGGTAGGGAGATTTCATCCGAAAAGCAAGTGGCATAATGAATTCTTCCGGTATGCAAACCGAGATAGCAATCATCTTCCTTGAAATACAATGTATCTCTATTTTTGATGTACAATGTCTTGTAGAAGAAGAGTATTGGGCTCAATTTATCACATGGATCAATGTCAATTTTCTTACTAGAAAAGAGGTGTATTTTTGTTTGCTATGCACCTTGTTTCTTCTCTGAAATGCAACTAGATTACCGAAATAACAATGCAACTGGTTTGTTTGTACCAGAAAGCAATGACGTTTTTGAAATCCATCATACAATTCAATGACCGCATCTCTCCACAAAAGCAGCAAACTGGGGTCGTTTTTTCTATTTTCTTTTTCTTTTTTCATTGTTTTTTTTATTCCATGCTGTCTATTGCTAAAGAAAACACAGTTTTGTTTAATGATGAGTATCTCCAGTATAAAGATACTATAACAAATATTCAAACTCGGTTACAAAAAGACATTGAGCTTCTTGACTATGACCTGGCTGATCGGCAAGACGCTCTTGAGTATGCCAACGATAGAGGTAAACAGAAAAAAAAAAGAAAGGAGACAGGCACCAGAAAATATACTTACAGTTGTCTAGTTAGCATTTTCAGAATTCTTAAAGACGCTGAATTCTCTGAAGAAAAGACAATGGAAAGATTATTGGACACAATTCAATGGCGGAAAGATGAAAAAATTGCACGTATCACTTATGATTCAGTGACACCCGAGTTTTTTGAAAATGGATTTGCATTCTTTCACAAACAAGATTTGATCGGGCGACCTGTTGCTGTGATTCAGATGCGCCATTTTCCTAAATTTCGAGACAAGACAAAGACAATATCAGATGTTATGCTACCATTTGCTTGCCTTGTCATGGAAATTGCTCGGCAAATCACTCGAGATTTGACTCGAGAAAACGAAAAAAGCAACAGTCGACTTGTGCTTGTGTCCCAAATATCCATTGTGATTGATATTGCCAAAGCTCCCTTTGTGCCTATCGATTCTAGTTTGATGCATTCACTTAAGGACATTGTTAATTCGAGATATCCCGGATTTGTCGGATCTGTCTATATCATGAATTTTGGATGGATGTATCAGGGTATTTGGCAAGTAGCTAAACTTGTATTGAGTGAACAAGCAAAGTCTCGAGTTAGTTTTATATCAGCTGAAGAAATCAAACAAATTATTGCAGTAGACGATTTACCAAGAGGTAAAGAACTACATAGAGTAACATAGTGTATTCATTTTCTTAGCACTGGGTGGAAATAATGATTTTGAATGGACTCTAGAGACAGATTTAATACTCGATATGTATGCTACAGATAAACGCTTTGAAGATATTCTACCCCCTACACGCCCATCCCGAAGTTCTTCTGTATCTTCAACAACAAGCAGTATATTTTATGATGCGCCAGATTTTCTTTTATCACCATCCCCATTTACACCACCACATGCATCACAATACGAAATTATTCAATCTACATATACATCTACTCATCCTAGTCTGTATGGCACACCAGGCACAATGACACCTATTAATGCTTATTGGACCAATCGACAAGTTGCATTGAGATCTCCTTCACCAGAACCAAGATATTTTCTGAATGGACTCCACCTGGGGGAATCCTTCCTCACATCTTTCTTTAGACTTGGACGCACTTCTCCTAGTGTAGATAGTCAAGCATTAACAAGTCGTCTTAATGAGCTGGTTGTGTTGGAACAAGACTTACTAAAAGACCAACATGCCCAATTGCATCAAATTCATTTCCCTCATATGTTACCCGATAATCATCCTCAAAGTATCTATTTGGTCTCGCCTGTCAAACATCAACTCGCTAGAGTAGAACAAAAACTAGTGCGAATCACACGAAGATTGTTCAGAATGTCATTTGCATACAAAGGAGCGGTCTACTGGATTCTTTTGTACATATTCCTCAGAGGGCCAGTAGAACACTCTCTTAAAAAATCACTCACAAAACTATTTCATGGACTCACACAAGAACAAATCACATATACAACAATAGGCACAACAGCCACCATAGCAGCTACTTTGAGCTCTACGTTTTCTAATTCACTTTATCAAAACAATTACAATAATAAACGTCGCTCGCATTAATAGTAATCGTCTTCTGATGAAACATTGCTTTCTTCTTCATCGTCGTTTAGATTGTCTACGAGTTCTTCGTCCTCACTTTCAGTCAATAAAGCTGTCAATTTCTCTGCGTTTAGTGGTTTTTCTACTAGTACATAGGGTGTAATGCGATAAGTAAATGCAAGATCATGCAGTGTGATGGAGGACTGTTCTTGTTCTGATGTGTCCATAACTGTATCTTCTTCTTGAGCTTGTTTAACGCCAATGCATCTATTCATTCTTCTTTTACATATTGCACTTGTAATGGATGATTTTATATAGTTCTAAAGAGAGTGTTGAGTATTGGACCTGCTGATTAAATCTACTTACTTCTGCTGCAAATAGCATGATATTCACCACATCTTCACCTATACCGCCTAATAATCCATTCTCAAGTGCTATACTAGTCATTCTAGCATGCAATGTCTCTGGTGAAGGCAATTCCTTTAAATCAATGCATAAAGGAGCCATTAGACCTTTTGAGTATTCTTGATTATAGTCTAAAACTATTAGACCATCATATATAACACATCCATGTACTCTTACTTGGAGGCAATTGACTCAATGCAACTGGTAAAGTAGGTGGCCGACTGACGCGTGGGCCCAGTAACCGATCTACATACGGTCTCAGTTTGTTCTTTTCACCTGCCTAATGATTTTGAGTCATATGCATTATGTACAAGTTGTTGTTTACCTTCACAAGCGCCTTTAGTCGTTCTCGATCTGATTTACTAAGTGACATGACATCAGATTTGAGTTTTCGTTTTCTAGGATCTTGTTCAGATTCGTCCACAGTTAGCCCATCCTTGCCTCTTTTTCTCTTTGCCCAACCCACCAGGCGATGTTTAGAAGGTGGTGGTGTGTTTGCTTGTGCATTATGTACTGTACTCAAGATAAAAGCATTATGAAGATGGGCTATCATCACTTTAGTCATTCACGAGATATAGCTTTTTCTTCTTGGTACTTACCATTTTGTCTGCTCAGGTATAGATTAGCATAAAAATCAAACTCTTGTCTGTTCAGTTTGCCCATGACAAAATCTCTTAAGGCATCCCAATAGAGTGGACCATTTTCACCTAAAGCATCAGCTAATTGTTGCTTTAAGGCTAACACGTCTTGTCTTCCGTTGGCTATTGGATGATGAAAGTGTCCTTTGGTATTAGGAACAAGCGCTTTATTATTCACATTGTTTTCATCCTTGTTGAGTACAGTCATGATGGCTAAAAGACTTGTCTATGTTTTGTGTGTGTGTGTGTGTTGAATGGTAAGTCATTTTCTAGGTGCACACCCGATCAAAGACAATGGCTGAACTTTAATGTATGCGGATCAAGGCATAGACTCAATACCAGTGTTTTATTATTATTATTATATACACATCTATGTTGAATGGTTTTGTAATCGTTTAAGCACTGTCTCTTTACCAAGTACTTCAATTGTTTCGGCTACACCTGCTCCTACTCTAGATCCTGTCACTGCATAACGTATAGCCATCATAACATGGTTAGGATTCAAGTGTTTTGTTTCTGCTAAAGAATAGAGCCAAGACTTAATATTAGCAGCATCAAAAGGCTCAATGGAACTCATTTGATCTCTAAATTCAGGAGTAGAAATCAAGGCTAACAACAGTTAATAAAAAAAAAAAAAAAAAAGAGCTTTCTCTTACCAACAGCAGGTTGCTTCAACTTCTTTTTCAATGCTATAGCATCTGTTGATGTATAGTCAGGTTGAGTAAAATAGTAACTGCAAAGTTGAGGAATATCACTGATATTTCGAATACGTTCTTTGATTGTGTTTATCACTTGAGCTAAATAGGGAGATTCAAGTCGATACGCATCCTGAGTATCTTTGAGATCACCATAGTGTTGAATCACAAATGGCTTCAAGATATCTACAAGTGAATTAAGTCCCTCTGTTGTCTCAGCACGCTTCAAGATATGATGTTTGTTGATCCAGTCTAGTTTTTGATGATCTACTACTGCACCTGAATGGTTGATGTCTTTGATGTCAAACTAGCCAATGCATTAAGGCACAGTAGGTGAATAAAGCGACTTACTTGATCTATGAGTTCCTGCATACTAAACAATGCTTCACTGTGATGATTAGGATGCCATCCCAGCAAGGCAACAAAGTTATTAATGGACTCAGGCAAGTAACCTTTAGCAATGTATTGTTCTACATGAACATCGCCTGAGCGCTTGGAGAGTTTGGACCCATCAGGATTAAGTAATAATGGCAAATGAGCAAATTGAGGTGGTTGCCAATCCAATGCTTTATAAAGCAACAAATGCTTGGGTGTGGATGATAGCCATTCTTCTCCTCTCAAGACATGCGTAATCTCCATGAAATGATCGTCGACTACATTAGCGAGATGATAAGTAGGATAACCATCACTCTTGATCAGGATAGTATCGTCAATGGTCTTGTTACTGAAACTGATTTTGCCATAAACTAAGTCTTTATGTTCTGTTGATCCTTCGTAAGGTGTCTAATAACCTTGTTAGTTGGATTCTATCCTTGTAGCTGTCAATACTTGCTCTTAACCGAATCGTAAATGGTGTGTTTTTATCCAAGTGATCTTTGATTTCTTCTTCAGACAAGAAAGAACAGTGCTTGTCATATGCAATGTAGTTGCCTTGCTTCTGTCTTTGTTCTCTTACTCGGTTTAACCGTTCAGGGGAGCAAAAACATCGATAGGCATGTCCTTTTTCAACAAGATGGTTAGCATGTTCTCTATAGAGCTCTGTTCTTTTGGACTATGGGCAAGTAAATAAATGCAGTGTTCTGTTGATGCTTACTTGGTAGTAAGGTATGTGTGGTCCTTCAATGTCAGGTCCTTCGTCATGAGGAACACCAGCCCAGTTCAAAGCCTTGATCAAGTTTTCAACTGCACCTTCTACATATCGAGTCTAAGAGCATGTTAGGTTATGGCCGATATTCATAACATCCTTACTTGATCCGTGTCTTCAATACGAAGAATGAACTGTCCATGTGTCTTTTTGGCAAGCAAGTAGTTAAAAAGAGCAGTTCTCAATCCACCCAAGTGCAACTGTCCTGTAGGACTAGGAGCAAAACGAACTCTAGCAGGTGCACTCAAGTATCGCTTTGAAGTTGCTGTAAACAGAAGAGACCGTCTTTGTGCTAGAAGGCGTACGTTAAACAAAACCATTAGCAATAAGCAAGAAAGTGCACAAAACCCTGGATTCTGCTTTTTAAAATTATAATTATTTTTTTTATTTTTGATTTTTATTATCATATGAGAACAGAACACTATCAACTATAAGCACATCTTTATTTTAAAGAAGGCAAATAATATGTCCTTGCGTGTGGAATGATCTACACAATGCCATATCTGATTTGGTTATATCTAATCAATAGATATTTCCTCTGTATCTTTTTTTAAGAAGAACGAATAGGTTGATTTACAATGCCTTAAATCAGTGCCAGTAGGTAACTTTTTTGCCTTCTTTCTTATCGGGAATATTGTTCTGCAAAGGAGTCCTTGAGTACATGTACTTTGTGTGCGCGTAATCTATCTTTGCCGGCATTTTGTGTTCTTACCCCCCGAGTCTGCCCCTGAAAATCCGGTTCGAGTAAAAAGCGACTTGTCAAATAACAAATCCAAAGCAGTAATAAATCCTTCTCCTTTTTGTTCATCAACACTTTCTTGCCAGATGAAGACTGTCACTTGCACCGCTCCCGTCAATATTGCTGTAAGTATTTTACTCATCGCGACCAAGTAAAAGAGAGAAGGTGATTGAAAAAAAAGTATGTATAGGTCATCAAGTATTGGGGTAAACGCGATACCGACCTCATCTTGCCTACCAACAGCTCTTTGTCTGTTACCTTATCGCAAGACATTCTTCACAGCAAGACTACTATCTCAGCATCTAAGGAATTCACTCAAGACCGTCTTTGGTTAAATGGTATTGAAGAAGATATCACCAAGAATAAGCGTATGCACAACTGTTTCCGTGAAACTCGTGCTATCCGTCAAGCTATGGAAGCCAAGGCTGAAGCTGAAGGCCAACCCGTTGAACCCTTGTCTACTTATCCTGTTCATGTTTGCTCAGAAAACAATTTCCCTACTGCTGCTGGCCTTGCTTCCTCTGCTTCTGGTTTGGCTGCTTTGGTCTACACGTTGGCTCAATTGTTTGAATTGACCATTAGTACTTCTGAAGTATCTCGTATTGCTCGCCAAGGCTCTGGATCTGCATGTCGCTCCTTGTTTGGTGGTTTTGTTGCTTGGGAAATGGGACAAAAGGAGGATGGATCTGACTCATTAGCTGTCCAAGTTGCTCCTGAATCACACTGGCCCGAGTTGGAAGCTTTGATTTGTGTTGTCTCTGATGCTAAGAAGGGTACTTCTTCTACAGCTGGTATGCAATCGACTATCAAAACTAGTACTTTGATGAACGAACGTATCAACCAAGTTGTGCCTGCTCGTATGGAAGCCATGAAAAAGGCTATTTTAGACAAGGATTTTGATAGTTTTGCTGAACTTACCATGCGTGATTCTAACCAGTTCCACGCTGTCTGTATGGATACCTATCCTCCTATCTTTTACATGAACGATACTTCTCGTGCTATTATTCAATTGATCCATGAATACAATGCTACTTCCCCTGATGGTAAGCTGAAGGCTGCTTATACCTATGACGCCGGACCAAATGCAGTCATTTATGCTCCCAAGCAAAACATGAAGGAAATCATTCAGTTGATCGGCCACTATTTCCCTTCCAACAAAGAACCCAGCGAATTCTTTGCTGATCCTTACCAAGTGGTTGATGGTCCATTGGGCCAGGACTTTGTGCCCAAGCATCATGCCAAGTTCAATGAGAATGTGATTCCTGTTCAACCTGCTGGCAGTGTCAGTCGTTTATTGCACACCAAGGTGGATGATGGACCACGCGTTTTGGATCAATCTGACTCTCTATTGAAGGAAGATGGTCTCCCCAAGAAACTTGCTTAATTATTTCTACTATTATACAATCTAATTAATAAACCCTCCCTCCTTTTTTTTCTATGTTTACGTTCGTTACTCCATTGGAAAGATAGTAAAGTAAGTCATAATAGGAAGTTTATTTATATGTTACAAATGGTTGGTGTATGACATGGAATGGCTTATGGACTTGCCTCTTTTTGAGGTTCTTTTGGTGAATGCTTTTGTTGAAATTCAGGCTTCAATTCATAGAAACCAACATAAGGACCTCTTGTTTTTAGAATGCCAATGCGATCCAGAACAGATTTTAAATAGTCGCGAGGTTGATGTGTTTCTACTATGAGTGCTTTAAGGGACCAATATGGATATCGTTCAAATGCAGAGAACAAAGTGTCCATGAGTTCATTTTCAGGCAAACGAATGCGTTTTTCTATCAGTTTTTGCTTTTTGGTCGTCTATGAAAAGAAGTCAATGCACAAATATAGACATGTGGGCTTACAATAAAGGCAGAGGTATCATTGTAATTGCTTTCTTTAGCTCCAGGTAAAAGAATAGGTTGTTGACCATGTTCGAGAACTTGAATTGTCCTTTTTGGGATAGAGGATTCTCTGTAACGCTTTTTTGTACTGCTTCTAGCTTGATTAGAAGAAGGAACTGCTACGAACTCATTATAGACTGTTCCTAAAAGAGACTTGTTTCCATTCATGTTTTCCGAGAGAATGAGCTTATTTGGTGTTTCAAGTGCTTTGGCTAAAAGTGTATATTTTTTTTCTTTCACTTGAGTCTTTTGGCCGCTTGCATCGTACTTGTTATTAACTTTGTTTGTGAATGTGTCTTTCTTGTTATCGCATACGCGTTGGTCTTTCGTGGAAGTGTCTGTATTGCTAGCAGAAGCATATTCTTCATTAGAAGAAGTGCATTTGTCGCTTGATAAATAATGGTGACTTTCTACTTCAGAACTTTGATCATATTCATCATCTTCAACTATCAATTCAGCCTAGTGAATATATATCAGTCAATAAATCTACAACAAATAGCTCCCATCTTACCTGTGGTACATTTTGTCCTGAAGTTACCTTTATGAACCTACTAGAGTGAGTGATTGTGTTATAGTCACTTGAGTACTCACTTGTTTTTATAAATGCGGATCTTTCCCAATACGATATTATCCTGTGTTACTCTTCTCCACTTTTGTGCAAGGTATTGAGGTACTTTGACAAGCCAGGCCTTTGTTTCAACACTATCTAGATTCACGTCTTCTTCATCATCAAAATCACTATCATCAGTAGGTAACTTGTCTTCAATAGAAAAGCTGCTTTGATTTGACATTTTTTCTAAGAATAGAAGAAAAAAAAAGAGAGGAAACGAAAGAGAAAAACTTTGTTTTATACTCACATTGTTGTCTATTTCTTTGTGGTGCATAAGTATTTAGATAAACAATAGATCACACGTCATTTATCACTTTTTTGCAACAGACGGCCTCCATACGATAAAACACGATGGGTGTCATTACCGTTAACAAAAATCAGTTTCTGCGAGACGTTACACAACGCCATCTTACCAACACTTGTCTATTCACTGCTAGAGTTATCTTGACACTGCTTGCACCATATCTAGACATAGTTAATTTTTATTCATTGATGATTTACAAGTTGATATTTTCAATATATTTGGGAGTAGTAGAAGCGCTCAAAAATATGTGCTTTTGATGAAAGCATTTTTTTTTCAAAAGAATGATTGAACACGTTACAGATCATCGACTCTATTATCTATGCAGGCTTTAATTTTTTTTAATGTCTTTTCAGTCACATCTACTGTATTGCATATTCATCATTTGACAGCACAGAAGAGAATATATGCAAGTAATAGGTGCATAATACATCATCTACAGAAACACTAAAGCGCCTAAATTTCTGCTTTGTGCGTTTACAAAAAAAGAAAAGAATAATACGTAGAGATAATGATATGTTATTTTAGCTTCAAAATGTCTATGGTGCACATATGTCATGGTGTATTAAAAACAAAGACTAATACAGATATCCGCTAGCGTTTCCGAGTATCTTGATGTACGAATACGCAACACATTTTTTTTTTTACCAATGCATATTCGAATTCTATAGAAGAAACATGATCTCATATTCAATCATACAAACAGGGCTTCTTATAAGGTTATACTCAAGCTATAGTTTGTTCCACTCTATGAGTTTATTCATTGTTAGATTGTTTACTAATGTCCAAAGATTTTCCATGTTTACAATGTTAAAAAAAAAGAGAAGCTTATACAAAAGTAATCAGGAACAAAACAGAACTAGTGAAATTTACTAGAATGACATTAATATGCAAAGAGGGTGGTGATCTTCTTATTGTTCTTAAAACAAGCATACCACTCAAAAATCGAAACTATATAAATAAAGAGAGAAATGCCGATTTTCTTACAGTAGTATCATGAAAATTCTCTCTACTGGTATTGTATTAATGACCGCTCTGGCTCTCTTGTCTAGCAAGACGGAAGCCTCCTTCTTGGACGGACCAATTGTTGCCACTTATTGGGGTCAGGTAAGTAGTCTTTATTTATGTAGTTCACTCATGCTACATAGAACTCCAAGAACGGCAGGGACACTCAAAAGCGTCTATCGTATTATTGCAATAGTGATTCTGATGTTATTCTTGTTTCTTTCCTTCCTGAATATCATGATGGAAGTCTACCCGTCTTAAATCTGGCTGATGCATGTGATGGTCCTGTCTTTCCTGGCACAAATCTCTTGCACTGTCCTAAAGTTGGCAAAGGTAAAAATGAATAATTTTGTTGGTATTTCATTCACTGATCGCTTGCGGTATAGATATCAAGACATGTCAAAAAAAAGGAAAGACCATTTTGCTATCTTTAGGTGGTGCTGACGGATCTTATGGGTTCAGTAACAATGCAAATGCTGAGGCATTTGCTGATACCCTTTGGAACTTGTTTGGTGGTGGCTCAAGCAAGACTCGTCCCTTCGATGATGCCGTTCTGGACGGCTTTGATCTTGACATTGAAGGAGGTGGTTCTACTGGTTATGCTGTAAGTCGTTTTTTTTTATGTAAATATAGAGCTCATTCTGTTAGGCCATGGTAAGACGTCTTCGTTCTCATTTTGATAAAGACAGCTCCAAACAATATTATATCACGGCTGCTCCGCAATGTCCTTATCCAGATGCCATGCTGGGCAAAGTCATTAATGCTGTTGGCATGGACGCTGTCTTTGTTCAGTTCTATAACAACTATTGTTCTGCTACAAGCAACAGCTTCAATTTTGCTACTTGGGACAAATGGGCAAAGAACACGTCTCCAAACAAGAATGTCAAAGTATTTCTTGGATTGCCTGGATCAAAGCAAGCAGCTGGCAGCGGCTATGTTCCTTACAAGGCGCTTGAACCTATCGTGAAGCAAGTGCATAGCAAATACTCTAGTTTTGGTGGTGTCATGATTTGGGGTATGTGTCTAACACACACGTTTGTTCTGTCATTTATTTTGCCTAGATGCTTCTGAGGTTTATGCTAACAAAGAAGTCTCTCCTCATTATGAAGGTGCTATTGCCAAGTTGGTTCATGGTCTCAAAGGTACTCATTCTCCAACTCCAACAACAACAAGTCGTCCTAGCAAGCCTACTGACAAGCCGAGTACATGTCCTGTTCAAGGCGCACATTGTTCCAATAATGGTCAATATACATGTGCAGGTGATGCTTATGCTGTTTGTAACATTGATAAGTGGGTTGTTAGTCCTTGTCCTGGAGAAACAACATGTTTCTCTACTACAAATGGTAATTCAGTCTATTGTGGAACTGGTTCAAATGAAGACACATGTGAATTAGCCAACAATGGCCTTATTGAAAGTTATCAACCTGAATTGTTACCTACGGTGGACGCCTATGAATCAGACCATTTCACAACTCAATTCTCTGTTGAGCATGTCATGAATCATGAGTTCTCTGCTACCATCAACATTCGTCGCTTGGACAACCGTCAATTCGACAAAGATACTATGGAAATCGAGTTTCAAGTGGTAGATGGCATTGAAATAGTCTCTGTAGATCAAGGCACTGTAACACAACTAGGAAATCAAGTCAAGATACAATTTCCTAATACAGACATGATGTCCAAAGTGATGACTATCAAGGGAAGAGTTCATTCTGAAGTATTCGTTGCTCCTATGATGGGCAGCTTCATTTTTATCTAATAAACCTTTCTTTGCAAGAACAAGCTATGCTCTGCAATGAATACATGTAATTTCTTGGTGAATTCAGCTGTCCTTCTTTTCCTCATCATTGCTTTTAAGCTTGCCATCATTTTCTTATGAACGCATATTGTTCAAAGCAGAACTTCCAAGCTTGACATACTTCCTCATCTTTCCAGCCCAGGTAAGAGTGACATGGAACAGGCACCATTGGGCTTCTGTATGGGAGTAAATGGTATGAATTGAGTTTGATTCGGTATTACTGAAATCAATTGTTGAAGGCCTACAATGTTTTTGATAAAAGATAAAAAAAAAAATGTTTCAATGGAAGCATTGAGTGATTCATGGTAAAGAAATAGGCAACAGGACAGCCAATGCCTGTAATTTTATTACGAACAACAATGACATATAAATTGAGTGTTTCTTTAAAATTAAATGTTTAAGGTATACTTCAAGTTTCAACACACTCTTGACAAATGTACTTCTGTTAACTATTTTAGAAATTCATCAAGTAAAAGTCACAAACTTGGTAGACGTCACTCAAAGTGAGTGATATGAGGACGTACGATTTGCATACAAAATTTGCCCAATAAGAACAAGCAAATACGTATTTGTTTAAAAATAAACAAGGTGGAAAGGGAATTTTAGAGCAAAAAAAAAAAAAACTCCCATATAAAAAAGAAATCCCCCCCCCATATTCCTCTATCCTGGAAAAATAAGTTGAAAAGAAATATATATATATATATATATATTCTTTTGTATATAGTATATATTTCACTATCAACAACTACTACACTCTTTCCTTTACAAGTCCTTTTTTTATCCTTGTCTCTTTTTTTTTTTCCTCTTTTCTCATCTCCAAAAAAAACCCTCATCTGACTACGCAGCCCCAAAACTATATACGCTGTGAGAGAAAAAAAATTTTTTTATTATTATTATTTACATATAAATTTTTTTCGTGTCTATGCCTGTCCAGATGGTCTCTCGATTCCGAGTAAAGAAGCTTTCACCCAAGCACCCTCTTCCTATCTACAAAGAGTCTCAACTACCAGACCTTGTAGACCCTACAAACCAAATTCAACGCTCTGTGCCGCAAATAGAGACCGGTGTAGAAAAGGAGGAGGAAGAAGAGGTATGCTGAATTTATAATACAAATTATACAGTGTGCGCAAAATGTATTAAATGATTGGGTTAGCATGACTTGCAAGCGGCTATTTCTGCACATCAAGCGGCTGTTACAACAGGCGCCAAAGTAGAAAGCTACATTCCTATTCCTGACGCCTCCAACACAATTGACCTAAAAGAATACGAGTCTTTGTATAAGAAAAAATATAAAGAGCCTTCAACCTTGATTCGCTTTTCTTCTACTGTAGAAGACACAATTGGCTGTCCATATTTTATGGATGAAATTGATGAATCTTTTCTAAATAAATATAATGCAGACCATCCAACTCTATCAGAAGATGATTTTGAAAAAATAATGTATGAATTTGAATCTACCACAAAAGAGAAACTATCACACATTCATTTAGTAAGTTAGTCAGAAACGATATTGTATGTATATTAACTTTCTATAGGATCCTGCTCATATCCCTGAATTCCATGAATTTATGGAACTAGTACCAGAATCTTCTTTTCTACATGGTAGAGCTTCTATCATGATAGAACCCATCTTTGCTCATTGGAAGAAGCGTAAACAAGAACGTCATGGCCATAGCATCATCCCAGAACTCAAGTACGAAGAACTAGTCAAGAACGAAATGGATCCTTATGTCTGTTTCCGTCGCCGTGAAACAAAGCCTGTTAGAAAGACAAGACGTACAGATCAACAATCGTTGGAGCGTCTTCGCAAGTTGCGCTCTGAAATGGAAATGGCCCGTAACTTGTTAGAGATGGTACTACGCAGAGAAAAGATTCGCAAGGAAGGCATGGTACTTGATCACACTGTGTTTGACAAGAAGTGTAAACTGCGTGAATACCAAAGAATCCTGGGTATCAAAGAAGACGAGGACTTGTTATTGCCTTCTAAAAAGAAGAGAAAGACATCCATTGGATCAGGGTAAGTTTCCCTTTTTTTTTTTTTTTTTTTTTTTTGCTTAGAAAATTTTTTTGTAGTGCTACCATCAAAATTCGCCTTAAGAAAGATGATGGTCGTATTGAAAAGTCTCCTGGTCAGTTGGCTATTGAAGCAGAACTAGCACGCAAGAAACAACTCGATGCACCTTATGAAGATCTGACGGATGTAAGTTGTTGATTGATGCTTGCTTGTTTTGCTAACTTAAGTTTTAGTGTTCATACCAACCTTTTCCTGCTCCTTTATCATCACAATTCTTTCAGACCTTTTCGAATGGTATTCGATACAGAAAACGTGTGGGTCGTGGTGGACGTATCTTCATTGATCGTACAGGTTATCGCAAGCCATCCATGACAGGAGGCAAAACAAAGCCTGGAGAAACCAGTACCATGAATCTATATCGATTCGACAATGACCCAAGTGATGAAGAATCCGATATTGCAATAGATGAAATGCAAGACAGGTAAGAAAGAAAGAAAGAAAGAAAAGAAAAGAAAAAAGAAAGTGGGAAAAAGATTAAGGAGAATTCACCCGGTTTACTAGTTATTTAAGGCACAGGACTCAACTTCTATCCGAGATGGAACTCCGAAGCCTTGTTACCATTCCTTTCTTGACGCCTATGAATATGATCAATATTCAGGCTGCAAGAAATCAAGCTGCTGCTGCCACTGCTGCTAATGTGAATGCTACTTCTAACACATCTTCTGCTTCTGCTGTCACTGCTTCTTCTCAACGGTTATCGATTGCCACAGGTGGTGTTAATTTGACAGACACAAATCGACCTGCTTCCCCTAATACAACAGGACATCCATTAAAAAGGCAAGCCAGCCGATCTCGTATGACACCTCAACAAGCCGCTGTTGCTATGGCTAATGGTATGATTGCTGCTAATATGGCCGCTGCAGTCAATGGCTCGTCCAATCAAAATCGAACTGCAGTTCAAATGGCTCTTGCTGCTGCTCAACAACAACAACAACAACAACAACAACAGCAACAACAACAACAACAACAACAACAAAGAAATCTAAATGGTATCATGTAAACAGTGAAAACACCAAAAAAAAAAAAGGATTCCCCCAGTCCACTCGCTCTCTCTCTTTTTATTATTGTACAGATTCTCCATACATAAATACATATATACATATATTATTTCTCCCCTCTCTCTCTCCACACACACACACACACTTTATTCTTACTTAATACTAATAATAATACTTTTGCTTTTCACTACTCTTTATTGTTATTATGTTTTTAATCTTCATCTTCGTCTCCTTCTTCTGAAGAGCCTTGTGCATCAGAATCATATTCTTCAGGAACATCACTGTCACTACCAGGAGCGAAATCCTCATCAGCTATCATGAAAAAAATAAGTACAATGAACATAAACTATAAATACATACGACTTTCATCATCATCATCGTCTCCTCCACCAGTCATGGCACCACCTTCTGTTCTACGTCTCTTTCTAGCATCATATTCATCATCTTCATCGTCTTCATCGTCCAATTCAGCTAAATCAGTGTAGGTCATCATAGCGTCTTCATTGCCTTCACTCTTGATCTTGATCTTCTTTTGCTTCAAGTAATCTTCAATATTAGCATATTCTTCTCTGTTAATACTAGAGAATTGAATATCATTGCCACTCTTCATGTTGATCTTCATATCAAATGTACGAGAACTGCCTCCTGATTGACCACCTACACGGCTAAAGGTAACAACACTGATTTCATTCAAAGGAATAAAAGTGGGAGGTTTAGGAATAAACAACAGACTCTTTTCCAATGGATATAAAAAGCCTTCATTGGCTTTCATAGAACACTTGAGTGCACTAGCACCGTGGTGACTCTTGTAAGAACCAGGAACAGTGACCTTTCTGCCTGTCAAGGCTCTAAAGACATTGCTGACAACTTCATAAGTAGGTGCATCGTAATGTTTCTGAAGCTTGTTTTCGTATTTTTCGTCTAATGCTTCTTCTTCCAAATTCAATTCAATATCGATTTCTTCTTCACGTACAAATTGGAAGACTAAAAACGGATACTTTGTTTGACCTTGTCTAAGTGGAGGATCTAAACCAATCTAGCAGAATGTGTTATGTAGCTGAACAAAGAACATAGCTGCAACTTACCACAAACAAAACATGGACTTCATCAGGCTTCAATAACAAAAAGAGTTTGATGATGTTGGAATAAAGAATCTTGTAGTCATATGTTTTACCACGAAGACGAAGAAAGTCTTGATACATATCGATATTGTAACGACCACGGGGTGTAAGACACAACACTTCTTGGAATTGAACAATATTTTCTGTTGTCATCTGGCTTAATTCTAACTTGGATTTCACAGTTTCATAGAACACCATGTCTGCATTCACTTCTTCTTCTTCCTCATTGTTTTCAGTATCGTCTGTCACTTCCTTTGCCACTGTGCCAGGAACATAAAATGAGACATCCATCAGTTCGTCCATGTCTTTAGGGTTAATGCCATCAGGTGCAGGCTGTCCAGGATCGACAAAATTGATGGCAACTTCATTTTTACCGGGTTTGTTGGTAGCAATGGCTTGTTCAAGAGGTAATTCAAACATGGTTTTATTACCCACACTGAAATTAAGCGTAGATCCTTATTATCTTAGTTTATGTTGCTCTTCAACTTTCTCTTTTTCTTACCTTGAAATTCAGTTTTACCCCAATTCCAACCCTTGACACTCACTTCTTTGACTTCAATAGGCAGCTTGTAAAACAACTTGACAGCATCTTTTAATTCTTCCAAATCCTAACCGAGTATCAATACACCCTGTCTTTTTTTTTTTTTTTTTGGTATGTACATACATCAGGTTTGAAACCATCAAATCGTAAAACAGTATTATCTTTTTGAGAAACTCGAAGTTCAAAACCTCTTGCAGCTCTTATCCACGTCATTTTCTTTAAATTGTCCGTAGCGACAATAATAGTACGATCTCTGCCACCTTTCCAACCAAGACCGTTTTGTGAGAGACGAAAACGACCTACATCAGGCTGAAGACCACAATAGATGGAATTAAAGTCGACGTTCTTTTTATCAGACATGTACTGTAGTGTGTGTATGTGTGTGTATGTTTGTTCTTGGATAAAAAAGAAAGGTATTGAAAAATATTTTTGAATTTGGGTTTTATTATTTAGGCAAAGACGCGTCTCGTTTAAACTCAGTCATACGTGTTTTGCACTCGAATAAACTGGTATATAGGTCTATTCTAAACCAAAGTAGGCTTCTTTTTTTTGTACAAGTGCCATCATATATGATTGTTTTTATGGCTCTAGAGCTTATCATAAAATACTATGCTTTGTACTTGAGAAAGCTGATTCTACATGACTGAGATGTCTATTTGATTTGGTAATAGCCTTAGTAGACTAAACTGTGGGCCAATTCAAAGGAGGGGTGGGGGATCAGTAAGGTTTTCTTTTTTTTTTTCTTCATACATATCAATGAGTGTTTGCTTGAACAAGACATCTTTAAAGGATTAGGTTGATGAGCATGAAAAAGAAAAGCGTCACAAGAGGCTTATACTTTCCAATATGAACATGAAAAAAAGCAGCAAGTATATTTTTTTTCTCACTTTCTATCTATCGTATCATGTCTCACCAAGAGTAAGTAAAACTGGGACTTATTGTTAAAGAAAAAGAAAAACTGATTTGGCTCTGTAGTGTCACTGTAAGCCTAAGGCTAAAAACATATAGATCCTAAACCTCTTCTTGATAGATGGAAGAGAATGTTATGATTCTCGAACAAAGCGACAGTACAAAACCTTTGGAAAACAAAGCCAAGCAAACCACACCTTATATGACAAGATATGAAAGAGCCAGAATTCTCGGTACTCGCGCTCTTCAAATTAGGTAATATATATGCAAATAGGCCTTTTTAGACTGACAGTTGTAGTTTAAATGCACCCGTCATGGTTGAATTAGATGGCGAATCAGACGCACTTGTTATTGCTATGAAGGAATTGAGAGAAAAGAAGATCCCTCTTGTTGTCAGACGCTTCCTTCCCGATCAAACCTTTGAAGATTGGGATGTCAAGGACTTGATTGTAGATTAAACTTATTTGTAATTCATATTCATATACATATTCCATCTCTTTTTGCATACAATAAAATAAAGTAGTTTTTTTTTTTTTTTAATACAAATTACTTATTTCAAATTCACTAGAATAACCTTGATGAGGTATCAGTTTCTTGCTAAAGGGTGGTCTATTATTCCCTCTGTATCCCAAGCGATAAATGCCTGGTTCTACATTGTTAGGGACATGCCATTCTATAGTAGCCTCAGACATGCCTAATACTTGACTCTTGTATCTCCAGATAAACCTGGTGTCATAGTCATCGTCTGTTCTTATCACTTTCCATGTATTGCCCACTTTTTTTTCCACAGTAAGGAATGTTTGACCCAGCATAGGATCATTACGAGGGTTACTTGCGACAAATATGGCAGAGACAACAAAAGGAGAAGGCATCAAATGGACACTATAGTAAGTGGATGATACGTCTTTCAGAATATCACCAAAAGATCTAAACAAATGAGGCTGATCAGATCGATACATAGGAGATAGATTGAATCCTCTTTCAGTATAGTCTGGTAAATCTTCGGATACAAAACTGTGATTATTTGGATTGGCCATCATAAACACAAGCTCATTAAATGCTTTCATATAGGCTTGTAATGTATGAGGACCATAGGGCGTCTTGAATAGAAATAAGATGAGTGTATCTATTTTTGTTTACTTACTGAAGCACCTTCATATCGTTGATGTTGATACTCTTCATAAGTGGTACAATAAGACTAGACAGATAAATATACATATGTTTCGGTGGTGTTAATACTTACTGCATAGCCATTTGCTGGGCCAGAGTGAATCACCACTGTATCTTGATTACCTAATTTATGCTTGATTAAAGCTTTCTTAATGGAGTTCTTTAATCTTCTCCCACTCATCGTTGTAAATTCTGCAGGAACTGCATAAATAAATGCATTGCCTATCCTAAAAAGTTGAATATCTAGAATCTCTGGCTGCCATGGGTGAAGTATTTCTATTTCTCCTGTATCAAGTAAAATAGGCTTTGGTGCTTGGCATTCTTTTTGTTTTCTTGTAGGTTTCTTGATCATGTTTTTAATCAGATTCCAACCAAATGTGCCTTGCGTTGTATTTTGGTAAAATCCACCTAACGCAGGGCCATCTGTTGTACCAGCAGCTATTTATAACCATTAGATTTCATTATCTCCCTTTTTTTTAAAAAAAAAAAAATTACCAAAAGCATAACCCTAAAAAAAAAGAGAGAGATGATGAGTATTTATGTTGATAACTTTCTATTTACCATAGCAGGAGAACAAGGTCGAGTGTATTTCCCATGTTGATCAATGATAATTGTTTTTGTAATGTCCCAATACCTTTGAACAAATCCTACTTTTCCTTCAAGAGGTGTTGATGATCTGGCATGATGTAACTCAAGTGCTCTGTGTGCTTGATTTTGACCTATAATGCGGTTTGATTCAAGATCACTTGTTTTCCATCCAGGACCTCTAAATGAGGACAAATCATCAGTCTATGTTTATGTTTGGGGGGAGGACATTGTGTTACCTGCCAACGCAACTACTTCCATTGGGACATTTCAAGTCGCGAGTTCCATCACAGGGTATATCAGTTCCTGTACAATAAGCGCCTAATGTATTGGGGCTCACATCACCTTCATTGCTTTGAGCAAAAGCAGCAACGAATTTGCCTTGACCACTCAATACATCTTGACCATTCATCATTTTCTCTGCAAGATAAGCAGCATAACCTTTGTTATCACCATTGATTAATTTGTTGGTATTGTTGACCGATACGCCATGCACAGCAAACCTATGGTTGATATAAGCTCTATAGACGTATATTTGATGATATTTACCAACTAATGAGCCCTATATCATCACCTGCTTTATTGTTGAAACTTAAAGTTGTCATGGTTTTGTCCACATCATATTTATATTGTGACCGCTCTTCTTTTGGATTCATCAAGTAAGACTGAGGCGATCTGTTGATATTTGTGTCTAATAGTTCTCCTTGAGAAAGTGTGATTGATCCTTCTTCAAGATGATCATGTGCTTTCATGATAGACTGTATAATGCCATCTACCATCGGTCTAACTGTTTCTTCTATCCATCCTAAAGAGGCAAATTCATAAAGAGCTAGAAGCAGTGAATCACTTGTTTTTTTTTCTGTGAGACACACTTACTGTATTGCAAGTAACCACCCATGCCACTATGCGAATGTGTACTGGAGAGCATGACGTTTTTTTCGGTATATAGCTTAGATCCTAATTGTCGCTGTAGTTCTTGTACGACTCTCTTTTTGACAATGTCTCCCATTGACTGTGTATCTGTGTTCACAAAAACAATTCGGTTTTTGTCTTTGTCTTCTATAATAAATGCTCTTGACCATAAGCGTTGGAGAATGCCTTGTCCCGTCTGCCCGAGAACAGCATAGCCCATCAGCATGACTTGTGTAACAGGCCCAGTGATATCTGAAATACCAGTGCCTATACGGTAAGCGTCAATGGCTGAACATAACAACAATGCTAATGCCAAATAACAGATGAAAGAGAAATACATAAGTTTAAATGTCAATTAAAAAAAAAGAAAGGAAATATATATATATATAAACAAGGCAGTAAGATAAAGGAGAAGTAAAAGGAAGAAAAATAAATAAATAAATAAAAGGGAATTTAATTTTACTTGTCTTTTATGGACATGCATGTATGGCTAATTTTGTCTTAGTCGGTATATCGAAGGACAATCCTTCACACCTGTCCTTTTCATACGTAATGAATTCAGTGTTGTAAATCATATCTCGTGACCAAAAATAAAGGCTTGTTATTTGTCATGTTGTAAATTGATAAAAAAGAAACTCAATGACTATCTTTGTTTATTTTCAAAGCTAATTCTATAATCCATAGACTACATTCTATTTTGAGGATGATAGTTTAAATGTTCTAGGCAATGTTTCATACAAGGGTTGTATCATTCTTGTAATGAAAAATAAACATAGTGGCGTCTATAATATCCCTTGAGGTGATATCATTCAAGGAGGCTAATTGGTCAAACACAAATCAAAAGAATGCTGGTCAAAAAGGATTGCAGTTGCTATATAAATTTTTTGTGCTTCTTTTTTCCTTTTGTGATATACATGTTAAAAACATTGATTGTCTTCTTGTTCGTTGCAGGAGTATGGTGTTATCAGCAAGATAAGGTGAAGTTTATTTACCATAAGATAAACTCACCTCAATTGGTCACAGCAGTTGTTCCAGAGACAACAACAACAATTACAAGTACCACTACAGTCTTAACAAGAACAAGAACAAATACAATTACCATTACATCAGAGGTGTGTAGGCCTAATAATTCCCCTTGTGAGTTTGAACATCCTGAATATTGCTGTAATTCTATTTGCGCAAGGTTTGATTTTGAAGCATCCCCAACCTGCCTTGGCTATTAATTACCCCCTTCCAAATCAATCAAAAGCTACATTTGAACATTTGATACCATTGGATAAAGCTGTGCTCTGGAAACAGTAAATCAACCTTTTAACCTAACTTTTTTTATGTTCAATACAATAAACGCTTTTCTTTTAAATGCTTCGTGAAACATAGGCAACATGATGGATGTTATTGAAGCTTCAAGTAAATTTGTGTAGTTTAACAATGTTTTTCTATTTTGTGCATGTGCGTCTTCAACATGAAATCTGTGTAAAATAGGCAACTGTTTCTTTATTTTCGTATTGGATTCATGATAGAGTTACTTATGCATCAAATGATATGAAAAAAAGCTGTTTGTCTAGATGAATAAATTAAGCTGTGTGGATATTATTTGCCCCTTTTAACATTTACATTCACAAAATAAAAAACAGAGGAAAGAAAACGCAAGGGAAAAAGAAAGTTTTCTAGTAAGTATAATGGCTATAAATGGATGAATGAAGAACACTTTTAGATGCTGAAAGCGATAAAGTGAATTTAAGCAAGCATCCCCCTAGATTTAAGGAGGATCAAGTATTTTTTGAGTAAGGTGTTTTTGGGTGAACAAGCAATTTGGTAGTATGTTGTTTATTTGATCAACAAAGATTCCAAGTAAACAGATGCTTTAATAGAGAAGAAGGTAACAATTCAAACGTTTCTTTGTCTTTTTCAGACAAACGAGTGTGTCTTAGAGCCTGTTTATACACACACAGATGCTATAGAAACCTACAAACGCTGTTTAGTAACATGAGGTACATTTGGAGTTGGTTTGGACTAAAAAAAAGAAAAAAGCGACATGTCCAAAATGGCCAAAATGTGCCTTTCGACCAAAGGGTACCATTCATGAAAATTGCTCATTTGACAACTCTTGTTTTACATTTGTAGTACAGAAATAACAAGAGATGGACAGAAAACCGTGTAAACATTTTTGCGCATCTTCTCAAGATTTTATAAGTAATTTTGCTGTGATGCATACATCAACAGAATCAGTAAATGAATATCTACAGCTTTTATTATTGCCACAAAGCCCAATAAGTGTGTTTTTGTGCAGTTCTCAGCAAAACCTCGATTCCGATGTGGCAGCAAGAAGAATTGGAGTTACCTTCCATTTGAATCTCCACGCACAGCCATCCTGCATCTCCCATGTCCATTTACTCCACATTTGCATTATAACATGCCCATATTTCTACTTTTCCATGTTCTTTTGACATACGGTATAACACTTTGGCTTTAGAAGAATTAATTGCAGGCATATTTTATATGACATGCAGAGCAAAAATGCTCAAGACACAGCTTAAACATGTCAATCTTTGATGGACTATTGCTCGATAACCACACTATCAAAACAACCCATTTTTCTATTTAAAACCTGTTCTTCCAAGCCCAGGGATCGAACGATACTATTGGTTTGAAAAAAACTCAATCAGAAAATTATGAAATGACCCAATGCAAGTCTGATCCAACCGAAATCAGGTAAGACTGTCTCTATGTAATTCTAAAACAAAGAAAGCGAAGTCTACTAAGACCAAAAAAAGCGATTTGATTTAGGCATTGCCTTCAAATCTGCATTCACTGTAATTGGTAGAAAAGAGACCGTTTTCAGTTGATATCGGTTATCAATTCGATACTTTCTATACATTAGCTGGTACACAAAATATACATAAACAAGCTCTGCAAACACAACAGCAAATAAGCATGTTGCAACCAGGTTATAATATCATTCTTCATTGAGGTAATTATTCTTGTTGATCTCTCACCTAAAGATGTATTATCAAACTTGGATATCTAAGAAAGGATCAGCATAGTACTCACCTCATCACTTTATGTTCTGCGCCATCTTTTTAAAATAAAACTTTGATCTATAAACAATAGCTACTTTTTTTCTGAAGCCAAAAAACGTGTGCTAAAGTATCTTGTTACAGAACTGAGAAATTATTCCCCAATCCAACACTAAAGGAGTTTATCCAGCAAAACCCTTCAGTGATCAAGGTGCCAAATTTGATACTTAAGCGATTGATAGGTCCATGGGTACAGCACTTTTCTACTATATTGAAGAGGTGCAGACCAGGAGTGAACATTGATACCGCCAAGAGCGTTGAAATCAATATTTGGAAGCAGTTTGAAGGGCGGGCTTAAAAAACAAAAGAAAAAATGCATAAATGTATTAATGGCGAACACTCTGTCCATTTCAAAAAGGAAGCATTTTTACAATTTGGCCGCTTCTAGTTCTCTAGTGATTCTTTTTATTTCATCATGCCATATTTTTTTTTTCGCACAAGTAAAACATTTATCTTTGTTTTGATGAATTGCTGGTTTCTTTATGTGTTATAAAATGATCTGTTAAAATTTTTTTTCATAAAATGATTACAGTTACTTTTTCTTCATTGCTCATACAAAAATGGTTTCCTTTTGAATTGAATGGAGTGTTCCCTAACTACCTCATCTCTATCTGGCGCTCTGAGAATTTTGGTTTGAACATGTCGAATAGGGGAAGGTCCTTAAGAAAGAAAGAGAGTGCTACGGAAGGAGACGGCTTTAAAGATGTCCCTGTCGTATATTGTTGATTTTGTTGATGAAGAACTGGCAGCAGTGTACAAGCGTTTCATCTCTGATAATCTCTTGAATGGTTAGCTTAAAGCAAGTCATGGTCCGGTTCTTGGTCAAAAAGAAAAGCAAGCTATTGAAACAGCTGCTGACCGCTTTCTTAAAAAGAACAACCAGTCTTTGAAAGCAGCCAGGGCATTCTTGTTCTTGAAGCTTGTTAAACTTGACGAGCAAGACAGGGTTTAATCTCAAGCATATGAGATCCTTTTGCAAATCAACAACATGATTCACCAAAGCAAAGGCGACCTCAAGCAAGAAATGGACTATGTTGCCATTGTCAAACAAATCATGCTCCCTTTGACCAAGAACAAACACACACATCAAGCTGGTCATTGGCGAGACTGGGGCTCAATGCACCAAACTTGTGCATCAATTTAACAAAGGAAGCTTTTCTAGTGGACTGAGTAGCGTGTACAGTTTAACAAGCTCTACATCTGAAGCAAGCTTGGTGACAGAAGGTTCCGCTAAGAATCGACAAAAGAGGCCATTATGAAGGCATGCCACATGCTTTGTTGAGCCCAAAGCGTATGTGCCAAGAATAGATATTTACTTTAGAACTCTTTTTTTTTTTTTTTTTTTTTCAGACGAGAGACCTACTTGATTTCAATTGATACAGATCCTAATCTTCTTTATTCTATGCATCTATTTTAAGCCCCCTTCTTTCTATGTTGTTGCAGTCACACCTTATTGTCGTATCTATTATTTTATTTTATTTTATTTTATTTTATCCCGAATATAAAAAATATTTTTGGAGCAGACAAAATGGATTCTATCAACGATAAAACGATTGTTCAACAAGTAAAATAATAATCACTTTTTATTTATTTATTTATTTATTTTTCTTTTGTTTTAGTCTAGAGAGTCATCCACTGTTGATGAAGAGATCATCACTCAGCTTACTTTGGCAGGGTTAAAAGTATTGATGGTTCGAAAGCGCGATCAGATCATCTATAAATTATCAGATAATATGCAAGTATCCTCCATAGGAGAAGAACAAAGACAACAGTTAATAAAGGAAATACAAACACTACATCAAGCAACTATGGATGCTGCTCAACAACAACAACAATATACAAGTGAAGTAAAGCCTATTGCACCTAAACATGATGCCCTTTCTTCACTAGATACACCACCACAACCTACAGCAGCTGAGGCAGATGCCATTAAAGAAACAGCACGTAAATTAAGAGAAGAATTAGAACAACAACAACAACAACAACATATGATGCGTACTGCTTCTTATGATAGTAGCAGTCCTAGTTCTCCACAAGACACTAGTAAGACAACACGTAAATACAACAAGACTGGAAAATACTCTAAAAAGAAACAACAGCAGCAACAGCAACAGCAACAGCAGCAACAGCAACAGCAGCAACAGCAACAGCAGCAACAGCAACAGCAGCAGCAACAGCAGCAACAGCAGCAACAGCAGCAACAGCAGCAACAACAATTAACACAACAACAATTGCTTGCTTTACAACAATCTTTACAATCCAATATGAGCATGAACACAAGTTATGCTACAAACATATCCACACCTACTACTACTGCTGCAAGTACACCGAATCATACACTATTCCCTGCTCAACAAAAGGACACGAGTACTAAATCTTCACCTGTGCCTCCTACACCGCCATTACCTTCCCCTAGTAATCCACAAAGACCTCAGCCTATTGTTCAAAAAGCACCTACAGATTCGATTCTATCAAAACGACTTCCTGAAGAAGAATTACAACATCGAGAAGTGAAAAAGAGGCAAGTGAATAGATTCAAGAAAGGCTATTGACCAATATGTGTAGATTTATTGAATCACTTTTGGAGGATCATAAGCTTGTCACACAACCTGATTATCATACACCATTTACCTCTTTAAAAGATGCCATGGATCGACTGATGCCTTATCATATTTACCAGTACCCTAAACATGATTTAGATGCCAACAAAATCCCATTGGAACGACAAGACCATACAATGATTGAGATCTTTAAATGTCAAACAGACTTGTTTGTCAAGTTTTCTGTCATTGCTAAAAAGATGCATCAACAACAGGACATGACACTCAAGATAATAGCCCAAAGAGAAGTAGTGGCTGCTCAAAGACAGAAATTGACAGATGAACAATCCAGAGTGGCTGCAGAACAAGCTGTTCAACAACAAGAAATGTTACGACTACAGGCTGAAAAGGCAAGATTGGCTACTGAGCAACCACCATCAGATCCATTTCAAGGTATGTCATGTCTTTTGATCTAAACTCATATGAACTAGCTGTGAATTATGCCAATGGTCTTGCTCAAGCAAGTGCTTTATTACAGAACCCACAATTCTTGAATCACTATAACCAATTGAGTCCTGAATTACAACAAAGACTATTAAGAAACAGAGAACAATTAGTGGCTTTAATTGAAAAACAACAATACAACAATAACATTTCACATAATAAATAAATTGAATGGAGTTTAAAAAAGAATTGTACGCGCTATCTTTTTTTCTCTTTCTTTTGTCTTGATGTCAACTACCGATTGGACAGTGCTAGAGAAACTATTGCTTTCTCAAGCAGTATATAAATATGGAGAAGATAACTGGTTTCAAATAGCCCGAAATCTTAAGCACCATGCTTTACTGGATCGTCCTTCTGATTATTTCAACCAAAAAGTATACTTGTATGTCATGTGTTTTTTTTGTCTCTCAACCCCAGTCATAGAACTGTTCTTTACAATATTACTTGATGGTAGAGGATCTAGATGAAGAAAAGTAAGGATCAGTATATATCATTCTCTACTCACACATAGTAAAAGAAAACAACAGTCTGTATCCAACCAAGATATGCCTATTGTAGTTCAAATTGCTCGACAGTTATACGCATTACGATTAGAAGAATTGAAGATAGCACTAGCAGAAGATGAACAGAAATTTATGACATTGGTTGCTGAGATTGATGATATTCGTGCTGGTAAATGGGATGATCAACTGATGGCTCATGAATCACCCTCTCTCTTGTCTGAACCCGAGGAATTAATCCAACAGGGTGAAACAGAACGTATAGAGGAAGAAGCAGCCAAAGTAGAAGCTGAAAATCAAGCAAATGAAGCACGTCTACTTCGACCAGAACAAGAAGAACAAGAAGAACCAGAGAGAATCAGTCGAAAACGATCTTTAGATGAAGATGAAAGTCTGATTGAATCTAAGCGACAAAAGACAACTGAATCGCCACTTCATATTGATGTTCCTCAACATGATGAATCAACAGGTAATTTATAAACCAATAACAAAAAAAAAATAATCAATTCTATTAGATGTGAGTCAAGGCACAACACCTGCTGATACCACAGATGTCAACACAAGAGAAGGCACAGAGAGTGTGGCAGAAAGTGAGAGTAATGCACCTACACCTACAAGAAAAGCAGCACTCAACAAAGACGATCAAAGGCATAAATCATGGCAAAAGAATATCAATTTACTATGGAGAGAGATTGCAAACCATAAGAATGGAACAATGTTTATGAACCCAATTAAAGAGACAATCGCACCCCGTTATTATGCTATTGTCAAGAGACCCATGGATCTCAAGACAATAAAGAACAAGATTCGAGATGGAGTAAGTAAAGCTAAATTGAATTTATGGCTCAATCTATACACAGTTGATCAGCACAACAGAAGAATTCGAAAGAGATGTGATGTTAATGATCAACAATTCACTGATGTATAACAAAGAAGGCACAGAAGTATATCAAATGGCAAGGGAAATGTTGGAAGATACAGTCCAACAAATCAAGACATTTAAAGCAGCAGATACAGATACATTCACAAGTTCACATACAAGAGCAGCCAAAGACAGAAGGAAGAGTATAGTACCTATTGAATAAAGTAATAGAGGAGGAGGACGAGGAGGACGAGGGGAAAGAAGGGTATATATCTTTTTTAATTTTATTTATTTCTACAAAAGTTTTCTTTTTGTTGCCGTCCCCGAGCCTGCCGAGACTTTTCAAATTCACCATCCATCATTGTGCTTGAATCAAGCTCGTCTTCATCCAATGTCTCTAGCGTATAACCTTGCCATTCATGTTCTTGTACTTTAAGTGCACTTTCTCTTTGCCAATCAGCTTCCATTTTAGTAGCATGATATCCTTTCCATTCTTCTGATGTCTCTGATTGTGATGAAGCACGACGAGGACTATCTGTGCTACTATTAGGTCCAGGATATCCTTTCCAGACCTCTTCTTCTTCTTCTTGTTCTTGTTCTTGTTCTTCTTCATCAGGTTCAGATAATACCACTTTATCATCATCTTCATCTGTAGCAGGAGCAGGATAACCTACCCATTTCTCGGAATCAGATGTCGTTGTCAAGGTAACTACTTCATCATCATCTTCTTGAATAGGATAACCAAGCCATTTTTCATCTGTAGATGTACTTTCGGATTTAATGACAGAACAAACTTTGTTGGGTACAAATTCAGGTGCTGTGGGTGATAATCTGGATTTTTGTTGTTTACTTTCTGTAGTAGAAGTAGACAAGACAGAAGGTTGAGCCACTGGTTCTTCTTGTTGGACAGGTTCCGTCTCAATCACTGGTTTTGTTACTTCTTCTTCTTCTTCTTTGATAGGTTCCTCTGGTATAACTTTAGGTTGTTCTTCAATAGAAGGTCCATCATCATCATTACTAGTATTACTACTACTCTCTTCTTCTTCTTGTCGTTGTCGTCGTGGTTTAGGTGAGGGTTGAAATTCAGGTTCTGTCATTTCCAAGACAGAAGCAGTACGTGCCTGTGGTGGTGGTGGAACAAGACTGGTACGTCTTGACGTCGTATGACTGACTGACTGATACCGACCGGTCTCTCCAAAATCATCTTCGCAAGCAATCGTCTCATTCTTCTTTAAGGGCTCGACTTCAATACTTTCATTGATCAGCTGATCTTTACGCAAATAGACACGAGAGACCAACCAATGCTGTGTGAGTTGATCGCCGGGTGCTAAATGGCTCAGGTTGGCTACAGGAATCACAGCAGCACGTAACCCCTCTACATGAATCGCTTTTGAATGTGCAACAGAACTACGTCGGTTAGGATACGTCTGTGTAGATAAGACATCGTCTGCTGTCACATCGCCACTGGGCGCATTGAGCTGACAGAGCTCCAGGATGGCCAAGACCATATCGAGCTTATGCGCGCCCGGTGCAGACAAGACCACGTCGCCTAAATGGTGGGTGTCTTCATCACCGGCTGTATAGGCCGTCACAATCGACCGAATCGAGACCAAGTGAGGATGGACCCAAGGCACAGCAATCATACCGGGCAAAGGTGTATGGTACTGCTCTAATTTGTGTTTGAGGGCATGATGGTAGGCTTCATAGTGTTTGGCGGGCGAGATGATCTGAGCCAACTCACGAAACATGTCCTTGGTGCGCGAACTTGCACCGTGCCATAACTTCTTGTTCAGTCGCCTGACTTCAGGAAACGTCAAGGCTTTCATGATGGCTGCAAAACCCGAAAAATCACGGTAGGCATGCAACAGCAAATAAGCCACACGTACCAGATGAGTGACAAGGCTATCTTTGGTGGCATGGACAGGTGGTACGACAGCAGAGGCAGCACTATTGTTACTCAACAGCTCGGCCCAATAAATAAGCTGGTGAGCCATACTGTGACTCAAGTAATGATGAAAATCGACCAGATGAACCAGTTTGGTCTGATGTAAGTCCAGTTGTAGAAGGGATCGTTTGTCTAGAAAGACTTGGTTGAATAGCTGAGCATTCATAATGGCAATTTGACGAGCAAGACCATCTGAATCCCAAAAGAGAGGTGTTGCTGCTTCTACAGACTGCATCTTGCGGGTCAGGGCATTAAGGCGGTGGGCCTCTACTTTGGAAGTCTCGAGGTAGCCTCGAAGCACGCCTACCTGGACAGGTGGATTGGCTTTTTTGGCTTCTGTTAGTTTCTCAGTAGCAAGGTTGAGAGCATTAGAACATATGATGTAGGATTGAGCAATAGGAGAAAGTGGGATGACAGGAAGACCACTGGTATTATTGCTGCTGGCTGTGTTTGCCATGGGTAAACTGATGAAAGAAAATAAAAGAAAGAAAGAGAAGGTCTAGGCAAGTAAGGTACACAAGGGGGGTTGGAATGAAAAAAAAAAAGTGTGGAGTTTTTATTTTTTTTCGTTTTGCACTACCTTGTTAGACATGTCCTTTCGATGATGATGATGATGATGATACAATCTAAACTAATCACTTTTTTATTTGTATATGAAGCCGATATGCTAGCCGTAGCAAGTTTAACGTTGAGTAAAAAACCCCATTTTGTTGCTGGTACCTTAATTTTTTATTTTTCAAGTCCGACTACTCAAATCAAGAAGACAGTTGAACATTGTCTTTTTGTTTTGTTTTATTTTTAAACAGTGATAAAAACAAGCCTTTTCTTTCTTTAAGGACGCTTTTATTTTGTTTTCTATTGTATTCAGGTTGTTATATATATATATATATATATACACATACATACACAACGAATTTTATTATTATTATGAGTTGCATGAATGGGTTGTGTAACTTATATGGGCAAGTCAAATGTGATAGGTAACTGATTTCCTCTGTATCGGTGATCACATAAACAAGCATTGATAAACAGTTGACCTTGTTCATTTCGTGTGTATCCGTGTGCTTCATGAATATGTCCAAATACACATACTTGAGGTTGAATACGATCAATTTTGTCTCTTAGGAATTGACAACCAACATGTCTACCACCACGCATAATTTTATCTCCATAGCCATAAGGTGGTGTGTGTGTCACAAGCACATCAACAGGAGGTACATTGTTCCATACATGCGACATATCATCCAGCATAAAAGCACCACCTAAATGCATTGGAGCATAAGGTGAAACAAACAAGCGAAATGAGCCCAAAGAAGAGTCAAGTTGATAGGCTTCATGCTCTAGATAGACAATGTTGTGTTTCTTCATGAAATCAAGGATTGCTTGTCTTTTCTCGGTATAGCCAAAGGTAGTATCAAGCAAAATATCATGATTGCCACCTGTCACAATCTTCACTCTATAGAATTTAATATGGTAGAATTATGCTTATCTACTTACTTGTGGGGCAAAGAACCAAGCCATTCTATTGTCTGATGAAACTCGTCTATATGGCTTCTTTTTGTCATATCACCCGCATGAACTAAAGGATTAATCCATAGGCCATAAATAGAGGTCACTTACTTAATACATCTCCGTCTGGTATGTCAAAATGAACTTTGCCATGGGTGTCAGATATACAGACAAACCTTACTGTATCATGATGAGGTTGATAACTATTGACAGTAATAAGCATAGAATAAAAAAAAAAAAAAAAAAAAGAGCTACGTATATATCTGAGTTCAAGTGTGATGTCGTACAGAATAATAAAAAGAATGTATACTTGTTCTTTGTTTACACTCTCCTTTTTCTTTCATTATTATATACCATGGAAAAGCAATTTCCAAGACAAGGTGTTCATGATGATTTACCAACATTAGACCAAGTTTTGACAAGAAAGACACTGCCACCTGTGTGTCTATATAATTTTTATATTATCATGAGAGACAGACTCAAGATGGAAGAAGTGTTGGATTTTTATCTCGATCTACAACACCATGAGCAACTTTGGAAACGATATGTGAAAGCCATGCACCGTACTGGTCTTTTATCAGAAACTGATTTGAGTGAAGGATATCAATCTCCTCGTATCTTGAGTCGCCTATCTCATCAACCTTCGCATTTCAGTTCTTCTGTCATTTCTTCACCTTCCCCTCTTCCATCTCCTGAACATGTTAACTTGCCTATTTATGACAGAAACAGAACATTAGCCAGTCCTACTGACACAGATCATGTTGAATCTTCGTGGATCCATGGCAAACAAGTACCAAGTCGTAAAGAACTCGTGGATTCCTCACAACGTCTATTACTGCGATACCTTGTACCCTCAGCTACAAAAGAAGTAACTCAATTACCGCCTGAACTTGTAGTAGCCCTTCGAAAAGAATTAGAAAAACCAGACCCTCGTGACGACCCACTTTTGTTTCAAGAAGCAAAGGATTACTTGTTTGAATACATGCAGAGACAAGCGTATCCTAAATTCTTGAGACTTAAAGTATGGGGCAATATTACCCTGTACCAACAACTAGGCCGTTTTGTGGTTGGTCTAGTGTCTCTCTTGGTTGCCCTTACCACCTCGCTTAGTCTTATCTTTCTTGGTTATCCTCAATGGGGTGTTCGTTTCTGGGTGCTTTTGCCCTTTTGGATAGGTATATTGAATTTATTGATCTTCTTGACTGGTTTGGATCCTATTTGGGTGCTTGTGTTCAATAAGAGGTAAGCAATAGAATATACGCTTCATAAATTAACACACGTGGTTCAGTGAAACGACAACATTCAAATTCAATTCAATCAAACAACCTCAAGTGAAGCGTATCTTGAGATCAAGGTCTATTTGGTTACTTTTAACAAGTCTTGGGTTGGCTATGATTTGCACTGTTATTTTCTGTGCTATTCCACCAAGACGATTATAATTTTTTTTTATGATAATAAACAACTAAAAATCAGCAAACTTATCACGGTAAGGATCTGGTCCAGAGATACCATAGCGTTCATTTGTCTCTGGATAACGATCAAAATTAGAGGCATCACCTTCACCTCGAATGGTAGGCACATAAGGAGATCGTACCTGACGATTAGCCATACGCACAAAATCAACACCACTAAACCATTTGTGGTTCTTTATGTCTTCTGCTCCTCCTTTCAAGTTACCATAGCGACGCGATAAATCGGCTGTCAATAGTCGCTTCAACAAATCTTTAGCATGTGGATCAAAATAAGCTGGCCATTTAATTTTGCCTTGGATGATCTTTTCATAGAGTTTTAGATGATCATCATCATAGAATGGAGGGTGTCTTGAATAGAACCATTAAACGTCTGCTTAGTATAATGTATATTGACTTACCCTGCCAACATTTCAAATATCAAAATACCCAGACTCCACCAATCAACAGCCATACCATACCCTTTGGATTGAATCACTTCAGGTGCTATCGTTACAGGTCAACACAGTGGCTTGCTCATTCGTTATCTTACCCAAATAATCAGGTGTACCACATAAGGTCCAAGTAACGTCAGGGACATGTTTTGCAAACCCGAAATCTGTGATTTTAATATGACCTTGTGAGTCTAACAACAAATTTTCGGGCTTCAGGTCTCTATAAATAATGTTTTTTGAATGAAAATATTCAATCGCCAATACCACTTCTGCCGCATAAAATTTAGCGACATGATCAGGAAAACGCTGTCAAATTCAAATCAGTATCATCTCCTCGCCCTTTCATTTTCTATCATGTAGTTTACCTGATTCTTTCTGAGCACACTAAATAACTCTCCTCCAGGCACGTAATCCATTACCATATACAAGTTGATATCGTCTTGAAAAGTACCCCACAGATTCACAATAAACGGATTAGCTGTGATCTCCAAGATGGCCTTTTCTAAGTTGGTGTGCTCTACTTGCTTTAGTCGGACGACTTCTGACTTTTTAAGCACCTTAATAGCATAATATCGACCATTATGTTTGGATTGTGCTAAATGAACACGCCCAAAAGAACCTGTGCCCAGTGTCCGTAACAAATTAAAATCCTCTAATTTAAGCCTAGGTCTATTTTTGCGTTGTTCAAGAATGGCACGGTCATAATTGGCATACTGCTGTATTAATTTCTCGCGTTCTTTTTCCTTGGTATGATCTTCTGGTATCACGACTGTGGCAGAAGAGCAAGAAGACTTGCCTTAAAAAACAAAAGCAAGACAGGTATACATATTTAGCATATCTCAGAAAATGGCGCATGTCTGTATATTACCTAACGACTGATGTGTACCTGAGAATCTTTTGTTTTCTTTGCCGTTGCTTGTGGTTGACATGGCATCTTCTTGCTCTTTATTGTTGATTGTTGTACTACCATTACTGTTTGCTCCAAATCCAAAAAATGATCGACGCTGAGGCTTTTCTTCGGAGGAACCATAATGGCTGCTGCTACTACTACTGCTATTCCGTGTTGCTCGGTCTATAATTTTATGTATAAATGACATTGAATAAAAAGAAAGAAAAAAAGAAATTATGTCAAACAGAAAAAAAAAAAAGAGGGTTGTTTTAGAGACAGAGAAAAAAAATGGATTGACCTTAATGAGGAAATCAAATGGGTGTGTTTATCTGAATTTGTTTTGAAGTCAGATTTGTTCCCGCGTGGACAGCTCTAAGCGTATTAAAATTTTAGCAGTCCTAACCACTTAGTTATGACATAGAACATCTCGACACAAAGTGTACTAACCATAGGTCTCTACTATCTGAACGCACAGATAAGGCTACACGTAGCTATGATGTATTTATCTTTATTGATCGAAACAAAGAGAAATTGGAAGATATGTTAACTTTTATTTATTTTTGATGGGAGCAATGATAGAACAAGAGCAATAAAAGTATCCAGACCTGTTGGTTGTCTCATTGCAGATCTATCGACTGAAGCTATCATCATATTTTTCCTTTGGTTTGTGTTTTTGGGTGTAATATCTAATGAAAACTGCTCTTTATGGCTTATTTAAAAAATTGAAGAAGGATTTTATAACATACAATACACGTTGTGTTCAACAACGTTTTATGCATGGATACTTGTGTCACTATAAATTATTTACACTCCATTGCGTTTATATTCTGGACTTGCTTAGGTTTAGGAAGCTCTTATCTTATTCTATAGCAGTAAACTATAATTGGAGTAGTGGAAACTATGTTGCAGCTAAGTCTCAACACAAAGTTTGGTTGCTATTGTCTTTTGTTATCAGACAGTGGTAAGTAGAACTGAGACAAAGCTACAAGGCGCATAATGATGACAACTTTGGCGCTAAAATAAAGGTGTATCTCAGAATCGTGTCTACTGTTTCCAGAAACTTCAACGTCCTAAGCAATTGGCTAGAAGACAGGGAACAACAAGATACAGAAACATGAAAGATACCTTTAGCTTGTTATAATCCTGAATGTCCCTCAGTCAAAAATGGTCGTAGTATAAGTAGAAGAGATGATATATCTAGCTTTAGCCATTGCTATATCAGGCATAACCACTTTGCTCTTTCATGAAACGCTTCCTACTATCTCCTCAAGCAACAGTCACTCCAATACTGAACTAAGTTTGAAAACGGTAGCCTTCTGTACAAAAAGTGGTGGATTGGTCAAGAGTTTGGCATCTCTTTAGCGGATTAAGTAAGTGTTTTATTCGTTTTTACTTTATGATTGTTAACATCTTAACATTTTTGAAGTTTCCGTCATTTTTTCTAAAGGTTGTATGTCATTAACTTTGACCTATTGTATTGTCCATTATTGCATTTTTTTTTCTCAAGAAACAAGTATGGATCAGATAGTGACAAATGTCGTATTTATATTGAGACAAGTATTTGTTTGGCTAAACCTGGACCATGTGCTGTTTATATCCTCTTTAATTACCACATTAACCGACTATTTTTGAAGCTATAAGATTTCATTCGAGCTAACATGTTGTTTGAATGAATTAAAGCGATACTTCTTTTGTGAGGAAGCTCTTGGTTTTTCTTTTTTCTGCTTTTGAAATTATGCCTTCTAACATTGTTCTATTGTCTATCTTTCTTTCGACAGATAATTAAATGATATATTGAACAAAAAATACATGGCCTCAACCTATTATTTGAGGTCCTCAGAGTTCTTATTTCTCTCAGGCGCTGCTCTTTTTGATCCCAAGCAAGAAACGGTAAAAGATCAACCTGACATTGTGACACATTTGCTTTTTTTTTACCCGCAGATTGAGATTTAATTTACAAGTGATACTGTACATCGTCCTTTGTTGTATCGCTTATGTACCACCATAAACTTCTATTTAAACACGACAAGGAAAAAGTTTAAAATACACACACCCTCTTTTTTTTTTTCTTTTTTTCTTTTTTTTTTTTCAACAATGACCAAAAGGTTTGTGCCTGCATTTACTTTTCCCTTTCGAGGCATTTGGTTTTTGATTACACATCCCAAGGTACATTTACCTATTGAAAAGTGTGTACAGATGTTAAAATACTTATTTCTAGCAACTATGGCTCAAGACAATGAGTCCGATTCTGTTGACCATTTTGTTTAGTGCTTTCTCTGTAGGTTTTTCTTTCAAGTACTTATTACCAGGCTTAGCTGAAAAACTAATCAGCTGGCACTGGCCTCATTGGATGTCTTGGTTTATCTCTATTGTGTCAACCGTGCTTGAAGGCGCTATTATCAATTTGTTATTCTTTGCCATTTTAGTACCTATCTTTCAAGACGCTGTCTTTGATGCTACTTTGAGAGCCAGAGGTCTTGAGCGTATTTTTGAAGAGGAAGAAGAAAGAGACACACCTTATTTGGTGCTCTGTTGGCGTAACGTTCGATCTTCTATTCTGGTGACTTGGCTTTTGATTACCATCAAGGTATCTTTTTTTTGGTATTGTGTTTCATGTACTTATGAGAAATGATGGCTTTAGATTTTGCTTTTGGTCTTGACAGCACCTCTTCAACTCGTTCCCTTGGTTGGTAACGCACTTGCATGCACTATTAACGGTTGGCCAACGGCGTAAGTCATAAATAAGGCAAAAAGAGAGAGAGAAAAAAGATTGCTGACAAAGAAATTTATATAGTTGGAATTTACGTCTTCATTATGATATTGAGTTGCGCGGATACAAGGTTTCTGAATCCTATCATCATGCTCGAGACAACAAATGGACTTATGTCAGTGTTGGTGCATTTGCCTTTGCTCTGGAACTTATTCCTTTGTTCAACATCATTTTCACTTGGACAAACATCATAGGTGCTGGTTTATGGGTTGCTGATGAGTATGAAAGAGAACAGAAACTTGTGGCCATTGATAGTAAGGACCGATCTGTTGTTTATCCCATTGCACAACCACCAAGCACTTCTGCTACAGACAATGAAAGAACTCCTTTATTGCAACAATCATAAGACCAACTTTTTCTGTATTCCCCTTATCTTTCCTTTTTCTTTGCAATAAAATCAAACTAGAGTGTAAAGATTTTTTAGTGGAAACATAATTTGTACGACAAAGAAAAATAAGTTCAGGTACCGAGAGGAGGAAACTTATGGGAGATTTTTTTTTACCAACGCCACAGAAAAGAGATACTACTCAAATAGAATAAAATACAAGTTTCTGTGGTTCATAGATGCAAGTGTGTTTGTAATGATAAAAAATTATTTGTCTGGCAATTAAAAAGAGCCAGCACTTGTACATTTTAAGTAACAAGTGATGCAACCGCTTATTCGTTTCATAGAAAAAATAAACTAAAATACCGAAAATGTCTCATTTCTTTTTTTTGACAGATATTGTACGGAGGAGACATTCCGTTTGCTCTTCGTTTAAGTTAAGCCTCCGCTTTTTTTTGGGTTCATTCCAAAGATTCTGTCATTCGATTTGATCACTATGCATCACTTACACAACAAAGGGTACATACACTAACAAACAAAGCATGATGCATTTTTAACCTAAAAAAAACAATAGCTGTACCTTAAAGGCTGTTCAAAGAATAAATTATACAATTCATGATGTGTACTCAAAGAACTGCTGCTTTACGACATATTGACTTATTAACGCTCATTGTGAAATCAATCGTTGCTTCTTTTGTCATTCAAAATGTTTTCCTTTGATCAATTTGGGCCTTGATGGTCGCTCCTAAGCGGCTTGATGGTTTAGGCATTATAGATATTGGCATCCTGCTTTTGTTGCCGCACACGATTCAGACAAATGCCTTTCTGATTCAGTTGTTGTTCCTCCGTGAGTCCGCTCTGGTAGCTTTCATTTTGCACCCCTCCCCCTTTCACCACAATTTCTATGCTTTGTCAGACAATGAATATAATTCCTAGGAATTCACGTACTAGAATGAATAGAATATCTTTATTCTCGATGACTGTAATAATTTGAATCGAGAAACCATCACACGAATAATAAACACTATTCAATCATTCGCTTTATTTTCTATAGCATGAAATTTATGCATTGCAATGTCGAAAAGACAGTCAGGTCACGTGCTGACAGACAACTGTGTTGCCCTGTGTAATATAGAATTTTCTTATGATTGGTTAGTCTCAAGGAAGGGGAGGGGTAAGTTGTGTTCCATCCATGGTCGATGTTTCTCTTTAAACTTGGTCTTTAAATGACGCTATCGCTCTACACTCGAGGGCCAAGAGATTGCTACTCTAAAAAAATTAATTTCTAAATTTAATTTTGCGCAAGAAAAACTTGTCTTTATTTGCTACGTAAGACATAGTTGGCATTTGCTCTCAAGAAAGGTATGCTTGAACGTGGTATTTGGGTAATTTTGTCATTTGTTGATCCCCTCTCTCTTTCTTCATTTCGTTTTGGTAGTAATTTTTCTTAATGTTTACTTGGCTTGTAAATTATAATTTCCTTTTTATGCAAATACAATCTAAAAAAAGTTACTCGTCACTCTATAAATTAGGGAAAAATATTTAAAAACAACGGTAGCAGAGTTTTTTGCTTTTTCTTTCTTTTTTTTTTTAAAAAAAAGGGTAGTTGATAAAGAAAATGCAACTACCATTAGACAATACTCAGTCAAATCTTTTGACTCTCTATGATGCTATTACAGACTCGCCTGTTTATAGGTCCTCTAGCTTGCATTTTGATGATCAACTCGACCTATTGGAAAAATGGTTAGACTCACTCTCGAAAAACATGAAGCTCTATGTAGACAAACTCAATAGTAAGCATTCTTTTTGTATTGTAACCAACATCAATTCACACTATGCTTTAGAGTTCAACCTTGAAACCAACACGCTGTGTAAAAAAGTTATCCCGGTGGGTATTGATGATGCCATGATAGGTAAAGACAGGTACACAATTTGACTCGTTTTGACTCTCTTTTAAAAGATCCAAACTTTACTGCTGCTATCATTAGAAGCTTTTCTGATGCGCTTCAAACTAGTTTAGCATTCAAGACAAAATTGGTAAGTGTCTTGTGTATGAGAGAATTGAGGCTAAGTCAATATTATACATATATATATATATATATATATAGGTCTCAGATCTAGAAGACAATTTTATACAACCACTTCAGTCGTTTCTCAAGACAAACTTGAAGGAATTCAAAGAGTTTAGAAAGCAGCACGAAAAGACTCTAGAAAAATACGAGGCACAGTTATACAAATACGCAGGACAAAGTAAGACAAAAGAAGCCTCGGCTGTTAGAGAGGAAGCATTCCGACTATATGAAGCAAGAAAGGCATATGTTCGTATGTCCGGACAGCACGTTGTGCGTATTTTGCATTTCCGTTCATTGCTCGAACATTTCTTGGTCGATATTTTTTCTTCGGCTACAAATTCTCATCTCAAAGACTTTGAAGGAAGCTCTGGTTCTTGGACAAAGTTACAAGCCAACTTGAGTTCTTGGAAGCGATGGTTATTGGATGTAAGTGGAAGAGGCGGTTTTAGGGCGGTTTTATGGCGGTTTTCGAAAACCTGACAAGTATTTTTAGGACAAAGAGACATGCAGTTACCAGTTAAACCGATTACAGTCATCTCGTATCACTCTAGAGAACAAATATCTAGCCTTAGTTCGTCCTGCTCGGGATTTAGAAAAATATACAGGAAACACAGCACAGACTGCATTAAGTAGTCGACATTCATTGGACTTTTCATCTGTGATGAGTAACAACAGTCGGCAGAATCATAAATGGGGCTATTTGTTTGTACGTGGTGTTAGAAGCAGCTGGATAAGACGATGGTTCTTTATTTATGACGGTTGCTTTGGGTCATGCAATATCAACCCAACGACAAAGCTCAAAGGCACAATTACAATGGGTGACCGTGTGTCTGTATTACTCTGTGATATTAAGCCTGTTATTGATAGCGATCGACGATTCTGTTTTGAAGTCATGTGTGCTCACCAGTAAGTCGTACAAGGGCGAAGCGTTTATATCAGCTTTGTGTACTCATAATTAATAGGCCCTCATTTGTACTCCAAGCTGAGACCGAAGAAGAAATGCGTGAATGGATAGGTGCTTTTGAAAAAGCAAAGCGATTGATGTTACAAAACGAACAATTGGATTTAAAGACTGGAACTGCTCTAGCTTCCACAGCTAATACCGAATCTGATATAGCATCGTCTTCACCCAAGACGATGCCTTATATTCTGGATGATAATTCGGCTTATAACAGCTCAGGAGCATTAGATCAGGTCGCTTCTCCTGAGCAACTTGTACAAAAGCCTTCTATTGTCATGTTATCCTCTTCGCCTGAAAATGATCAACAATCACTCTCTCAGTCCACTTCTCTCACTCCTTTGCTTGTTTGGGAAGCATCTCGTGTTTCACTAGGAGCCAATAATACTAGTAGTACCAATGCTACCAACGCTACTACTTCATTAACATCAACAGCTATTTCTGGATCTCCTGCCAACCAGTCACTCTCTACAGCTGCGCTTTCTCTGGAATCAAACTCAAATCAACATGCTGAATCCTCAAGCAACACTGCAACTAACACAAGCAATAATACGAGTTCTTCATGGGGTATTCCTTGGGCTTTAGTGCCTAGTATGTTCCAAGGCGGTAGCAGTGATGATATTACCAGCGAGTTACCTCCTACGCCTGGCTCACCTAGCTTGCCAACTGTGACTGATGCAGATGGGCATCAGGTTATTTGGCCTATGAGAGTCGATGACTCCAGCATACCTAAAGTTGAATTGGCAGGTTATCCTCCTTCATTAGAATCTCGAAACAAAGAGCTCCGTCATTTGTTTGGCGGTGTCAATCCTCATGAAGTTGTACTTACTGGTAGGTTGATATATATGAGCATGGGGATATCTAACCTAATTGTTACGTAGCTTTTGTTGGTCTATTAAAGAAAGAGCCTTTGAATGAACCAATGATGGAGCCTAAAGAACCAGAATTACCTGCTTCACCCACTGTGACAAGCAGCCCTGTTGATATTCTTGAACAAGAACTCAATGCACAGCTGTCTAGCACAATCAGAGAGCCTTCATCAAAGCATGGCTACTCATACACAGGCCGTGGCTTTATTACGCAAGAGACTTTTTGGTTCTATAGTTGTATTTTGATGACATGCGTCAACACAGTTGCTATTCGTCTGAGTGATATCCAAAACATTCGACTCATTCGTGACCCTTCTGTCACAAACGTAGGCATCAGCTCCAATTTAGCATTGGCGATTGATTATGATAATGATGCTGGATCAAATAAGGCTCAAAGCCCATTGATTTTTACGACTTTGATGGACGATGTTGAAGTGCTTGCTGAAAAACTGAAATTTGCTGTCTCCAATGCCAAGGGTAAAGAGGTGAGTTGCTAGTTTATGTGTGTATGTGCGTTATTCACTACCTTAAATAGCCTGCACCACTTCAAGTTACATATGATATTATTCATAGTCTTTCAGCCGCTGTCAACAAGAACAAGAACAGTAATCAAGTCAAGACGATCATCAAATCCTCTGCTGAGCCAATTCGTTCAAACTCAGATATTACCAATACTTCCACCATTTCCTTCAGTTCGTCCGATGGAAGCATCACACCACTACCCAGTCGATCAAGCGATCCTAAAAAGAAAGCATCAAAAGCCCCTCGTAAATACTCAGCACCTGCTCAGCCTAAATCTGGTGCATTAGCAGCAGCAATGATGGCCGCTACGGTAGCAGGAGGTAGTGGAATTTTGGATGCTAGAAAAGGACTTCACGAGGAATCTCGTCATTTTCTGAGAGGTAAAAAGTCAAAATCGAACCTATCCCATCATGAAGAAGCTGAGGACGATATTCCTTTGCCCAATTCTACCGTTGCAACCTCCTCACCTGCACTTTCTAAAGTAACAGAGAGTATAGAAACAGCTGAAGCCGATACCAAAAATCGTACGTGTATGCCACCAGTATTTGGGGATTTTTTTTCTAATTTTTTTCTAGCTCATGATGTCCCAGAGGATTTCAACATACCAACAGAACCTGTCTCTTGTGGTTGTACTGATCATTTGGATAAATTAGAATCAGAAATTGAATTGCCTATTTCTGCCAAACATCTATTTTATATTCTGTTCTCTGAAGACAATCCTAATTGTTTAGATATCTGGGAGAAGAAGACTGCCGAGAACAAAAGTAGAGGTAAATAAATGAAAAGAAAAATAGATTCGATTCTTACTTTACCATAGACTTGACAATGACATCGTGGCAGATGGTAGATGGCAAGAAAGAGCGTACTCTCAAGTACATTATACCCGTTAACAACTCAATGGTTAAAGTGAAAGAAGCAGAAGCTGTTGAGAAGCAAACAATAGAAAAAGCAGACGAGTATCTGTATGTGTATGTGTGTTTCTTGTTCTTTATTCTTACTGTTGTATAGACGATATGTTATCTTGACAACAACAAAGACTGCTCAACTTCCTTATGCTGATGCATTCATGCCATTTGTGAAATACTGCATTACTTGGGTTAGCAGAGATCGTTGTAAGCTTAGCTGCTATGTAGGTGTCAAGTTTTTGAAGAACATCCTTGTCAAGGGTATTGTCAACAAGGCAGCCATGAAGGGCATGTCTGAAAATCTTGCTATCTTTATGCCTATTGTTCAAAATGAAGCCAACAAACAAACACCTAGAAAGAGAAGTGGTAGTAAAGAAAGCGTGGATATAGTCTCTTTAAAGCGTATGGGTACAATCAAACGACCTTCAAAGGATACAATAGCGATTAGCAACGAAAAGAGCGATCAAAATCAAGGATGGTATGCACAAGTAGAACCTATAATTGACACTGTACGTGATTTCGTGGAAGCTTTGCCTTTTACTGTTAAAGTAGGGGCTGGTGTCTTTTTGCTTTTGTGGATTATGTTTAGTTGGATTCGTGCAGGTTCACGACAAAAGATGACAGCAGTACACAGTAATTATGATTCACATTATAATGCTAAACAGGTTACTTCTCGCGCAGTCTACTTGCGTGATTTGAATGAAGGTCTATTCAGTGCTCAGCTTCAAGCTCCTTATGAACATTCTGAAAGGTAAACAAGCTATTTGATAAGAGCTATATGTCTGACTAGATTTAAATAGCTTTCGTTCCTTCTTGGAATCAAAATCTTTCAATCAAAGCGTTGCTACACAACATCGTTGGTTCAGTTCTCATCATCATCAATTTGCTATCGATTTACTGTTTAGTAGACAGAAATTGGCCATGCTTCGCCATGATACTTTAGTTTTGTTCCAATTGGTAAACGAAGTAGATGCTCAATTACTCGAAAATGAGTACACAAATTGGTTAATGGATACACGACTTCGATGCCGTGCTCCAGATGCTGATTATACAAATCTTCATTGTGATGATGTGAAGCGACAATTACGGTCATTTGCTATCGGATCTTAATCGTCAGTAAATGTTAATTTTGGTTTCCATGTCGCCTATTGAACTTTGAAAGAAAATCAGGCGTTATTTCTTGAATAAATCATACAAATAATTCATTCACATTTTCTCTCTATCCCTTTTTCAACACTCAATGCCGCAAGTATATTCAATTAAGCAAGTTGAAGAGCATAACACTCTTGAGTCTCTTTGGGTGATATTTAATGATAGAGTATATGATATTACAGAATTCGCTAAAGACCATCCAGGAGGCGATGATATTTTGCTAAAATATGCAGGAAAGGATATCACTAAAGTCATGTCAGACATAGACATGCACGACCATTCACAAGCTGCTTTTGATATGTTGGAAGACTATTTGATTGGCGTTGTAGAAGAAAGTGTGTTAGAAAATACAACAGCTAGACGTTTGACAGGACAACGTGCAAGCCTTCATCGCCGACGAGTGGAATTATTGAGCAAAGAAGTTGAATACAAGACATATACAAATGAAAATTTCTCTCCTTCTTTGACTGACACAAGGCTAGATATAAAGACGCACCAATTCCTAGATCTCAATAAGCCTTTAGTACCTCAAATGATGACAATGAAGTTTACAAGAGAGCATTATTTAGAACAGGTCCATAAACCTCGATATTTAAACAGGCCTGCCGATTTCTTTGGCCATCCTTTATTGGAGCCTTTGTCAAAAACAGTATGGTGGGTAGTTCCCACAGTATGGCTACCTTATGTTGGCTATAATATTTACAACTCGTTAAATCTTGGATCCATAGAAGCAACAGCCCTATTCTTTACTCTGGGTGTGTGTATTTGGACATTGTTGGAGTATCTTTTGCATCGCTTTCTGTTCCATTACGACGATCGAATGCCAGAAAATCAATGGATGTTTTTGTTACATTTTACTCTACATGGCTTCCATCATTATTTGCCTATGGACAGGTAACTTTATTTTTTTTATTTTGCATAAATGGCACCACTTTTTTTTTGTAGCTAATCTTGTGTCACTGTTTTAGATTAAGGTTGGTTGTACCGCCTGCTCTTTTGGTCGTTCTCGCCTATCCCTGGATCATGTTGGCACACATGTTATTTCCAAGTCCAATGGCTTTTGGAGTGGTTGCTGGTGGTATGTTTGGCTACGTATGCTATGACTTGACACATTATTATCTTCATCATGCCCGAGTTATTTCGTTTCATTTCTCAGAAATGAAGAAATACCACCTTGCTCATCATTACAAGGATTTCGAAGCGGGATATGGTATTACATCCAAACTTTGGGATTATGTCTTTAAAACTGTTCTTACTTATTAATTGCTTAACTTGCTCTATGCTTAGTTTAGACAATTTCTTTTTACATTTTTATAAATCTAATATATACAATAAACTATGAAAATATACTAATTCTTGTAGCTATCAATTGCAAAGAAAAAACTATTTTCAATGGTAATATTAAACACTGGTAGCATTCTTATACTCGAAGCTATAAAAGAATCATACACAATTTTACAGATGGTCATTTTGGGATTAAAAAAATTCATGTAAAACGGTTGTTTGAGTGAAATGAATGCTTAGATGGCTGACTTATTGAAGACTATGAGTTATTTGTCGATATTCTCCATTGGTTATGAGTAGTATGAAGTCTTGATACGTGATCATGTCTGTGAAAAACACGAGAAAAGAATCATATTGTATGACCAGCCTCATATGATCTTCCCAAAATTCAAAAGTGTCTTTTCGCCTTCCTAAAGCCCCCCTCGACTTCAGCAAATAATCTGGTGCCATTATTACCTTAGATAGTATTTATTTGAACTTGGAGAGACAGCTTGAAGAGGGACTAAGTTATAGAAAATGAATAAACCACTTAGGATGAACCTTCGGTTGGATCTCATCCGTCGTGATTAAATAAGGAGGTTCATTTTTTGGTTACATAGTGCACGGACATCTGGGTGGGTCTTCAGCTTACGATGCTGCGTGTACCATAAAACTACAGATCATCTAGCATTATAAGAAATATATGATTAGATTAGACTCGCCCAAAAGTGCAAGAGGCTTATAGCTCGAAAGAAATAACCAAAGAAATCATGGTATTCTTGATAAAACAATAAGGTTAACACACAAGCTAATACTGTATTAGCAGAAAAATATTACAACTAGCAAGAAATACTTCTAATGTTTTAATATACGTCTAATGTCTCTTTCATGATGAGACTGAGGCTATCAAAAGAAACGAGAACATGTCATGCTCAGACTTGTTAAGTCTTTCCTTCCCTTCCCTTTTTTTTTCATTTACTGACTTGCTTTACTTGTTTATATATGAATAACAACATGCTGTAAAATTCGCTTCTATGCAAGGGATTTATTTTAATCCAACATATATGCATTTTTCCTATTTGACTTGTAATATCAAATAAGGCAAGTGTAACACTTTAAAGCCAACAAGTACGCAGCCCAAAAAAATAAGCATAAATAGAAATTTCGCGTCTCTTTTCTTTTTCTCTGTTTTACAAGACCTTATCATGACTACGTCGCCTTTGGTTGCCGATTTCGAAGCAAAAGGTTGGTTCCTTTCTCAAGAAGGAATTGATCTGATTGCTTCAGAGCATCCTGAAGCAAAATCCCTGCAAGACTTTATCACTGCTGCCAAAGATGTAAATTTAGATACACGTATGCTAAACATATACTAACATTCAACTAGATGGACCTACGGTTATTAAGTAATAAAGGGTTTAACAAGACAGCAGAGAAAGTTCAACAGATTCCTAGTCCACTTGTTTTACAGTTACTGGAAGTACGTAATGTAGCTATGCCAAGTGTGAATCAAACAGAAAAGCCACGACTACTGAGTGCCGTCTTTACAGATGGCAGTAAAAAGAAATACAAAGGTGTAGAAGTCTTTGGTAGAGTGGAATGTTTAAAGTATGTTTTTGTATATACTTGGTATAGATATATTTAATTCTTTCTTATAGACTTCATACTCCACCGGGTGTTAAGTTTTTAGTAAAGGAACCAATTGAAGTCAAGGATCAAATCTTGGCTCTAGGCCCTGGTATGTTAGAGGAGATAGGAGGACATGTACAAGAGCTAGTTCAAGCTTGGAGAGCTGGAAAGGTACTAAAATAATGGATGCTTTGGTGACATATATTCATGATAAAACACATATAGCAATTTTTGAAGCGGTTTGGAGGTAGATCAACAGGCAAAAAAAACGAGCAAGGAGAAGAAAAAGAAGAAGAAGGTCCTCCTGCATTTGTGCCTTTCAAAGTCAAGGTAAAGATGTATCCATGTTTGTCTTGTATTTACTGACTAGATAAAAAAAAAGTCTACTCAAAACAATCACGAAAAATCAAATCCTACAAAAGAAAAGAATATCAAGAATGAATCTACAGCTTCTGTCGAACATTCAACGACTGTTTGGGGAGATGAGAAGAAAAGCAGAAAAAAGGTCAAGAAGGATAAACAGAGAGTACACGAAATAAATGATAAGGATGACAAAGAAAAGAAAATCATGCCTGAACGCAAAAAACAAGAGGACAAAAAGACAAAATCGGCTGTCGAAAAAGACAATAAAAAGATACAAGACAAAAAAGAACAAAAGCAAAGACTAGAAAAAAAGATAGCCGAAAAGCTTGTCGAGAAGCCTACCGAGAAGCCTGTCGAGAAGCCTGTCGAGAAGCCTGTCGAAGAAGCAATTGTTTCTGAAAAAATCGTTTCTGATTCTAAACCTCCTAAAAGGGAAAAGAAAAAAAAAGTGCAAAAGGAAAGCAAGCCTATTAATGAGGCTAAATCGGAAAATGTAGAACAAGTTAATGCCGAGAACAAAAAGCCCAAGAGAAAAGAAAGAAAGAAGCCTGTTGTTCATGCATCCACTCCACCTTCTGAAGGAAATGATGTTGCTGACATTAAACCAGAAGATGTAGTACAGGTACCAACTCCTCCACCAGAACATAAAGAAAAGAGAAATAGAAAGAAGAAAAGCGCAAACAAGCAGAGTGAACAAGCTCCTAAATCTGATTTTAAAGTAGAATCAAAAACTGCAATGGAAGAACCGCCAAGGCCTCTTATGGAAGAGCAGTTGAAGCTTGTTGATGAAGAACCATCAAAACCTGTTGCAGAGCAACAAATAAAGCCCCCAAGCAAAAGAAAAGAAAGAACAAGAAACAAAAAGAAACAAGCTGAACAACTCCTTAAAGAGAAATCCCAAGATGAAAAGGAACTCGTTGAAGAGGCTTCCAAAGAAGGGCCCAAAAAAGACCGATCACGAAAAAAGAGCAATGATGAGTCTGAAAAGAAGCTTAGAAAAAGAAAAGAAAAGCGTCCTCCGACAGAGAATTTAGCAGACTCAATAGACAAAGTAGAATCTTCACCTGTTGTTCAACAAGAAACACCTGTTTACAGCAATGATTCCTACATGCATAGACCTTATTACAATCAAACAATGCCTCAGCATGAATACTATTATCAACCTCAACAACCTGTTTATCCTGTCATGGACTATAATATGATGATTCCTATTGATTATAGTACTGGTATGCTTGCTGGTATGTATAATTATCCACCAATGCCACCAACACAACAAGTGCCACCACCACCATTGCCACTACAACAACAACAGCAACCACAGCAACAACCACAACAATACATGTATTATGCTGAACAACAATCTCCTAGTTATTATAATCATCAAATGCATTATACACAATTGTATGATGAAGCTTATTATCGTGACTATAATTCAAGAGGAAGGGGACATGGTATGAACACAGGCAGAGGTAGAGGAAGAGGTGAATACAAATAAATCTTTAATAAAGCAAATCAACCCAGTATATCATCTAACCATGCCTCATCATCATCTACAACATTCTTTACTGGTATAGTAGGTTTCTTTATCGAACCTGGTTTTGGTAATGCAGTTGGTTTTTGATCCAATGCTAATAGTTGATCTAATTCATCGTTTTCGTCATGCTTTTGTTGTTGTTGCTTTTGTTCTTCATGTTTTGGTTTATGTTGTGACACTGTAGGGCGATCATTGCGTACATAAATACCATCAGCTTCTGATATCACATTAGGTTTGGCTGGCTGAGATTTAAACAGCACATAACCCTTTGCATTCTTTGAGAAGGAAGGCACAATAGGTTTATCTAGCACAATAGGATGCTCATTCAAAGCATTTGAGATCTATGAAACAAATGAATATGACACTATATTGACTATAACTTACCAATGCTTGATCTTTATCTAGATCAAGTAAGAGTACTGTCTCATAGGACTCTAATGCTGCCTCAAATGTGTTAAAATCTAATTCAAGCATATTTGTACTCGTCTATGCAGCACATTAATTATACCAATATAAACATTATACTAATCTTACTTGATTATTGGATAATTCATCTTTAAATTTGAAGAAAGTAGACGTCCCTTCCTCTTTTATAACAGTGAATTAGATGACTGAATCAAGCTTTTTTTTCGCCATCTTACCTGTATTTTCCAACATGTCCACAAGATTAGTTGTTTCACGATCAATACCTAACTCTGCATCTCGCTCCAAAGCCTCTACATAGAACAGAAAAGTCAGCTTATATTGAGACAAATAGCATACCTTGCTCTGTCTCTTCCTCGTATCGACTAACATTGGACATGATTTTTCTTTTTGAAAATTTAGCTTGACGAAGCTTACGTTCTTCAATATCTTCTTCTGACTCGATAAACTCGCCGTTTCTTCTTCGAATAGCAGCAATACCTGCTCCCTTATCGCGTGCTCTTGCAGCTCGTCTACGCGCTTCGGCTACTTCGGCAGCAGAAGTGTCGCCGGTATTTTTTTTACGTGCTTGATATTTTCGTGATTCTTTTGCTTTATGCGTATCAGGTCTCATAATAAACAAAAAGAGAAAGAAAAAGAGACAGTGGAAAAACTCAGCTATCATTTTTTTTTCTCTTTCTCGGACCCCTGAAACACTTTCTTTTTCTTTCATGAATCGATTTTTATCAAGCCAACGTTTTGGAGTTTTCGTTCGATACTCTTCTACTTATCGTCCAGTCAAAGTGGGTCAACCTTTTACAGCTGCATATCGTATCTATATCGGTAAATTGATTTTTTTTTTATTTTTGGTTGCGAATATCCAACTCATATTATGTAGAAAAGGATGGTCAAGTTATTTCACCTTTTCATGATATTCCTCTTTATTCAGACGAAAAAGACAAAAACATTGTCAATATGGTAGTTGAAATTCCTCGTTGGACCAATGCTAAAGTTGAGGTAATGATAGTTTTTTATAAATTGTCAAATAATTTATATATGCCATTAGATTTCAACAGATGAAAAATACAATCCTTTAAAGCAAGATGTAAAGAAAGGAAAACCTCGATTTGTACACAATTGTTTTCCCTATAAGGGATATATTTGGAATTATGGTGCATTGCCACAGGTAAATATATCTAGAAGTCTTTATCTGGATTATTGACCTTTAAAAAAAAAGACTTGGGAGGATCCTACTTTTGTGCATGAAGACACAAATGCTAAAGGTGATAATGATCCAATAGATGTCATTGACATTGGCCAAGCAATTGGCAAACAAGGTGAAATCAAAAAGGTTAAAGTATTGGGTATCATGGCCATGCTGGATGAAGGAGAAACAGACTGGAAAGTCATTGCTATAGACACAAAAGATCCAATGGCTTCTCAATTAAATGGTAACAATTAATCAGCATTAGCATGTACTTATACAAACTAGATGTTGAGGACATTGAGACTCATTTCCCAGGATTAATTGATGCTACAAGACGCTTTTTTAGAGTGTACAAGGTTCCCTCGGGAAAACCTGAAAACCAGTTTGCATACAATGGTGAATGTAAAAACCAGGTAGGCTATGCTATTTGCATGATCAAGCTAACACACAATAGCTATTTGCACATACGATTATAGAAGAAACACATGAAGCATGGAGAAGATTGATTGAAGGAAAAGTACCTCGCACCACAGATACATACAATTTAGAAGTGTAAGTATTAGGACTTTGTAGTATGATGAAATTGATAGAGTTTTTTTCTAGACATAACTTTACTGTAAATGAATCACCTTACAAAATGGAAAGAGATGCCATGACAATAATCAAAGAAGAAAAGTATGAGCATGTCAATGAAGAGGATGTGAAAGAATACGATCCCAAATGGTATTTTGTATAAATAAATGTTTACATGAAATCTTCTTCTGCAGCATTAATATCTTCGACTTCGGTGTCTCTCCAGTTACTCTTCATTTGACTAGGATCAAACATGTCTTGAATCTCTTTTTCAGCCAATTTTTTTTGTTCAGCTAATTCTTTTGCCTTGGCCTTTTCAGCAAATTCGCCCTGGCGTGCTTTTAATCGATCCATCTTTTCTCGGTTGATTTTCTCCTGCATGAGGTCAGGAAATTTTTCAACTTTGGTCTTGTTGAGTCGATTCACTACTTCATTGATACGCTTCTCGACAAAGACACGCTTGACTTTTTTGTTGTTATGAAAAGTCACTTGACCTGTTTCCATCCCAGGTGTTTTTTTAAGGTTGTCCCAAGGTGTATAAATGACAGTAATGCCATTCTTCTTGTTTCCTTCAATACTATTGGCTTTCACAAGTTGAGCACAATCATCCACAACTTCAGGAGGAATATCAAGCCATGTTTGACCAGGTTGTAAGCGAACATAAACGTGGGCGCTAGATAATTTATCTACGTGAAACTAAAGACAAACATTTTTTAAAAAAAAAAGAAGGAAAAGAAATATAGAGTTTACCCAAATATCTTCTGGAAATCCGTATCGAATTAAGTCGTCGTCTATATGGTTTTATTTGAGGTTGAATGATATAACTATAAATATATAGCTTACTTTCAAACTTGTCTTTTCCCATATAAATAGTGACAGGAGGGTCAACAACTAGAGATAAGTCAATAGACATCTTCTATACCTATTTTTTCTTACTGTTGCTTGTATAATACAAGACCATAGTGCGTTTGAATATCTTGCAAGAGAAAAATGAAAAGAAAACATACTGTCTTTCGAAAGATGAGGGGCTTTTGTGTGACCATTTTTCATTTTATGCTTCTTTGTCTCTTGTTTTCTCTTTTTTCTTCTCTATTTTTCCTTTTCACAAGATCAGAATGAAGGCCAAGACCGGTAAAGGCAAAATGAAGAATACTGATATTCTTTCAGCCGGTAGTAAAGTATATGCAAAAAAGAGAAAAGCAAAACAAGAAACAGTAGAATATGTTGAATTTGATCCCGAGAAAAGAAGGTAAGGGACATAAAAATGCAATACCATCACTCATGGTTCGTAGTGAATTCTTGACAGGATTCCATAAGCGTAAATTGGAAAGAAAGAAAAAAACAAGAGAAAAATATGCTCAATTAGAGAGAGAAGAAAAACTTCGTAATCGTAAAGAAGCAAGAGAACAAAGACAACGTTTAGCGGATAAAAATGTTCAGGAAATGGCTGCCATGTTACGAGGAAATATTGAAGAACCTGATACATTTCAATCGGATGAAGAAGAACAAGTAGAAGAAGAAAAGAAGGGTCCTGTTGTACAAGAATTTAAAAACAAATCTACCTTGACTACCGTGACAGTCATTGAAGATTTAGACTTGGACAACTAAGAACAAGCCTTGTAGATACCATTTAAACATTGTTTTGAAAATGCAACGAAAAAAAAAAAGATAGAGAGCGTTTGTTTTGAAATGTAGATTAAGGTTAAGAGTTAGTTGTATACAACGATCGATAAGATATCATATGCTACATTTTTACTATCCTAAAGTCTAAATAAACAAGTCTTCTTTTTTTACTTAATCTTTAGTTGAATATTGTTATAATTTATACAACAAAGACAATACAAGGCGTAAAGATTAGATGACAAGATTAAATCGATAATTTACATAAAACTTTATTTTTTGTTTATGCAGGAAAATAAAATAAAATTGGGGCATAAGATCTGTGTGAGATATATAAAAGAATACTGATATGTTTTCTGGAACTTTTGTAAAAGAGGATAAATTAAAATTTGTGTGTGTGTGTGTGTGTGTGTGTGTGTGTAATGAGAGACAAGAAAGCTATTTAAAAGAGAAGGTTATATACTAAAAGAAGGTGTTGGTGTGTGTAGACATATACAATAATATAAAGAATGACTATGACATAGAAAGATTATGAAACGGTAGTAACTTGATGATTAGGCCACAATTTAGCCAATATATCTGTATCTTGATAAATGGCATACGAAGATCCTAGTTGAATAAGAGCTTCTCTTCCATTGGTATTTGTTTGAATGTTTTGTGAAGACATCATGAAAAATGGTAAATGGATAGCTGTCAGAGGAGGCGAAGCTTGTTGTTGACGATTTCGCTGAACCAATTTCTCCAATCGTGTAAAATTGACCAATGCATCATTTAGGACGTGTCGAGACTGTTGCACGGACCCCAAAAGAGCTTTATGACGCGACTCTTCTTTTTTAAGTTCTTGCTCCAAGTCTGTGTCAGGCATTCCTAACCACTTGATCTGTTTTCTATCTTTGGCAATGATATCCAAAGCCATCAAGACATTGAGAGCATCATAAACACGTCGGCGAATGTTCTTTTGATCAACGCTCGAGTGTTGATGAATTTCAGCTGCTAATTCATCGGCTACTTGGTTATAAGTGGTAGTACCCTTTTCGGCAACTTTATCACATACTTGCTTAGAAAAAAGTCGGAGGCCTTTGGTGGGTCGAATGTCTTTTTGATAAGGTTGAAACAACTTCTTTTTCTTAGTAGTCACATCCATTTTGGTTTTCTTTTTTTCAAGCCCTAAGAGTTCTGAGCCAGAGTTCAAAAGAGATTGAATGGAACCCTTTTTTGGCAAGGTAAAAGAGGCTTCAGATACTGAACTGGGGGATGAAGGTAAAGAAGAGGAAGAAGAATAAGAAGAGCATGATGAAAAAGGAGGTGATGGTGGCATGTTGGATAAAATGGGTGGTAGCAAAATGTCATTGTCATTATCAGGATAAAGCATCATTGAGCGAAGCAGATCATTGTTATCATCCCTATTAAATAGAGATGGCAACTTGAGAGGAGGTAAATGATGAACTGTTGATTCTGAATAAATAGACATATAAAAAAAATAAAGAAAGCTGTGTGATAGATAAAGCAACTAAAAAAAGAGAGAAAGAAAGTAAGGGAGGTATGAGATAGAAGAAAAGAGAAGGAAAACACAAAATACAAAATAACCAAATATTTATTTCATGACAGTAGTATACACACTCTAACTTGTGTATACTCTTATTTTTTATGTAATAACAGTCAAGAAAAACGCGTGTGCACAAGTAAACAACCATATCATGTTCCTGAGGTGTTTCCGGAAAACGGAAAGACTATTTTAAGGACTGATTGACATTATTATAAAAGGTTTTCCTCATAAAGTTTAGATGCGTATTTTATTTTGCAGCTTTTTTTTTTTTTTTTTTTTTTTTACTATTACACAACCTTTTGTTTGGATAACGAGCAAACGGCTTTCATGGGGATTAGCCCGCCTTTTTTTTTTGTTGTTGTTGTTGTGTGGGTTATTTTTATGCGGGAATACTTGTTTTGGTATAGAAAACAAAATCATATGAAGAAAAAGAGAAGCGGGCTAGATTTTTTTCGTATCATTTTTGAAACAAGTACTTTAACCTATATTTTCCCTGAATTTAATAATGTCAGTGCGTAATAATATGCATCTTTATAAATATATTCAAGAAAATACTATCTATACCATGGCAAAATATGTTCTCATTTGTACAAAATATAAAATATGCACAAACAAGTTTGTGCTACTTTTTTTCCCTCTCTTTCTCTTTCTTTTTTTTTTTTTTTTTTTTTTTTTGTTTATTATGTTTTCAGTTTCAACTACTATATCTGTCTCTTTATCAGAACTTGATCAAGTACCCTTGACCTGAAAAAAAAAAGTTTGTTCATTATGCATAAAATAGTACTAATAAACAATCCAACCTGAGATTGGTTTTGGTCCTATTCCACTCATCATATACACTCCACCTCCTCTATTCAATCCCGGAAATTCATTCTGAATCGCATCTGACGCTTATATTGTCTAAACAGAACTGAAACTTTTTTTATGTTTCTGTTCAAACGGCAAAAGCATGTTATATTCCTTTATTGCTCTATTGCTTAAAATTCTGGCTTAATATGTTTAGTTTGTTACTTGTATCTATTGTTACAATTCTGAGATTTATGCTCTTAAGCCCCTTCTTTAGTGCCGGTTACTTCTTGCGCTTTAATATATTTTGTCTTGATTTCGTCTTTCCTGATGTTTTTCATTATATTCTATAGCATCGATAGTACCTAAATTTAAACTATATTTGCGTTTGATTCAAAGAAAAAAAAACTGTCATCCTTTCGTACACGAAACATTGCTACGTAAAGCTGGCCATGAGTTATATTATCCAAATGCATTATAACAGATTTGATAGTTGCATTTTGAGCTTTATGAATGTTAGAGCCAAAGCCAGATACAGTTGAAAACAGCGACTTTATATAGCTTGTTCCTGGCACGCTTCTAGTAATCCTCTGTACCTAGAAAGTCATTTTGCTATTATTAGGTTCTTCTTTTGATAAAAAAGCATCCTCTTCATCAATCTCTTTAAGCTTTAACTCTTGTAGTAATCTGGTTTCTTTCAGTGCACAAGTAGCCGAATTCTTTGAGTCCCCATTGTAAGTGTCATGCACGAGGAAAAATAGAGATTCACCTAGGGTGAATTCAAAATCTTTTGAATTTGCAGTGTTAACTAGCTTTCGAATAGCTTAAATTCCTAGCAATCTATTTGGAAGGTTACTTTTCAATACTGCTCTGCTGTTGGCGTATTTAATTACAGATGTCTTGAATTGGCATACACGTTCATTGTTCAAAACTTTTATAAAAATAGCTTCAGTCTGCCTCGCAGGTTCAATTAGACGATACTTTCCTGAGAAACAAAATGTTTTAGGTTCCCCAATAGGCTTATCATCTCGACTAACGAGAAGAAGTTGTACCAAATCTCCAAAGAAAACAGTATTAATGTCACCCATGGCCACATTTTTATGTATTGCCTTGATTAATATGATGCTGAGCATATTCAACAAAGTATCACTAAGCATGGATTATTTGTCTACCAAAAGCAAGAATCTCAAGGACCCAACTAAAGTTTTTGACACCACATATTATCGTAGCGAAATGAACGAGTGCATATGTATTGACAAGGTGTCTCCACTTTTTTTTTGAAGTTATTGTCAAAAAAACAAAGTCTTCCCAAGAATAATCAGTACCAGTAGCAGCTGAGAAGTCAGGACTATAATCATTAGAACTAAACGTACGATGAACGATCAACTTAACGAACAGTTGACACAATATTTTTATTATATGAGTTTGTAATAGCATGAATCCCATCTCTTTGTCTAATGTTGCTTTGACCCTTTGTAGAAATAACAAGTCTGTTTGCAGCAGCAATGTTATCTCTTTCAAAATTGTCTAGCATAAAGAAAAGGAAGGATTGGTCTTTTGCAAATCGATGACCTCCCATCATAAGACTTAATCTGGTGTATCCCTTCAAGTTCTTACCAGCAAGTGTATTTCTTGCAATTCCTCCACAATCTTTTGTTCGGGCCATTGAGAAGTGATCCTTACAGTTGGGATACAAGTATAGAAAAAATAAGGCAAGCAAGCTTGAATGAATATTCATTCCTTTTGATTCTTGCCCAAAATGCAAGTGATTAAATTCTGGTTTAGATGCCTGAGGATAAACAGTATCTCCAGTAAGCAAACAGCTGTTTGGTTATTCATTTCTTCTACTAGCACCAATATACTTTGCATTTTCTTTGATATGATAGTTGACAAAAGAATACATCAATGGCTGCAAGCTATAACGAGCCAAAAGTGGATGTGTTCTTTGTAATGATACATAGGTGGCACTTCTGTCCTCTAATATTGGCAGGGTCGCCTCTTTAATAGAACAAGCCAAGAGTGCCACCATAAGTCATTGCGGCAAATTCGTAGTTAAGTCTGAAATTTACAACCCCAGAAACTTCACAATGCTCAATGCGACAATACAGCATTGTTGACGTTCTTGTTATCTAAATCATTAGTTTCAAATGAGAAAGGATGCATCGCTCTCTGTAATTGAACGCTTGAGCCTCAGGAATCAAGTCTTCTTTAAATGCTAAGTATATCAACTTCCACTTATTGAATTTGTCAAGATTGTAGCATATATCTGGATAAATATATGTAGGAAGTTCTTCTTTCTTTGCGTTTACATGAGCTTTACACACCATGTATTTGGTTGCTGGTTATTCATTAAAGGTACCAGTCTCTATTCCTAGCAGTTTCTCAAACTGGTTTCAGCGTTCTCAAAAACATGAAAAGCCTACTCTTCCTTGTAAAGCATGTAGAGACAGATATTGATAAGTGTTAAAGTAATATATAGTGTAACATGAATTATCCAAGCTACTTTCTTTGTATTAGCTTCAAAGGAAATCTAAATGACATTATTTTTTGCAAAGAGCTGTATTCTTCACAATAAGTCGCATGGTGAGATTAATGGTATTTGAAAGCATTCAAATATTTTCATGTAGCTATAGGAATCTGCAGCCCTACTTTAGACAGCGATAGTTTTAAAGAGCACAGGCTTCACCTACCTAGCGTAGCTACTCAGCTATTACTGGATTGTAATTCACTCTTATCGTGTAACATACGGTGACTATATGGAGCTTTTTTTACTTTGCGCTAAATAAGCTTAAAAACTAGCAAAATACATCTTGGCAAGCGTACATAACTTCCGAAGCTTTGTACGGAGACTATTTCTCAGGAGCTAAGATCATATATCGAGACTTAAGGACTGTAGAAATATCGACATGGGTACAAAAGCATTAAGGTTTCCCGATTTTTTCTTTATCTAGATTTCCATTGTTTATTCGACTTAAGACAAATTGTTTCGCTAAACTATCAAAGTTCTTTTCTTTTTCTTTTCGACGAAGACCTACCACTTAATATGTTTCTTTGGCTAGCATTCGACTAGCCTCTTCAACTAAGCTAGCTTGCATCAATCATCGATAGATACCGCTATCTAAAGAGCTTGTGCCATCAGTTGGGAGTTCATCCTCTTACAGAGACAGGTTACTATTATCTAAGTCACATTAACATACAATGAGCCATTATATCAGCATCTGAGTCCTAACCTTGTTATGAAAGACGAAATACCCTATGCAAGGTCTTGGTGCGCGTAAGTCGGATAAAAAAAGTAAGAGTACCAGAAGAAATGGTTCTTTGATTAGTACCAAGTGAGCTCTATATTAATGGACAAGTTTCTCTTCTGTAGATTTTTGAAAGACAATGCCAAAAATGACAAAGAATCCAAGCAATATGAATCAGCAGGACTGCTTCTGATGACAAATGGTTATTTAAGTAACAGTTCAAACAATGTGCAATATAAATCAACTTAATTTTAAGAACAAAATCGCATTTTTGCTCTAAATATATCATGTCGCAACCTAAAGTCTACGTTGTCATTTATACTGTTTATCATCACGTTCACAAATTAGCTGTGGAAGTTCAAAAGGGTTTAGAATCAAGTGGTGTTGCTACGAAAATGTTTCAAGGTTGGTTTAAACCCCTCGAAAAAGAAAAAAGTTATACTTATTTGTTTACAGTTCAAGAAACTTTACCTGAAAGCGTATTGAAAAACATTCATGCTCCTCCCAAGCCTGATTTACCTATCATTAAGCCCGAACAATTAAGTGAGGCAGATGGTATTCTTTTTGGTTTCCCCACAAGGTATGTTCATTGCTTCTATTTTTTTTCTTATTTGTCGCGTAGATTCGGTTCAATGCCTAGTCAAGTCAAAGGGTAAGTTTTTTTTTTATAATTGGTTTATTTAAAAGAAAACAGTCTTTTAGATGCTACTGGTGGTCATTTTGCAAAAGGCACATTACAAGGAAAATTTGCAGGTACCTTCTTTAGTACTGCTTCTCAGGTAAGCATTCCTTCTACGAAAAAAAAGGGGAAGACATTAACATGGACGTATAGCATGGAGGTCAAGAAACAACTGCTTTGACAACAATTCCTTACTTTGTTCATCAAGGCATGACTTATGTTCCTCTTGGTTACCCTTCTGCTTTATCTGACAAATTAAACTCTATGGATGAAATTGTAGGTGGTTCTGCTTATGGTGCAGGTGCCATTGCTGCAGGCGATGGTTCAAGAGACGTGTCTGAAAAAGAACTTGCCATTGCTCATTATCAAGGCAAGAACTTTGGTGAAATTATTAGAGCATATGTTAAGGGCAAGAATGCATTTGCTGTTGAGCAAAAATAAAGGAACTCGATATTTATTATATTAGTATTTTGGCATGGATTTAGCAAGTTCGTCTGAAATGGTAGTTATTTTGTGTGCTGCTTTGATATCTTTGAAGACGTCAGTTGAAGTGTCTGTTACATAGCGCACTAGCTTTCTTGCCTTCTCCTTATTTCTATTTCACATAAGCATACACATATATGCAAAAATATCAACTTACTTGGGAATGATACTAGAAGACAACAACAGTAATTGGTGCTGACGGATAATCATTTCTGGGATATATATTTCTCTTAAAGTTGCTTTAGATACATGTGCAGTTTCATTTGAGCCTTCTCCAAGCCAATAGCCTTGTAAAATCTGAACAAAATGATGATCCAACTCAAACGTCTTTTTCTATTCTAAAATGTAAGCAATGTAAGATTTTCGATATTTACTTGCCTCTACTTGATCTCTCCATTTGTTGATTTCCAATAGATCATCTACAGAACCACTGACAAGAAACAGTTAGGCATTATTCAAACGATCAAAGTTACTTTACTTGTCTTGTGGCTCACACTGTAAAAGTTGCTTCCATAACTCAAAATCAGTAAACAAAGATACCAGCTTCTTGTGTGAATTAAATTCGGTCAATATCTTCAATGCTCTCATCTTATTCTGACTCGCAACAGACATTCTTTCAATTAATGTATCAGAGAAGAGATCAAATACGTGCTGTGCCAAATAGATTTTGCAAACACCCAAAAAGTATCGGATTGTCAAATTAGCTGCCTCAAACGCTTCTATACACATACTTTGGTCCAAAGTCAACCATTGAACAGATCTGAAGAACATAGTATCACTCTCAGTTATTTCACCTTGTATTTTAAAATCTATCTTTTCTTTCTGTGGATTCACTGTTGTATATGAAGACTAGAGAGTATTAGAACGCGTAGGTATGCCTAAACTTACTTGTTCAATGGCTTTTTTGAATAAATGTGTATGTGTATATTGTAGAATATCATGCATATCGAGGTCAAATTCTTTTCCGAGTTGTAAAAGAATAGCGCATTCTTGATCGTCACCGTCAAATCCTGCCTCGCTTCATGAATATTTTTCTTGTATGTACATTACTCTTACCTTGAAGAAAATGAGAATACATTTGAATCTGATATTGTGGAGATTGTTTTGAAGCGTAAGTTGCAATCACAACAGGTCTTAATGTTGTTGGTTCGGTATTCAATTTAGCATAATCTAATAGAAAGGCAGCAGAATACATAGTTTCTTTCCAGCCAAGGTATTCATGTCCATATAAAACAAAGGTTGAAATAAACCGTAACAATTGTGTGCGTATTTCCAAGTTCTCACTTGATAGTTCCATGAGCTATTGCCTTATCAGAGTAACTTACCTTATATACAAGGAAGGGTGGTGAGATTTGATTTGTTTGTGATGATAAGCATGGTAGATCTTTTTAACTATATCTTGTGGATTTTTAGACAGCAAAGACATTTGGATATGATGAAATAACACCCTTGGATCATCTCTATTGATACAGTCAGTATTTGCATGAATTTGTGCTTAGTTCTCTTTACCTTTCCATAATATGATCTTTAGATAATGCTGAATTTACTATTTCTTCTGACAAGACAAGGTTGACTGATTCGTTCTTGTCCATTAATGCTTCGATACGCGCATTCAAATAGACCCAAATCACATCTTCCCATGTATTGCACATTGTGTCATATAATTCGTTGGTATTTCCAGTAAGCATGTTAAGCAACGCTCTCTTATATTTTCCAATCGATTTCTAACAAGGTGTCAGTAACTAATGCCTCAATCTTCCCCCATACATCTTCCAATTCATGCAAAACAGACTTCTTCCAAATAGATCGTTCTTTCTGATTGATTTTATCCTTTTGATCAGCTAAATTATGCGTGTCAGTACACGCTGACTTTAGCATATCTTACCAAGTGCCATTTGTTGATATTGAATGTATCCATTAATCAAATAAGTCAAAGAAATATTTTGATGCGTATTCAATGACACAGGTTCTAAGGTATTGGAGCGAAGTTGTGTGTAAATATTCTTGTATACTTCTTCATCTTCCTCTGTTGAATCTATGTGTATCTTTTGTTTCTTTCTCGGGATTTCATCCACATCAACATGAGTAAAGCGATTCTTTTTAAACAGATCCATGATCTCATCTTCGATATCTTGTCTTTGCTCAATCTTCTCTAGTAATTGTTGGTCAGTAGGGATACATGAGATCCACTTTTTGAGTGCCTATAAAAAAAGGTGATTAATACATGTTGGTGATTAACTCGAGATGATTACAGCATGACGATATAGATCCGAGCTATCAATGGTTCTAAAAAGCAAGAACGCGATCAGTATTCTATCAGAAATAGACGAGCTTACTTTGTAAGAGTGGCGAGAAGGCTCCACGTCGTGCTTTCACAGTAGAATGCACTGTCTGGTCGACTGATTATAGTCAGCAAATGAGGTCTTGATCATATTTTCATGCTTACTTTTCGTGTATTAGAGTGATATCAGCAAAATGGTTTGCAATATCAGCAGCCCGTGTTGATGTAAAAGACTGCACACCTTTAGCAAACTCTTCGTATAGATCGATATCGTTTGTCATTATAAAAATGGCGTGTAATACAATAGAAACAAAGATAAAAAAGAAAAAGAAAAAGAAATAGACAGTGAAATATTAATCTTCACGGTTAGTATTTGAGATACACATGAAGAAATGATAGTGCCTAATTCAGTAGTTTAACTCCAAATGACACTCTTAGTTGACAAACAGAGAAAACTAACTTCAAATTCTCAGACAATGGATACAATTTGGAAAGACCTTTTGCTCTTCTCTTGTCAGATACACCATTCTTCTATTCAATTATACTTTAATTTTCAAGTCCTTTGGCAACTACTAAATTAAAAAAGACACTCTTTTTAGTACTGACACTATCTTTTCTTGATAGTCTTTTCAATTGAAGTTTGGCAATGCAAGTTATCGCATCAAGCCGTTTCTGTAGCCCTGATAAAGCTTTATGTATCATAGCTAGTTTATCAGTTGCTAGAGTATTGTTACTAAAGCTGCTTGAGAGAAGAAGAAAGAGTTTAGAAAAAGACGCTAACTACATACACAGTTATCATTTACTTTTAGCCATTCAGTTATTTATCTCACTTGGCGAAACTGTTATGCTGAATGTAGCAGGACCTTCTTTCTGTATGTAGTGTATTCAGCTTTACAAAAACTACATGATGCAGGTGGCTAAATCTTCATATTTGCATACTAATGTCAATGCATTATCTCCATATAAAGGAGACCTATAACTTGCCACTTTTGGTTTTCTTTGAGAATTACGATTATTGGATTAATGTTGTTGACAATTGCACGTTGTATTTGATCCCAATAGGGTGTTGGGATTGCAGGACAGCTCAATATATGGTTTCGACTCATCACACCGCCACAATAGCATTGAGGCCGGCCACCAGGCAACCAGTTCATTCGCCACCTTAGTAGTCGCCTACGTTCCTTGCGTGTCATGGGGAGAGTGAGGATGGGGTCTATTTGTAAATTAGATCTACAAGCCTTTATCATTGTTTCCGAGGAATTTCTGATGGCGTTCGATCGATATTTGGAGAGGATTTTTTTTTAGTTTCTTTTTTTCAGTTATATTTACAGTGGGAGTACTGATGAATTCTTTGTGGAGAGGGTTTTTGTTGCGGATGATATTGAGGCGACTATAGCGCGTGGTGGAGGAGTGAACTTGTTTGATCAATGACTCTGGTGGGAGCCATTGCAAGCGAAGGTTGTATTTGGTGTTGAGGGTATACCAACGTTCCATCATAGAAGGTAGGTTGGCCATGACCCGGAATGCTTTTACTGATGCTGTGGCGTGACCACCGACGATTAATCGAAGGCAATCATCCTGCATGCGTTCAAGAGCAGCGATGTTGGTGGCGTTGATGTTGGTGACACACAAACCGTATTCGATCTGTGGTCGGATGAATTGTTTATATATCTGTATGCTGAGAGGTAAGGAGAAGCCATTGGCACGAGTACCAATGTCATGCATCCTGTGCATACTTTTTTTTGTTTTTTCTTTGTTGTAGGTGATGAATAGTTGTGTATCCATCCCAAGATAGTTGAATTGCATACCGAGGTATTTGAAGGTGGTAGTGGTAGGTATGTTGATGTTGTATAGCTGGTAAGTTGGAAAGGAAGGTGGGGGTGTAGGAGGAGTGAGAATGGCACATTTAGTCGGTGACCATCTGTAGCCAAGTTGTAAAGAGTGTTGTTCAGCTATTGCAAGAAGGTTAGTCATGTTGTCGGCATCAGAAATCAGAGCGATATCATCAGCAAACAACAAGCAGTTTATGTTTTGTAACGGAATAGAGGAGGAAGGGATAGAATTACGAAGTAATTGTGGAAGGGAATTGATATAGATAGAGTAAAGATGGGGACTGAGGACACTGCCCTGCAGTACGCCCGTAAAAGGAGTGAAGAAGTATGATTGATGGTTACCATTGATGACTTGGATATTGACATGATTAAATAAATCTTTCAAAATATTTAACAGTCGAATATTGCAGTGAGGGTACATGGCATCCCAAACAATGTCTCTATCTACAGTGTCGTAGGCCTTTGCAATGTCAAGAAAACAAATCACAGGTGATTTATGATGTTGTCGGGTATATTGATGCATCAATTCATCTAAACAAACGGCTTGATCAATCGCACTCAAGAAGGGTTTGAAGCCTCCTTGGGCTATGTCAATGAAGTCTGTTTCATCATAAAGTTGTTGTTGTATGCTATACTCCATTATCTTTCGGAAAATGGAGGTCAAGCTGATTGGTCTGAAATTGGCTGGATCAAGTTGGTCACCTTTACCTTTGTAAATCGGGACGACTTGAGAAGTGCGCCAAAGCAAGGGAGTAAATCCAAGAAGCCAGCAGGCACGGAAAAGGAGTGTAAGGTGTTGTGAGATGAAGAGAGAGTAGATATTCAATAAGAGAAAAGGTAAGAACACAGAGAAAGTCCGTTAGAACTTGTATAGGTTTTTATTTCTCCAAGAAAAATGTTTCGTTCAATTGCTATAAAATGTCAAGGTATTTATACTTTTTCTTCTCGGTCAAAATATTGTTTTGGGTTAGCTTCTTGACTACGGATTGATTTGTTAGATCAGGAGCAATTAAGAGAAATGCCTTTAGAGGAAGTTGTCAGCTCAGCCAATAGTACATGATCTGACCTGAACTTGAATAAACTATTACATATTTGTCAAATGCCAATGCTAATGTATTTGTCAGCTCTAACTGTCACTTTATAAGGGCCATTAATAATAACAGAGTCAATAGGTTCATAATCTCTGTCTATGAGGATGATGTAGTACTTCTAGTAGAATGAGTGAATGTCAGTGACTATAGATCCATTGCAATTGCCATAGATGTGATCTGGTTTTTTGCCATGATCATCATGTATTGATCTATGCATATGAATTCATATATGTTCACAACATTACCCTCCTCCAGAGTCAACTCATCTTTGATAGTTGTAAACGGCTTCTTACAATGTGAACATCTAGGCTTGATATAACGTTACTTGACATAAAAATGGTTTAGAGTCTATGCAATTTGTGTTCTTCAAAAGGAAAATAGTTTTTCTTCTCTTTCATGTCACTTAGCATTTAATTCTTTTGCCAGCTCTTCCATTTGTGGATAATTTCTCTCTACTTTGTCTAGTAGGATGGTTTCTTCTCTTTGTTCCTGTCTTGTGTAGCACATCATTCTTATTCTCTTTGTTAGATGCAGATTTATCGCTTGATTTTGATTCAATGCGTTCATGCTCTAATCTTTTTAGTTTTTCAACTTTATCCCAGTAGCGATTGATGATTGTAGGATCTTGGAAACTAGATGCAGGCTCCCAAGTGTTAGCTCTTTCACCAAATCCAGTCCATTTAACCAAGTACTCTCGTCTTCCTGGCTTGCCACGATGATCACGAATATCTTCTACTTCAAAGTATTCTTCTTCAATGGTTGATTCATCAATGGTCACAATCTTCAGTTCTGATGGTGTATAATTACGATGCAATAATTCATTTTGCTCGTCTTTTAATTCATATGAGCCACCTTTGTTTCTTCTTACAACAGTATAGGGGCCTTCATATAATGGAGACAGTTTACTCGGTCTCTTTTGCAGTCTTACCATAACATATGTTCCGGGTTCAATATCAACAAGTATGTTCTTTGTATTGAACCTCTTATTATATTCCTCATTTATCTTTTGAGTTCTTTCAAAGATAGCGGGAAAGACAATCTTCTCCATGTGATCAATGCGCTGCTCAAGGTCATCGCGCGTCATCATATCTTTGGGAAGTGGATATTTGTTCTTTTCTTCATAGTTTTTAGGTAAGCCGACTCTGCGTGCAAACATCAATGAGAAGGGTGAACTCAACGTCTTATTCTTGATAGCGTTGTTGATAGAAAGCTGGACTACTGGTAAGTAGTAATCCCAGTCTTTGCTATTCGATTGACACATCTTTCTCAGCGTGTTTTCAACAATTTTTACACTGGATTCAGCACTTCCATTTCCTCTAGGATGGTAGGGAGTGGAGTACCTTCGATCAATGCCGAGCTTTTTCGAAATAGATTCAAGTAACAAGTTATGGTATGCTCTACCATTGTCGGATTGTAGGATACGAGGAAATCCATAGTCTCCAAAGATCTGCATCAATGTATGAGCAATGGTATCTGATTGTTGGTTCTTAAGTGCTCTGACAATAATATATTTTGAACAAATATCAGTCAAGACCAAGATTTCAGTATTCCCATTTTCAGTTACAGGAAAAGGACCTGCAGAATCAACAGATACATGATCAAAGGGTCGCAATGCAATAATGCTTGTCAGTGGATGGTAACCTCTTTTTGCTATATTATGCTTTTGGCACTCAGGACATGAACTTACTAGTTCCTTGGCTTCTTGATACATATTTGTCCAATGAAGTCCTTGAGAGTGTAGTTCACGCACAATAGCATGCTGCCAAAGTGTCCAAAAGTATGTGCATCACGCAAGAGCTTTTCTCTTTCAGTCTCAGGCGGTGTAAAATAATCAAGTGGTTCTTTAGTCTGCTCAACCAGCTGCGTGGTAAGAACATGCAGGTTTTTATCTCTGCTATATTTCTTCCTGCAAATAGCAACTCTTTTTATTTTGGCAGCTTGTACATTTCGCTTTCGATTGCCAGTGCTACCCCCTACCAGTTTGTGATCACCTTCGAATTGGTCGAGAGGGGAATACAAACGACTCAACAATCTGGCAATTTAAGAAGGATACCAGGAATATGCACAGCATCAAAGTCATAAGTCAGAATTTCTTCGTACCAATTCAACATCATATTGTTGCAATCTCGTTGAGTATGCATATAAATCAATGCTTTGTGATCTGTGTGCAATGTAAATCTGCGTCCCCAAATATATTGATGGAAGCGACGAAAAGCCATCAGAACACCATATAACTCACGACGAGTAGCACTCCATCTGCGTTGTGAGGGTGATAGAGCATTGGACACAAAACTAATATATTTGTCTCTACCCTTATCATCTCTCTGAAATAATACAGCGGATATACCATACTGAGAAGCATCAGAGGCAACAAAGAATTCTTTGGTGAAATCAGGATAATGCAAAAGCATATTTGAGTGTAAGATGGCTTTCAAGGCATTAAAGCTCTTAGTTTGCTCATCAGACCACAGCTCTTCTACGTTCTTTGC